CTCCGGCGGGACTCTTTGATTCGCGGATACGACCATTCTTAAGGTTTTCGTCGAGGTAACGGCGTAGTTCAGTAAGTTCTTTCTGAGAAAGTGGGTAGATTGGTCCAAAGGGCACCTGGGTGTCGGAGAGTAGGTCGATGGCGTGGTCGTGTGCACTTGAAGGGGGTAGTGCTTGTGCGTTTTCAGAGGAGAAGAATTCGTGGAAGGGTTCTAGTTCGGGATATTGTAGATAAGGTTTCGACGGAGGTTCGGTATCGTTTCCATCGACTGGCAGCCATATTTCCTCAGGCATTTTTACCACGGCGAAGACGTACGCATGCCTTTGTGCGGCCCTCGCGAAGCGTTTCGGTGTTAAAACTTCAAAGGATCCGTTCCCGAACCACCATCGCCTAAGGCGGCCCGCGAGATATATATCCTCGTCGTGTATTGTCGTCATTGAGAGGAGTACTGGACTACCAGTAAGGCGGGGGTCGCGATCAATAGCGACACAAGGGCGTGTGAATCGGCGGGTAATCCCTCGAGAATCGGTAGCCTTCAGGGGGACTGACCACACACCATATGTCGGAGTGTTTCGTCGGTTAATTGCGCGGATTATCGGTTCGGTAAGCTTTGCTGGCTGGAGCCTATACTTCCTGACGAATTCGAAGCTAACGAGGTCAACTTCAGCTCCACTGTCAAGATCCGCATGGGTTTCGAGAGTGTTTCGGATGGTAATCGGTATATAGAAACGAGTTCTGGTCCCCACGGTAGGCTTTTGAGACGAAGAATGGGGATCTACTCCGTCTCGCTGTCGTTTCCCGCGGTTGTTGCTATCTGGACCTTTGGCTTTTCCTTAGGGTCCTTTCGGTCGGGGCAGTCAGGAGAGTAATGCGTATCGCTTCCGCAGATGTGGCACACATTGCGTTTTCCATCCCTTCCGATAGGGTTTAGGTTGTTGTTCGTTGAGGACTCTTGACGTCTCCGATTGTTTTGACGGTTCTTGTAGGTTTTCTTTTCCGGTCCCTGGGGTTCATCCGGAGGAGCCTTACGCTTTCGGAGATGATTCGGCTTGGTTTCGTTTGTGTTTCCCCGGTCCGAATTTGTTTTCATGAGGTCCCAGTAATGGTTTGCCGTGTTGACAACTTCCTCACGTGTCTCGGGAAGTTCTCGTACATGGTCCTGGATTCGAAGCTGAAGGGAGTGTTGTAGTTTAACGAAGAAGGATCGGGCCCTTTCTTTCTCACTCGCTCTCTCAAAGTACTGCTCAAGGGTATCGAGACGGGCGTGGAACTCTCTAGGGTCCTCGTCCTTTCTCTGGTGGATATTTTCCTTTTCCTTTGCGATAGCCATTGTGAGACTAGACGCGTTTTTGATAAGGCTTAGGGTCCACTCCTGGAAGAAGAGCCAGTCATTGGTGACGTTTCGGCGTTCAACCTCCCTTTTTTCGGTACAGGTTCGGTACCACCTCTGCCTATAGGTTTGGCACATATGGCATACAGCGCCGATGATCTTTCTTTCGTCGCTATAGTATTTCTTTGGGGCTCCTGCGAACATCTGTTGTAGGTCGAGGAGCCACTCATGCCGCTTCTGAAGGTTGTATTCGAGTTCGAAGGTTGGCACGTTTTCGAATTTGATTTCCTTGTGCCAATCAGGAGATTCGCTTTGTCCTCGGTGGGTATCCGGCATAGATTCGCCGAGGGCTGACATGAGGTTCGTAGCTTGCTCGTTAAGCTCCTTGATTTTTTGGAGCTTTCTAACGCGTTCCTGAATCGCCGCGAGCGCTGCGTCAACGTCCTCGTTAGAAGGGGTTCCCTCGATAACAGTCTGCGAATCTTCGATAGTCCGTGGGAGATTCGGCTCTGTTTCGCCGGCGGGCGTCGAACGAGTTCGAGGTGACATCCTTCCTTAGGTGATCAAAGAGGAAGAAACAGAATTGTAAAGATAACTACTTGCAGGGTAGAAAACCTGTTGATCAGGTAAGGTTGGAAGCACCTAGTGAAATTCGTGGCAAGACTGTTTCTTGAGGAGTCTGAACCTACTCCTCAAGGTCCCAAATTTATATACAGTCTCTCATACAAAACAGGGAACTAGAAGAGGGGTAACCACGGTATGAGCGTGCATGAGCTGAAAGGTTGTGTAACCAGCCAACGTGGCCTACCGACAGGGTAGCCCTTTAGATACGCCACCGAGGAGCTGTCGACTGACCGCCGGGTCGGCACCCTCTTGGCAGAACGCCCGGGCCTCGTGCGGCCTGGGGCATCAGTCTGCGAATAACCTCAATATCAGGATATCATAACACTTATTCCCGTTTATTCTAATAGTTAAGGGTAATGTTACAGCCAGGCGAGTGGAGGTTCAAATCGGTGCATTCAACGAAGCAACTAAATCTAGAGAGGAAAGGGAGAAGAGAAGTTCTATCTTGCCAGAAGAGATTGCCTTTATAGGGCCCTTCTCTGGTAACTCCCGTCCGTCCTGGGGAGTTCCATGTTCGCACAAACACGCATTGACCAGTTCGATCAATCTCAATCCTCTAAGCCCCGTCCTTAGTCTCCGAATCGTAACAGGTAAAGCCACGTGACGTAGCACGTGTAGTTCTTTCCTTAAGTTCCTTTTAGAAGTCTTTCGGGAGTATCATCTTTAAAATAGCCGAACGCTAAGAAAATAAGAATAGAAGGCTAGGTAGTCACCTAGGTCTAATATTTATAGGCTAGACTTAGTTAAAGAAGGCATATAGGTGATCCTAGGTAAGAATTCTCACCCGCTCTCACCCTGTTCTCACCTCTATCACCCCAGTCTCCAGACTTCTCACCCATATCACCCACACTCACCCTAGGATAAAATCCGACGTCATTTTAAGGCTCAGGGTGCTTTGAGAATTAACCGCATACTATAAGGTGGCTTAAACACGGCTGAGCGGACGGGAAGCCCTGTTCTCCACACCCTATGGTCGTATGTACCAGGAACTGCATTGAAGAGATCTATATCCTTAGCAATAATTGGATAGAGAGCTGCCTCAGCGTTGCGCGGCTGGAGTGAGTAGGGTGAGTGCGCAATAGACAGAATGAGACGCTGAGTGAAGGCGGGTGATTCTCACCCCTCCTGAGGATCGATTTTGCCAGGCGGTGAATTATTTCTATTGGACAACCTATTGCGGATCTTCTTTCTTGTCAACAACGCACTCTCTTGAGCGATCTATCTCTTATCCAATCAAGTCCTTCTTCTATCCTTTTCCGTCTTGGTATCTTATGGCCCTATTTAAGTGGTCTTCAGAAGTGTTCTGGCACAGTCTCCGCACAGACCCTCTTGCTGAATTCAGGGACATCGTTATTGGTTTATTTCAATCTGGCTGAAACTGTGGTCTCTTGGCACTTGCATATTCAATCCATCGAACCATCTCCTTATCAGTACTAACAGGCAGCTGGTTATTGACGCTCTTATACGGAGCATAGGTCTGCTTTGAATCTCCGTCTGCATTTCGAGGCCACGATAGTCACCATCATGTGTTGCCCTTTACTATGGGCATGAGGTCAACAGAAACATGATTGGGCTTTTCCGCCACGTGTGGCTGCATGTGGCGTCGACCTGATGATTGATATAATTGATAGTACTCAACGGAGCGGGGTGAGGCTGAGGACTCACTCTGTCCAGCCTCGCCAACCCTCGGACATATCCATCATACCCAAAACGTTGGGACCTTGTATGAGTTATGCATGGTGCAGACACAAAATGGCCGCCAAACTGACATCATTATTGAAACCCGAGGATTATACAGTGGCATGGATCTGCGCCCTTCCCAAAGAAATGGCAGCAGCCGAGGCAATGCTGGATGAGAGACAACCTACCTTGCCCACCATCTCCGGCGACGACAATACCTACGTTGGAGGGAGGGTGGGCTCCCATAACGTCATTATCGCGTGCCTTCCAGCCGGGGTTTATGGGACGAACTCTGCTGCTCGTGTGGCGTCTCAAATGCGGCTCACCTTTAAGGGCATTCGATTTGGACTGATGGTGGGAATCGCAGGGGGAGTCCCTAGTGCAGACCATGATATTCGGCTCGGTGATGTTGTAGTCAGCAAACCAACGCGGGATTTCGGGGGAGTGATCCAATACGACTATGGCAAGGCCGTAAGCGGCGGCCACTTGGAACGGACGGGTGTCTTGAACAAGCCCCCAACCATGCTCCTGACAGCAGTGGCGGCGCTACAATCAGCACACATTACAAATGAAAGTCGCATACCTGATCTAATCGCGGATTTAGCCAAGCGCTATCCGCAAATGAGGGAGAAGTTTACGTACGACAGCCGCAGAGAAGATTTGTTGTTTGAGGCCCAGTACGATCATATTGACCGCGCGACAACCTGCGATGGCTGTGATAGACACCGGCTAGTTGCCAGATCACCAAGGGACAGAAATGGCCCTATCATCCACTACGGTCTGATTGCATCCGGCAATCAGGTCATAAAGGATAGTCGGACCAGAGATCAGCTAGCCGGGGAACTGGGGATCCTGTGCTTTGAGATGGAGGCGGCCGGCCTGGTGGACACGTTCCCATGCCTCGTAATTAGGGGCATTTGTGACTATGCTGATGCTCACAAGAATAAACAATGGCAAGAGTATGCAGCCGCGACGGCGGCAGGATACGCAAAGGAGCTTCTCTACATGGTCCATGCTGTTCGAGTTGCAGATACACCTCCAGCCCTGCTGGTCAACGAGAGTATGTAGGCTATGCACAACCGATTGTGAACTTGTCGGTTCTGACTAAAATAATCCCAGTCGTTCATAGCCGCAAGGTGCTGGCCAAACCGCGAGGTTCATCAACGTGGTTGACAAGGCCTAATGGTGAGCGAGCACAATCCAATGCCTTCTGCATATCACAGGCACTCAGTCATTACAGATGATCTCGACGAGGCTATATTCAGGCGGATTTCAACCTACGATCATGCAAAGGTTCACCAGCGACTAGCTCACAAACGAGTAATGGGGACAGCACAGTGGTTCTTGGATCATCCCGACTTCATGGCATGGCTGGTGGAGAAGAGATTCTCGAGACTGTGGTGCTCCGGGAAAAGTAAGCGTGCGCCCTGGAGATTCTTGACGGCGAACAACACTAATCATTACTCTTGATTAGTTGGCTCGGGTAAAACGACGATAGCGTCAGCACCCTTTGGCTCTTTCTCCCTATGGTGAATAGGCTAATTATACCATAGGACGGCGGCCGTTGATGCAGCTAAATATCGATCGTCGAATCACACTGCCTCAACGGCCTTTTTCTATTGTGAGAGCGACCGACCGGACGAGCTTAACGGGCTCTACATTCTTTCCAGTCTGATCAAACAACTATGCGAGTATCTCCGTGCTAAATACAGACGCTGCCCCGACGATATAGTAGATGCACTGAACCGCTTCTTTGGAAAGAAGCGAGTTGTTCCCGACTTTGATGATTTGAAAGACATTTTCATCCAGTTATTCCACATCATCCCAGACACGGTGTATATCATTGACGGACTCGACACATTAAGCCCAGAACAGAGTAAAGACCTATTTGAGCTCTTCAGGTCCCTGTTCTACGGTTCTGGATCCCCGCCGGAGTCGCGGTTGCTCGTTTTCAGCCGAGAACAACTGCCTGGCTACACAGGCATTCCCCTGTTTATGGCTGGCGTTCGTCAAATTTCGACTACATCTAACGTGATGCCGGATCTTCACACGTACATCGATACGAGTATCACCGATAAACTGATGAGCCGGAAGCTCACGGACGATTTGGCCTTGTTGGACGAAGTCAAGCGGGTCCTCCTGGAAGAATCATCTGGAATGTAAGAAGAAAGCCTTGCTCTGCATTTTTTACATCAGCTGAAAGCTAATGAATCAGGTTTCTTTGGGTCTATCTGCAGTTGGAGATCCTGTGGCAAGATTGTTTTACAGACAATCGTATTCGATCAGCGCTGCGAGATCTTCCGAAAGATCTGGAGGAGACATACCATCGCTGTCTTCAAAGGATGACCTTTGCCAATCCTTATACATTACGCGTCCTCCGATGGGTGAGCTTTGCTGCAAGACCACTCCATATCGACGAATTAAAAGAGGCCGTCGCCTTTGATCTAGATGATATGGGCTGGGATGCCGGAAAGATCCCCCAAGCAGATGTATTGATTGGGTGTGGTGCGAATCTCGTTGCTGTCGATCCGTCTGATCGATGTGTTCGCTTTGCGCATCCTTCCATCAAGACATATCTGCAGAAGAATTCAGCAAGGTTAATTCCAGGGTACCCAAATTCCGATAAACAGGGCGAGCTCCAGTGCGGAGAATCATGTGTTGCCTATCTGTCATTCTCTAACTTCAACCTCGAACTGTTGAAGCCAGCCAACGAGACAGAAGTGGTAAAAGTGCCGGATGCCAAACTGCTCGCCGGCGATGCATTGGCATCTCCCTTGGTTAGACTTTTTTCTGGGGACGAGGGGCAAGCCCTAAACAACCCGCCCAAGTAAATTTTCGACGGATTCGATCAGCCACCATCCCAGATCGTTCACAGTATAAATTCCTGGACTACGCAGTCACTCAATGGGCCTTGCAAACCAAGAAAATAACTTCCCTATCTTCAGTTTGGGATAAATTCAAGCAACTCTCGTTGAGTTTCAACGAAACCTGGAATTTCCACCCTTGGGTGGTCGGCGGCCGCTCACAAACCTCACGTCTACATGGCCTCTTCGGATGGGCCGTTAAGGAAGGGCACATTCCGCTGTTGGAGTTGGTACTCGCTTCTGACCGAGATATGCGAGAAATCTGTAACCTCCCGCTGGTCGATGACCGGCTTCCTGCACTTCATGTCGCCTCAAAATTGGGGCTTGTGGATGTCGTCGCTCTCCTTCTACCTATTTGCGAATCGAACTTGCAAGACGAAGAAGGATATACTGCCTTACACCATGCAGCTAGTAAGGGGCATGGAGGTGTTGTATCCATGCTTCTATACTTAACAAGCATGAAAATAGACATCCCGTCAAAGACCCAAGTTACCCCACTTTGGCTAGCTGCCAACCATGGCCACTGCGACCTCGTGCGGGCTCTGACTGAGAGACAAGCGAATCTTGAAGCTAAGGAAAGTCCGTCGCAACGGACGCCTCTTTCACAGGCTGCTAGCAATGGCCATCAGGCTGTTGTCGACTTTCTTGTGGACAAGGGAGCGAATCTGGAAGCAAAGGACGCCGGTGGTCGGACACCGTTATCCTGGGCCGTCACGAATGAGCATCTGGACACGGTCGAGCTGTTACTTGAGAGAGGCGCCAATCCCGCTTGTAAATTTGGGAACAAAGGGGAATTGCTGTTATGGGCAGCGCAGACTGGACATGCTGCTATCACAGGCTTGCTAGCTGCGAATCCCGAGACGGATCTAAACGTTACCGATGACAAAGGGCTAACAGGGTTATGGTGGGCTGTCCAGAATCAGAACTTGGAGATTGCGAAGATTCTTCTTGACCGCGGGGCAAATCGGGAGATCCGAGATGCTGACGGCCAGACGCCTCTACTGTGGGCAGCGAGAAATAGGCACGATGCACTGACTAAATTACTGCTCGAAAAAGGCGCAGCTATCTCTGTTCAGGATAAACAAGAGAGAACAACGCTTTTCTGGGCTGTCGAGCATAGCCACGAGGAAATAGTCAAGCTGGTGCTAGACCGGGTCGGAAACCACACGGGAAAGAACCAGTTACTCGACTCTATTGCCTCGTGGCCTGTACCAACACGAACTGACACAGTGGACTTGTCCCTCGACAGAAATGGAGACTTTGAAGATAAGACGCCGTTACTGTCGGCTGTAAGAAAAAGCTTCGAGTTACTGGCTCAGCGGCGTACCACCACGGTGTCGCGAGGAGGTTTTCCCAGACAGGCAACATCGATGTGGTCCACAAGAGGCGGGCAAAGGGCCCTACTCGAGCTGATCCTTCAAAAGAATCAAGATGACGTCCATAAGTCGAACCGATCCCTCCTAGAGGCTGCAAAGCAGGGCAATGTGCTCTTTGCGAAGCTGCTGGTTGACGAGGGTGCTGATATCCACACGAGAACTGTGTACAGGGAGACACCACTATGGTGGGCTTCAAGAAATGGACATGTGGCGCTTGTAGAATTTTTGTACGACAAGGGGGGAGATATCGAGGCTCGGGATAAGTTTGGCCTCACGCCATTAGCTTGGGCGGTTGAGAATCGACACTGGCCAGTTGTCGAGCTACTAGTTGGCTGGGGCGCTAACATTGAAGCCTCCGACAAGTCCGGCCAGACACCGCTCTCTAGGGCTGATGCCAGGGAAATGCGAAATTTATTACTTAGGCAATGAAGCAACGCAGCACGTGTAATTCTTTTATCAAGTTCCATAGGTCCTTTAGAAGCATCTTCTTTCGGCTTGCTAAGCGTTAAGGGAAATGATATAGCAGACCAGACGTGTACCCTAGGCCTTGTATTTAAAGCTCGGACTTATGAGGGAGGATAGGTAACTTAGGTGAGAATTCATACCCTATTCTCACCCACTCTCACCCCGTTCTTACCTCTTGTCACCCCAGTCTCCAAACTTCTCACCCACACTCCTCCCAAGATAGAATCCAACACCATTTTGGAGCCTAGGGCGCATTAAGAACTTTCCGCGTACTATACGTGGCTTAAGTACGGCTGAGAGGGCGGGAAGCCCTGTTCTCCACGCCCTGTGGTCGTATGTGCTAGGAAGTGGCTCAAAGAGGGCTATATTCATCACAACTAGGGCTCTTATGAGTAGTTTACTAATTTCTGCTTTTGGCAATGGCAGTCTCAGAATGCAGTGGGTTATCAATTCGAAAGTTTGATACCAATAAGCCCAAACAACGGACTGTATCACATATGAAACTCTTAAATTTTACCAGGTCGCCTGTTAAACTACACATAGTCGGCAATCATCACCGGGCCGTTGATCATTGCCATATCATTATCTTGGATGATACCGAGGTATTGCAATCTCGCAGCATATTATAGGTACGACAGGGAACAATGTGCGAAATTTTCTTATATTTCCTAAAAAAAACATAAGATCTTCTTTAACGCGCGATGATCGTCTACAGCGGCTGATACGTTTTACATCATAAAGCCATATCGAGGGGCACATGAGAAATGTTTAATATTTAATGTAAGAATATAAACATGACTAATTCGCTATTCCAGCTAAAGGCTCGTAACATCGTTAGTCGATAAATAATACTCAAATAATCCATCCTATAGTTCCATCCCAATTCCTCAACCCCTTGGAACTTCTACGCAACATTCTCTCTCTTGGTGAACACCAGGGCCAAATCACCCGGCGTAGCCGTAAACTGGTCCCTCATCTTGCCCTCGACGCTTTGGATATACTTCTCGCGCTGGCCAGCAGGGAAATCGAAGCGATATTTAGTAATGAGGACCGTGATAACTGTCCACATCTCGATCATCGCGACATCCTTGCCCAGGCATGTGTAGCGACCTAGAACAGGTCAGTGAGAAGGTCATTGTTTTCAGGCTCCAAGCTCTCAGGAAGACATACCTTGAGCGAAAGGTAGGAATGAACGAGTATCCTTGACCAGCTCGGGCTGAGTATCGAAACGTTCGGGGATCCATTCATTGGGTCGAACGAAACAGCTTTCCACTACGGCGGCGTCAATTGTCAACAACTCAATCATACCTTTCATTACCCCATGCCAAAATGATATGTAACTTACATCGACCCAGAACATAACGAGGAGCAACGATAGTCGTGTTACCCGGAATGAAAGTGCCGTCGATCATCATACCTTCGGGTGGTGTATCCCGATTACCTCCTGTAGGGACGGCAGGGTGTAGACGTAAGGTCTCCATGATGACGGCATTGAGATAGGGCAGCTTCTTTAAAGTGGCTGTATCTTTGATGCTCACACCCTTGACTTCTTGATACAATGTTTCAGCCTTGTCGGGATTCAAGGCCAATTGGTAGATTGCAAACACCAGCGTGGGGGCGACGGTGTCACTAATACCTGAGGTGAATATGCAGGGCCAGATTCTTGGACAATATTTTATCCTTATTAGGCAGTTGTACTCACCTTCCAGCTACGATTGCGACGATAGCATCACCAACAAGCTGCTCCTGGTCTTCTTTCAGCGTGCCCCTCTTTCTTGAATCGGCGATGATCCCCTGCGCCACGTCGTGGGAATCCGGTTCCTGTGGAAGTGGGGTATGTTAGCTAGCTCAGCCCAGCCTGCATCCAAGCCCATGTGGAAAGTGGAGGAATGTGGTATCAAAGGTACGAAACGTACATCAACGCGAAGCTGCATCTGGTTAGCGCACCAAGAGATCATAGTGTGCCAGTCGTGCACCACCCAGTACCCCTTAAGCAACCAAAATCCAATCTGTGCAGCCCAGGGCACCGAGGAGAAAGGGCCCAGCAAAGTCATGGCTTTGCGTAGATTGCGGATACTGTAGTGCCAGCGCTCACTGTGAAGCATGTCAAAGGAGCGAGAAAAGGCAAAGAGACCCATGATGTCGAAAGCAAACCAGTAGATGTACGTGGAAATAGGGACGGGGCTTCCCTTAGCACCGGCAATGATAGCATCCATATCTTTGACATGAGCCTCAATGTGCTCTTGGTACTTCTGCATTGCGCTGTTCGAAAAGCCCTTGATCCACAGACGCCGACGCTGGTCATGCCAGCCTCGGTCACGAATGGTAGTCACACCGACATTTGGCAGAAGGAAGTCATACCAGACGGACTTGCTGGTTTTACTGCCCGGCCCATCGAGCAGGGCCAATCCATTCGGATGGAAGACGGTGATTTCATTCGGACCCGTCCGGACGAAGTCACCATACTCGCGACGCATCCTCTCCAGGACCAGATGGTTCTGACCATTGCGGCATTGGTACATGTGCCATAATTTGGTCAGACCTGCTAGACGAGGGCCAGGGAAGTGGCGAGTGCGATGAGCAAAGAGACGATAAGCAGCAATGCTGAACAGAAGAGAGAAGGTGAAGCTGCCCACGATGAGGCCAGCATGTCCAAAAGCGGCAACACTCAAGGTCTTTCTTGCCTCCAACAGCGCCAGGACTGCATATGCGGCAACAACGGTCTTGATGATTCGAGGTCCTTGCATATGCCATTCATTTTTAATGAAGACAAGATGATGGACGAGGATACCAAAGACGCCAACGAGGGCACATCTTGCCAGCAATGGCCGTTCAGCCATGAACGTCATGACAGGCTCAGCATGAAACTTTTCCACGACCAAGTCCATGTTGAGAATGGAAATTGAGAGTCCAGGTGGGAATCACGGAGTACTCGGATAGAGAACTCGGAAAAAGAGAAACCAAGCCCCGATAAGTGCGTGTGAATATGTGATTATCGCGAGTAGCTGATAGAGGACCTAGCCCCTTGGTAGGTTCGGAAGCATACAAAGCTCCACAGGTAATCAGCACCAGGGCCAGTTGTGATTGCGAATGTGGATTTGTGTAAATATGCCGTTCGAGAGAAAGAGAAATATAGTGACGTGGTTAGTGCTGGAATTAGTGTTGCAAGGGGCTCGGTTCGGCCAGATCATCGGCGGCACGGGTAGGTTCCCTGTGAAGGTTTGGGAGAGATCGGGGGGAAGGAAAATAAAAGTGGGAAAAAAATTGTGGAAATTCATAAAAATTCAGACAAGTCGGAAATAAGAACTAGGTAAGAACGCCGCGACGCAACTAACTTATTCGCCCCCTCTCTCTACAAGAAATGAGATGACAAGGGGAAACATAAATTGATCCGAGGTTCCCTTGATACACTCCCCCCTCACCCCTTCGATCAAACGGTTTTTTTTTCTTTTTTCCGGCTATTTCGGTCCAAAGCTGTACTTTCATGCATAGATCATAGAATGACCACCATCATGGCTACGGACGCCCCAAAGATCCCCCGCCAGCAAGCGGTTAAGCACCCCTTGCCTGTTCAGCGACTTTTGTCTCTATTGAACCACATTTCAGAACAGCCAGGCCACTTCATATATTCAATCTGGCTGTTTACATATAGTGACCTTAAGACCATCATCGCCACTAGCTTTGGCTTTGGTCTACTTACCTCGCTGGGGGCAGCATCCTTCGGGATTGATCCCGCGCCTGCATGGTCAATATGCTTCCAGCGAGTGCCCCTCGCCCTATTATGGACATGGCTGAACCTTCTACCTTTTACGATCGACAATCAGCGCCAACCAGAGGCTATCATGGAAGATTCGCTCAATAAACCGTGGCGAACCATGCCGTCCAAACGCATGACGGCAGAACACGCCCAGGTGGTGATGTTCATTCTCTATGCAATCGCATTAGGTACCAGCATCCGGGTTGGCGGACTCGCACAGTGCATAACGCTCATTGGACTCGGCTTCTGGTACAACGATGCGAGGGGCGCGGATATTAGCTGCATTCTGCGCAATCTCATCAACGGGCTTGGCTTCATGTGCTTCACTTCGGGCGCTGCGCAGCTGGAGCTAGGTCCATCCCAGTGGCAATCATTCATCCGGACAGATGGACTGGGTCTACCATGGCTGGCCATCATTGGCGCGATCGTCTTTACCACCGTCCAGACCCAGGATATGTATGACCAGGCCGGAGATAGTGCTCGAGGCCGGAAGACGCTGCCTCTGGTGATTGGTGATGCTAGCGCACGCTGGGTAACAGCTGCAACCATGGTGTTTTGGGGCATCGTTAGTCCTTGTTACTGGGGTTGGCTGCGGACTGGCCGGAGCGGGGTCCTGTTCTGGGGCGGGGCCTACATGGCAGCCCTTGCATGCATCATCGCCGGTCGTACTTTGACGCTGCGCTCCGTCCCTGCTGACAAGAAGACCTTCTTGTTGTGGAATTTGTGGTTGGTCAGTCAATACGCGCTGCCGCTGTGCGCTGGGCTCGGACGAGCAGGTGGGGTGTGAAGAAATAACCACGCCAGTCCATGGTGCAACAGAGGAGAATCAGTGAGGGGTTAGAAGGGAAAGAACAATTGGAGAAGAGAAGAATGATTGGAGAGGGGCCAGAAGTCTTTCGATGGGCCAATTGGCGTTCTCGATGGCCATACGAGGGCTATTTCATTCGGAAAGGAAAGGTGGGTTTTTGCCCTAACCTAGAAGGTTCTTGTCTTTGTTAACCTCGATCTCCTGTTCTTATTCCTTATTTGTTGGTTTCCCTCTGCCAGTTTTTTTTTCCCTTTCTTCGTTCAAGCTCTTTCCCTATTTGATTCTACTTGCATGTCCTTGTTTTTTTATTATCATTTTCTTCCTTTACTTCGAGGTCCCTTCGCCGTGTTTCGTGTCTAGTTTGTTGACCTCGGAGCAAAGAGTTGAAATTGGGCGGAGCTCCTTTTTTTCGCGGGCGAATAGCCCTGCTATGCTATGCATGATGATACGATGAATTTTTACTACTACAGCATAGATTGCTCAGTCGTTAGCGTGAATTATCTTAGACGAAGGAAATGAATTTTTGTTGACGGCGCTAAAACAATCTTAACACGTTTTCATATTCGGCCAGGTCCGGGGTGCCTGTTTGAGATAAGTTTTGTGCGAGTCCGTTGAAAGTCTGTTTACGAAAAAGTACTTGATGCTCCGTGTTTAGTTGCATGCACTGTACTTCGTCTGTGCGAACGGGACGTTGGCGCGCTTCGACGGATCTTAGCGCCATGCCCTAACGCACATCGCCATGCACGATTCAGGTTCCCTGCATCGACTGCAGCCTGGATATTGCCAATCAATTGACTCAATTGCGACCCGGGTCCGACAGAGTAAAAAGCCACCAACGAACCGAGAGCGACTTGGCATGTCTCAAAGTGCTTATGGATCAAAAGATCCTAGCTGTTAATCCCGCGTCAGCCTGGGGGATGTACTTCTGCGCACAGTCCACCGTTGCATAGAGTATAACATAACCGTAGCACGAAGTCCTCCGTATATTTGGGGGCCAGGGCCATCACCCATGGAACCCGGTTGCATGGCGCTAAAATAGTCTTAAGAGTGCATTCTGCACACCCCTGCTAGCCACGAGGGGAAATGGTATCCGGGATTCTAGTTAAGGATCGCCCGCAGCAGATACTGCAAAGGGCAATACCCTTAGCGTGTAATTTAGCGTCGGAGAATAAAAAAAATACAATAAAGAGCGGGAAGATCATAATGGAAGATCAAACAAGTGGGAAAATCACATATTGACAATCCATCCATATGGCTTCCGAAATGTCTCTGCTTTGAGCCTATGATCCATCACTGTGGAGATTTGACTTCGCTTTCTAATTATTCTTCCTTCACGGCGTGGTCTTCCCTCCGCACTATGTGGGCCGCCCCCTCAATTGCCAACTCACTCGACGACGAACTATAGGTCAATTCTCTGGAAACTTGCCATCCAAAAGGTGTAACCAGCCATGTGCTCCGTTACTCTTCGGCTTCGGATCTAATCAGCTCCGCTGTTTTTTCAGCCACGGCGTAAACCGTTGACATGATGTTGGCCGCGGGGATCAGCGGGAAGATACTGGCGTCGCACACCCGAAGGTTAGTCGTGCCATACACTCGAAGTCGTTCGTCAACGACTCCCCCACTCTCCCTCGGGAGCATAGCTGCTGTCCCGCAGGAATGATAGGTGGTGGTGGCCGTATCGCGAATGTATCTCTTAGCGCTGTCTAGATCGGTCAAGAAGGCGTCGGGATGATTACGACGCCCATTGGGCTTGAGAAATCGCGCCAGTGGCTCGGCCTTGTGCAATCTTTCCAGGTCCAGCAGATTGCGCGAAAAGAGGTCCAAGTCCAACGGGTGCGACAAGTAGCGTGGGTCGATCGCGGGCTTGTCCCTTGGATCCGCTGAGGAGATGTGGACGTGCCCGCGGGAGAACGGCATACTTTGAATCAGACCCAGACTCAGAAAGTTTCCGGGAAGCAGATCTTGCCCCACGAAGCTCTTGCCGCTTTCGTGCAAGTTCGCCTGGGCCAGGAACATGACATTCGAACAAGTTGGAGCCTTGGGCTGGACGAATATCTCGCGAATTGCTTCTCGGCGACTGTCCGGCTCCGAAAGGAACTGATCCATGTACGTGGCCATGCTTTCCTGACTACCCTCGGGTCCGTTAAATTCACGGACCGGCATATAGGCGCCAGATTGCACTCCACCACTTGCCATTGGACCAGCCTGGTGCTCCGTGTATAGCTGCATGGCGGCTTGCAGCGCGGTCGGCTCCCGTCGCAGTAAAGGGTCGCCAGTGTGGATTCCTTCAGCGACCTCGAAGCTAATCCCAGTCATCAAATGATCCTGGAGGTTTTCGCCCACATTTGGATTATCCACCACAACCGGGATGTTAAATTGGCGGAGGATCGACGCGTTTCCAATCCCGGATAGTTCCAGAAGCTTGGGGGTATTGAGGGCCCCTGCGGAGACAATCACCTCTCGCTTAGCGATTATTTGGTGGAGTTCACCCTGAATCATTGTCTCGACTCCGGTTGCCGTCGCATCGCGGGTTTCACCCGTAGCAGGCTTGAACAGAACCTTGTGTACAAGTGCCTCGGTTATGATGCGGACACTGGGCCGCTGCATCGCGGGCAAGCCATAGCCCAACGCGGCATAACTTCGTGTCTTGGTGTCGGCATCCACGGATGCCATTGTACTATATCCTCCAGTAGAATCGCCGGAGAAAGGATCAGAGGTGACTCCGTAGCCGATGGACTCGAAGGTCTCAACCCAGGCTTTGGATAAAGGGTCTTGAGCCACGGCCGGAAAGGAGACCTTGAGAGGTCCCGAGGATCCATGATTCTCTTTGTCCACCCAGCTTAGACCAATATGCTCCTGAGTCGCCTGGTCTGGCAGCTGGAGTGTGTAAGACTTCTTGTAGAATGGCTGTAACGCTTCCCATGTCCAGGTGGTGGCTCCTAGTTTGGACCATGCATCAATACCTGCCTTTGTAGGGGCAATGAAGGCTTGCCCGTTGATTCCTGATGATCCACCAAGGAGTTTTCCCTGCGGTTCTTTGATGCATCGGTTTCCCAGTGTGGCCTACAAGGTGCGATCAGATACCACTTTTTGATTGAAACTCGAGAAGCAAAAATAAATGATGTCTTACCTGAGGGCTCGTCTTGTATTGCCAATCCACATCTGACCCCATCAGAGAGGTCCAAAGAGCAGGAATGTTGACTCGAGGATCTTGAGTCGTATCTCTACCAGCTTCCAAAACCACAACAGTAGTGCTGGGGTCCTCGGATAGCCGCGCAGCCATGACCAAGCCAGCCGTTCCTCCTCCGACGATGACATAGTCTGCCTCCATAGGGACTGAACTTGACGTAGACATGTCTGGCGTAGAACTTTGTGTCGAACAGTGCAAGTGTAGAGAGATGAGGGGATACAAAAGGGCAAGGTTTCGCCTCGTCCAACGATCTGCCCCGCTGTGTATGGTGGGGTGATCGCGCGGCTGTTTGGAGCAGAATCGAACGATGGGTCTACCTAGTCTGTTGAGGTGAGTAAGCTTGTTCTCTAATAACTCTCCACATACAATAGAGTATCTATTCGAACAATGAAAGTTATGACCTGTATATAACCTGGGTATAAGCACTATCTTTTGACTGTGAAGTATAGGTCGTTCGGCGATCATTCCATATCACCATTCCCATCGCTTTTATCATGCCCCTCAATAATTCCGTGCTTCATTCACGGCCATTGGTCGGAAATACAACTCCCACTCCCACCAGATGTCGATCTGCCTAGTCCATATCTCGATCGGATCGGGGTCGACTGCGAGTACCGAACAGTCATTACTGTCATAGCCATTGCCAAGGCATCTATCGATGCTGCCATATTATGGTGATCCATGCATATCATCCTAGGTCCTGATTTAACCTCCAAGTGCTGAGATAGGTCTCTCTACCAGGGTTACGGCTAAGACTTGGAGTAGTTTGGTAGTACCCAGGAATCCCAGTGTCCGTGGACGATAAGCGCCAATTGCTCAAACTCAATTTTCTAATTTTCTAAGGCAGAAAGTCCGGCAGAATCCACATAACCTACAGAAGAGAAAAGACAAGAGAAAATAGAAGGAAAGGGATAGTCAAATCGGTACTACAGTAATAGCATCACCCTGGCCTAAAGAAGAAGGCATCAGGGCAAAGTCGATAAACTGACCAATTATGGGGTTTGAGCAATTGGCGTTTATCGTCCGCCCCAGTCCAGTCCGGGGAGGATGGACTATCCCCATAGAAAGTTAATTATTGATTTCCAACCGTGGGTTGCTCTCTTACTCTCTCCCAGAGATCTCTACCCAGCGATCTTACCCATTGCCTCGTATTCGTCTGAGGAGAGAAACCCCACAATCTAAGATGATAGTTTTGCTGATAAGAACATAATAATAGTCGATTGCGATCATAACTATTTCCCTCGCTTATAGCGATATGCCCCTCCATCCCCTCCTTCCTCCAGTCATCGAGGGGCAGTCGGCCAAGCTCCGGCCGCAGTTTGGGCAACTTGGCAAGTGGTTAGTTAGGGCAAGGATCTCCTGGGGAGGCGGGAAATGGCACTACATGACGGCGTTGATGTACGTAGAACGTTTCAAGTCCATTTCTGACGCCTTTTCTAACTGCTTAAGTTAGATCCTGCAGCCGAAGATCTGAGTACGAAAGACGGAGCAAGACTTTTAAGGTCAGTCCTTCGTAACTCGATTTAACCACTGCGTCTTCTTTCATGAAGAGGCGGATCGATTGTTTTTGGAGTGTCGCGGGCGACGGTATTCTCCACAATTTCCTCCCCACTGAAGCCTACCATCGCCTCATTTTGACCATTCAGGGGCAACGATGCGCTCGCTCCCCCCAAAGGAACTGGTTCTTTGGGTCGCGTCGTCCCGAAAGCCGGTTCTAGCGGACGGTAACCGACCGGTCGAGAACTATGACATCTAGAGGGTCTGCTAACTATATACTGGTAGTGCTACCACCCAAGGGCCAGATGGCTTGGAATGAGGGGGTCAATTAACAATGCTCACGATCTTGAGTGGAAGGATTCCAGGCAATAGTGGCAAATTAGTCGAATAAGGATCCTCCCATAACTCCTGGACAAATTCGTTGCTCTGTGCGCCCCCCAGGTCCACTACACCAAGACAGGCTCACACGTGTCGGTTGTCAAAAGCACCTGCGGTCCTGCGCCACACGCGGAAGATCAAGCAAGGGGATGAGCCAAAACGAGCAAACGCGAGGTGCCAAGAGTGAGTTAGGATACAGCGTCTGGCGAATATAACAGTCGCAATCAGTTCGATAGCGCCGTTAAACGTCCAGTTTTTGTGTTCTTCTAAGGAGACGAGACAGCGGGTGGAGTCTTCTTCTTTCACGCTAGCGAGTCGCTGAAGATGATTATTGGAGTGGATTGGCCTTGAGAGTTACCTATTGCGAAGATTAGCGTCTGTAAATGACCCAGCGCTATGGCTAGAAAAAGCAATCATTTAGCGGTGGCCGTTCCAAAGGATTCAGACTGCAGAGCATCGAGGACGACATTGACAAATCGGATACTGTGTACTTCGTACGATTGTCGTAGGCAATATTTCGGAGATACAACTCCGTTTCTTTGTGACGAGTTCTGGCCACTCTGAGCAGTTCCTGGATATCAAGCATATTTCACCAACCACCGACCTAATTACAACCAAAATTAGATCATGAAAGATGCCAACCTGGGATAACGGTTTTCTTCCCGTCTTCACCTCCCCAGTGACCTGATTCTCCAACTATTGTCTTCAATTGTGGCTCGAGAGAGGGGCGGCACACCCGCGCATTAGCGCCCTCCCGGAAGGTTATAGTGTAGACCCGCATCACTGCCTGCGTTGCAGCCACTGACTCTTCACTCGACAATCCCTGTCATTTCTTCTTCAAGCTGCTCGGCACAGATCACAGGCTAGCAGCCATGCCATGAAACAGTGAAAAAAAGCATTGAGGTCGAATCTCCTTTCTCCCCCTCGAGAGGCCTTCATATCACCATTCCTTCCCAACCTCCGCCTCGACTTCCTGTCTCCGGCCTAGCTTTCTCTATCTTTTCCCACCCCTGCGAGCTCCGAAAATGGCTATTTCCAATGATGTCGAGCCATGGGCCGAGGGCGCAGAGAAATACAGAGGACAACGCCTATTACCCCACGTTATTGACTATTACGCCCATCATGAGCCCGATCGCGTTTTCGCCGCCATTTCCGAGTCCGAGAGCGTTGCCAGTGGCTTTCAGGACATCTCTATGAAGACAATGGCCACCGCTATCGATCATATGGCTTGGTGGCTTCAACGGACCTTGAAAGGTAGCAAGAAACGACGGACCTTGGCCTACATTGGTGCGGCCGACTTGCGATATGCGATTGTGCTGCTGGCAGCTATTAAATGTGGATGGAGGGTATGTCTGACGCTCAGACGAGCGAAATGAAAATCTTGAAGCTCTCTCCCCAATTGCACAGGATGATCTAATTTTAATATATTTTTCTCTACTTATAGACAATTTTTATCTCGCCGCGCAATCCCGCCATCCTCAACCTCGGCTTACTCCAGCAGGTCGACGTCAGTGCGCTTCTATACGCAGACGTCTTACGGTCAATGGCGAAAAGCTTGCAGAAATTCGATCCCTCCATGTCCTGCAAGCAGGTCCCTTCATTGGCTGATCTGGTCAAATCCCAAGCTCCACCATACCGCTTCGAGGCTTCCTGGCACGATTTGAGAGATGAAAAGTGCTTGATTTTACATTCATCCGGGTCGACAGGTATAGCGATGATCTAACCTGGTTACGTTGCAGAGCTCTATCTAATCAATTGAAATATATAGGACCTCCAAAACTCGTTTATCTCACCCACTATACATTCTCATGCACCGATAATGACCCCAAGGTACCCGTGCCAGAGGGCCGGCAACTGCAAAATGCGGCGCAATTTCACTTTGATCCGCCTGGGCGCTTTTATTCTTGCTTCCCACCCTATCATGTGAGATCGCATACTGTGGCGTTCTCATCAACTTGGAAGCTAACTCTTGATATGATTTAGATGGCTGGCGTGCAGTCATTTACACTTTTACCAGCTTTCTCACAAACGGCGACAGTTATCATGGGTCCACCTATGATGCCACCTAGTGGATTCTTGGTGGATTCAATCATGAAACAGCAGGACGTTCGAGCTCTTTACCTGCCCCCATCTGTTATTGAACAGTGGGCAATCGAGCCGGCCGCCTACAAACAAGCAGAGAATCTAGATTTTGTGCTTTACAGTGGCGGGCCATTGGCGAACAGTGTTGGAAACCGCCTCGACGAGATCACGGATGTCTGCCAAATGTATGGTTCAGTTGAGATGGGCCAGATTCAAATGCTCGTGCCCAATCCGGGCGAGTGGGATTACTTGGAACCAAATCCCGCCGAGGAATGCGACTTCCAGGAAGTAGATGAAGGCGAGGGCGTCTACGAGCTGGTGTTGCACCCTGACAAGAAGTTTATCGGCCAGCGATCTCTCGCCCACACCTTCCCCGATGTCACGGGCGAGTGGCGGACCAAGGACTTGTTCAAGCCTCACCCATCGAAGCCCGGACTGTGGCGCTTCCACTCACGCACTGACGATATTATCGTGTTGGCCAGCTCCCATAAAGTATGGCCTATTCCCATGGAGACTACCTTGGCTGGTGATCCCCTCATTGGTGGTGCTTTGATGGTCGGCAATGGCCGTCCTGAAGTACTTCTTCTAGTTGAGCCACGGCCCGGACCGCAGGTGGACCGAATGAGCAAAAAAGAGTTCATCGACGCTATTTGGCCTACGATTGCAAAAGCAAACGCGAATGCACCCGAGTACGGCAAAATCCGCCGGTCACGAATCGTCCTCAGTCAGCCTAATCTGGGATTCTTCCGAGCACCCAAGGGAACCATTTCGCGGCAGCCAACAGAGTCGCTGTACGCCGAGTACATCGCTGCTGCCTTTATTGACGGTACCACCGACGAACAGAGCGAGATTGGCATTTTGGAGAATCACTGGCTTGATGAGGCTAAGAGATTTATCGGCTCCGTGGTGCACGACATCCGACCGGAAATTACACTGAAAGAAAGCGATGATTTCTTCGTTGCTAAGGCCATGGACTCGCTCACCGTGCTTGAGCTCGGTCAAAAGCTACGATTGGGTTTGATTCGACGCATGAACCCGGAAAAGAACACAATAAACTTTTGGCTACGCACAATTTTCGAAAATCCTTCCATTGAGGCTCTGGCCAAAGCCACCCTTGATTCTGTCATTGGCAAAGGAGACTTTGACGAATACAGTTCCCGGAGTTTCAACGCGGAGCACGTTTTGGAGGAATGCGTGGCTCAATTACCGGAGCCTAGTGGACTGGAGCCAGAGCTTGAACTTCCCACTGAGGATATCAAGGTTGTTCTGCTCGGTTCTCGGGGCCGCCTGGGCCCTTACATTGTCAGAGACTTGCTGAACGACCCCCGTGTGGCCGGTATCAAGTGTCTGGATCGAGGTGGCAGCGGCCAAACTGAATTCCAACGCCGAGTCGATGAACTCGGCATTGACGTGGAGGCTAGTAACGCGCGCTTGCAGTTCATCTCTATAGAACTCTCCCATCAAAACCTGGGTCTCTCCCAGAATCAGATGGCTGAAATTCTGAACCACGCTGATGTGATTATTCACAATGTCTGGGCTGTCAACTTTGCGCTATCACTGTCTTCATTCAAACCCGAGATGCTGAAGAGTCTCAACACTGTCATTGAGATCGCAAACAAGGCTCCATCACGACCTCGCATTGTCTTCGCATCGAGCACAGGTACCGTATCCGCCTGGGCCAAAGCCGTAGCTCCGAACGTCCCTGTCCCGGAGGAAGTCATCAAGTGCGCCAGCGCCGCGACACTAACCGGCTACGCCCAATCCAAGCACGTCGCAGAGCGACTACTAGCGACCGCCGGTGCCAAGCTTAAAATCCCCATTTCAATCCTACGTATTGGCCAGATCGCCGGCCCAACCACAATCGGCGACGGCGGGAAATGGGAAAGCCACGACTGGATGCATTCGCTCGCCATCCTCTCCAAGGCCTGTGGCTTGGTTCCCTCCGAGGTGGCGGAAATCGACTGGATCCCCGTCGATCAAGTCTCACGTATCGTATCCGATATCACGCTCCAGGAGAAACACGAAGGCGAAACTGGGACGCCCTTTGTTCAACTATACAACGTCGTGCACCCGCGACCAATTCAGTTCTCCATTTTCGCGGATGCCCTGCAATCGTGTATTTCTTCGTCGCGGCAGGTGGGATTCCACGAGTGGGTTGATCACCTGGCGAGTCTGACGCCGGATAAGCTTTCCAAGGAAGCAGGGGCTGAGAAGACGCGCATTTTGCCCTTTTTCCAGGCTGTTGTTGAAGAACAGTATCCCAAGTTTGCGCTCGAGAAGGCTAAGAGAGCTAGTTCGATGATGGCGGAGATGGAGCCTATTGATAAGGAAATGTTGGCGACGTGGTGTCAACAGTGGACGAAGACTTAGAGAGATGTGGATTTTGGGATGATGATCTACCCGTTGACTTGATCAAGGGGGTATAACGATTTATGAATAGCGTTATGATTAAGCACTTGATTCGCGAAATACAAACTTAATCATGGGTCTTTGAAGGAACATGCAAAGAATTACATTCGCAAGGCGAGTAGGTGGTAGTTCTGTAGTATTTGTATCTCGCAGACAATCCTCAGTTCCATGGTCTCCAGAAGAGGCCCGTCGGATCCCAAACGCCGGCTAGTCTCTTCAACTCTGCCACCCTGTGCTCAGCAAACAATTCCCCCGCGTCAATTTCTGGGCCCATGTTATTTAGGATTGTGCGCGGGAACTCCGTGGTCTGTGTGTTTTGCCTGTACAGAGCTTTTATTCCAGCGGCAAAGTCTTTCGCAGCTGGCGTGGTCTCTGTTTCGTTGAACCAACTGATAACCAATGCCTGAATTCCTCTATCGCGAACATCACAATATCGGACTCGCCCTTCTGCCGTGTCCTGGATCTCAAGTTGCTTTTGAGTATTGGAGCTACTCAACACTAGGGTCGTACGTTTCGCATCGTCGTATTGTGTGGTGAAATCAAGCCATTTCCTAACTGCAGCTATGATGGTCTCTGCTTGCGTCTTTTTGAGCCAAGCAGACTGAATGTCTTTGAACCCGCCATGGATGTTCATGTGATTGAGTCCATCGTTTAGCGTGGAGAGCGGAGTAAAGACAGTCTGTGAAGTAATCGCCTTGGCGATTGTTCCCTCTTCGAATAGGATTGAAGTGAGTCCCTCTGCCTCTTCTGGCGGCCCAAAATAGGTAACTGTAAGGACACTCAGCGGTGCTCCCGGTTTGGGGGCAGTCGGTGGTGCTCTCGCACAAACCAATGACACGACCATAGGTGGAGGAGGGGGCTGTAATTTATCAAACAAACCCGCAGCAAGTTCAATCTCCGAAGCAGGAAAGATGAGTCTGCGAATCCAAGCTCCATTTTCAGATAGTCGAAGGGACTTGAGAGGAAAAATTCTCATTGTCAATGAGGTAACCACACCAAGCCCGTTGCCTGCTCCGCACAGTGCATTGAATAGTGCAAGATCGTCACCAGTCGACGAAGGAGTCAATTCCACGATTCTCTTGTCCGAAGTAACAAGACGGATGGAAAGCACATGGTCGATCATCATTCCATGTAGTCCAAACAAAGTTGGCTTTTAACGAAGTGAATTAGCTATACAGTCTTCGGTACGCAGTTGGGCGACTTACATTTCCGCCTCCCAAGATACACCCAACAACACCAACAGCATTGCTGTTAGGCCAAGTGGTGTAGAATCCTTGTTCAGTGCATGCCTTGATCAAGTCGCTCGTCACGGCTCCACCCCCCACTGTGACAGTGTGATGATCGCTATCCACTTCGACCTTGTTGAATCTTTTCAAATCAAGATACAGGGTCTTGGACGTGATTGGGGATAAGAATCCATGGCCCCCGCCAGCAGGTAATAGCTGCAGTGCATGGTCACGGGCACAGTCTATCGCTTTGAGAATGTCTTGCTCAGAATTTGGAATAATTGTGAGTGCAGGGCGCTCATTAATGTTGGTGAAAGACCATCTAGAGATGGATTCATGGATCGACTTGGAATAGTCCGGGGCGATTATATCGCCTTCGAGCTGGATTTCGCTCATTTTCTTCGTTGCCTTGATAATTGACTGAATAACAACGGATGAGGTGAGAAAGAGGGATAGGAATGAGTTGACATAAGAAGATGTCAGCGTCGGAGGTCACAGAACTAGCCCGCCTGCTGACGGTGCAGGGTAAGGTTTAGGGGACGTGCAACTCCTTAATGTAGTTAGGTCATGTGCTAAGCTTAGATCGCCACTGATTAGTATCGTGGGGCGTATTTAGGCTTACTAAAATATGTTGGGCCATATAATATTATAAAGGGAATATCCATCTAGACATGAACCAATGAGCTTCCACATAATGAGGCGGACCGAGGATTACAAGTAAGTCAATCTGGAGCTACGAACCAATGGAACACGATTCTTGAGATTCTAGATCCATTCAGGCGTCCCGCATTACCCGGCTGAGCTGTTACATACTTACTTCAGAAAGAAGTCAGAATCCATAATTACGAAATGGATCTATCTGTCGCTTCTTCGGAATATATGGTGAGAATGAGGTACCAGAGACGAGTTAAGAGTGAATGAGAAAAATGATGCGAAACATCATCCATACAAAAAGTATTTTCAATATTCGTAATCTGTGAACGATGAGGTTGTTCAAGACTCCACATAACATATCTTCTGAACAAGCTTTACACTTTCCGCTTCAACAATCCGCGGAAGAAATCAAAGCTGTTGCTATCACTTTGCAACTGCCAGACCCGGCCAGTCGGGCGATCATTCCAACCAAGTTCCTCCGCAAGCAGCAGACCATAGTCGCGAGTGATACCTTGGATTCGAGCACGAGCACCACCCTCTTCTTCCAAAGTAACAATCTGGTGCATGTGTAGCCAGTCTTCATAGTACATCGCTTCAAAGCCACGGTCAAAGCCTGTCCGAAGGAACCGCGTGTACAGATCTTCAAATGTGGTAAGAATACGTGCGAGAAGCTTCTCCAATGTGATGGGTGAAGCGGCCGCGGCGCCGGGGGAGGCGTATTTTGCGGCGAGAGCTGTGAGGGCCGTGGTAGGGGAGGCATTTGTGGCGTTGATGCCGATCCCGACAACGGAGATATATTCGTTGGACATGAAGTGCGAGTTGATGAGGATACCGCAGATCTTGGTGTATCGCTTTTGCTCAGGATCTTCCGGGTCAAGAGCATCTAGAGATATGTGTCAGTACGAAAAGAATGGTTCATCGCACGAATCTCTCCAACATACAGATATCGTTTGGCCATTTCAGCTTGACCGGAAGATTCTCGTAGCCCTTGGCGTAGCTCTTGATACCCTTCACCACGGCCATGGCAGACAGATACTGGATGAATACCACCGGGGCAGACTGAATCTTCTCGATTGGGTGCCGTACAACTGTTGAGAAAATCAATGAGCCGGCGGGTGAGATCCAGACGTTGGAGCCCCGTCCACGTCCAGCAACCTGGACTGTTGCCGTGGCCGTGAACCCATTGGGTAGCCGGCGAAGCAGTTGTGTGTTTCTAAAGAGAATCAGAATCTAGTCAAACGAAAGCATCGGGCAGCACTTACTTTTCCATGATTGTGTTAGTACTTGTAATGACCTCGCCGTACATCAGATTAGATCCAAACTCTGATGCGCCCTCCTTCGATTCGGACTGATACTGACGAAGGTTGGCGTAAAACGCATGGTGGTTGAAATAGGGTGTCAGCTTGGAGGAGGGCACATCATCGTGAATCACAAGGCGCTTAATTATTTCCTTATAATCAATAATCCCCTCGCTGGATTTCGAAGAATCATCAGGTAGAGCATTCTCCAGGTCATTCAAATTCCAGGTTCCCGGTCGCTCGATGCGGAACGTATCATTTTCATCTTTCAGATATTCCTTTCCGTTCTCATTGGTCAAAGCGGGAGCAAGCAAGGACAAAATCTCCAATGGCCCCTCGGCATCAAGACCAGAGACATGCAAAGACGATAGCGAGGGAACAGTCGTAGAATCTTGTGCCACCTGAAGTCCCAATTTGGAAAGACATGCCTTGAGGAAGTCTGTACGCTCCTTATCGTCAGCGGTCAGCGCGTCAACGACCTCTTTATATTCAGGGCCGTTCGCTTTGGGGTCAAGGTTCACCGCCGCGAATCTAGACAAAAAGTTAGTAGTGGGCGGTTCTATCGCATAGATGACACATACTCTGGATGCGGCCCCGTCAAGATAGCCGCGCCATCTCCGACTTTGCAGTAGACAACAGCAGCAGCGCCCTCGCCTGGGTCGACATTAAGCTTCTCAGAGTAGCTAGCCAATACCTCCACACCCTTGTCCTTCAACAGCGGAGCATCTACAAAGACACCTCCACCATTGTAGTAAGACCTGAAATGTGTAGGCACCGTGCCGATACTCAAAGCTTCCTTGGAAACGTCCAGTCCGGCCGCCCTCGCGCCAGCCTCGCTGTGATAGACGAAACCAGGGAATGCACCTCCCCGACAAGTTCCTGGGTAGAAACCCAACTCGCGGTCCCCAATGACCTCCATAGTCTTATCGCCGACCTCAAACTCGCATCTCTTGCACCCATAGTAGCCGCCCGCACAAAAACCGAGGTACTTTCCACCGCGGCGCACAAATTGAGCAATGCGCCGATTCCCCTCGCCATTGAGCGTTCGTCCATATCCCAAATCTGCTCCACCGGGTATCACCAGCAAGGCACAGGTTGCCGTCCACGGCTCCTTCAGGAGCATGTCGCCCGTCACGGGGGTGACTGCATAGTTGGGGGCTAACAGGCGGCGCAAGGTGTAGAGGCAGTGGCGGACTGAGTCAACGGTCGTTCCGGTTCCTGTCGGGCCATTATCGGTCAGAAAACGGCTGAGTTGCCAGGCAGAGTGAGTGAGCGAACCGGAATAGACCAGGACATTGAGTCTCTTGCCCGTGAGGTTGGCATTGTTGCCAGTGGGCGTCGCCATTGTTGATGGAGGGGGAAATGATGGGAATGCTGGGGATGGCCGATAAGATAAATCCATTTCTCCCGCCGAGGCCAACCGACCATCTCTCCGAGTCTCCGATCGCTTGCACATATTACGATATCACGAGTTGAGGCCATGTCGAATAACGCAGAACAGCCCAAGATTGTCCCTGAAGACGATGATGAGCCGGATGATTGGTATTTGAATTTGCTACGAAGCATATGGGTTGATCTGGGAAGCTAAGACTGTTGCAGGGACAAGCGCATCTATAGCACAGGGTGCCACAGTGAGTAGCCTCGAGCTTCCTTTCTCGAAATTTGAAAGCTAATACATAACAGCCGAGCAAGACAAGATGAATGACTGCTATTATGCAAAGAAAGACTGGCGCGCATGCAGCAAAGAAGTGAGTTTGATCTGGCATCTGGTGCCATCCGCTTGCGAGTCCCCAAAACCAACCTCCAATATACATCAATACCTTGTTTCGATACCCCTTTGTCGCATTTTACCCGGAATACTCACTCCAAGCGAATATCCTCCCTTTTCAAACGGACTGTCCTAACAATCACTGCAGATGGAGGCCTTTCGCGAATGTTGGAAGCGCAAGGGCAATGACGAGCGAACACAAACCAAGGATGCATGAAGCATCATCAGCATAGCTGAAGACCAGCCTGTACAATAAATCCCCAACTCAATTGATACACGATCGCCTCTCACGACTCATCTGGCTACGCCGTTCCTCGTAGACTCAATCTTGCCATCCCGTTAGGTATCACGTGACGCTCCATATCGCAGTGACTTCACAGCTTGCAGCTCTCCAGCTCCTTCCTTTACGTCAACGCACCATGTCAGCACTACGATACCGCGCCTGGCGGGCACTGGAGAATCTCCAGAATGCAACAGCCCTTTCCCAAGCTTCACGTACACGAATCAGCTCCTGCCAGCCCTCCCACCTCATCACCAAGCGCGCCATTACCTACAGCTCAACGCGATCCCAAACCCCAACCAACAACAACAACGGCGCAACCAGCCAGACACCCCGAACTACCTCCTCAACAACATCTTCCCCCTCATCCTCTTCCAACCAAGCATCCCGCGTCGCCGCGCCGACCCCCAACCGTACGACGACAGATAACATCTCCAAGAGCGGACTTGCCGATAAACCACTCGAGCTCGAGGCTGCGCCAGAGGAAAAAATCGACTGGACACGTTCATTCCACGGTCTTTCTGCGGAGCCCTTCCCCAAAGAAGCGGCCGACATTTTGTTGGCCGAAACTGCCCCGGAGGAAGTCGAGATTAAGCCCGATGGAATCGTCTACCTCCCCGAGATCAAGTACCGCCGTATCCTGAACAAGGCTTTCGGACCGGGTGGATGGGGTCTCGTTCCACGCAGTGAGAGCATTGTCACTCCGAAGACGGTGACGAGAGAGTATGCGCTTGTTTGCAATGGCCGGTAAGAAATCACATCCTTTACCGGGGCCTTCGAAGCCCAGGTACTCTGATCTCACGCTAATCAACTTGTTTATTCTAGACTTGTCTCCGTCGCCCGCGGTGAGCAAGACTACTTCTCTCCCGATGGCATTCCCACGGCTACCGAGGGATGTCGATCTAATGCGCTGGTGCGATGCTGCAAGGACCTCGGCATTGCCAGTGAACTCTGGGATCCGCGCTGGATCCGGAAGTACAAGGCGAAGTATGCGCGTGAGGTCTTTGTGGAGCATATTGTCAGCAAGAAGAAGTCAAAGATTTGGACCCGCAAGGATGATCCCGTTGGGTATCCCTGGAAGGAGAGTGGCAGGTAAGGTGGCCATACCGATGGAGTGATCATTGATGGTGTACGGCCTTCTTTCCATAAGAGGGCCCAACGGCGGCTAGGTCGTCTGGGCCTTTTGTAATATATATGTACCTCTTTTCAATTACCACGTGTTGGTATCAGGTAGAGGTTGGAATGGACTATCTCTACTTTTGATTCTCGTTGGACAGCTGTGTTTTGGTATGCTCTGCGCTGGCTAGTTGAGGCTTTGCGTCCGAGCAAGACTGTCGCACTCCATTTTAAAGTATTTAAACCGAATTTTACCTTGGCCAGTAGAATTTTTTACCCTGGAATAGGTACGATATGCCATACGATCTATACACATTTGGGCTACTACACACAACAGATCACGATCCATAGACATACATTAAAGATATCCATACATATTATGATTCACTTTAACTCATCTCCATCAATATCCTCCTCACTGCAGAACAATAGCAGCCCCCAACCCCATAGCCGCCATCACAATCCCAGCAACAGCCCCAATCCCATTCCACCCATGGCGTCCACCAACCAACCTCACCGCGGCATTCGACGTCGCCGCCGCAGTGCCAGTAGCGTTCCCTGCCTTAGACCCCGTCGCCGACGCCGAAGCCGAGCTCGCGCTCGCCAAGTCCGATTCATGATGCAGCAAGGTAATCATAGGCACGTACGAGATAGCCGAGTAAGTGCTCTTCTCAAGACGGTTGAAAGTATGCGTGTCAGTCTCGGTAGTGTAAATGGTAGTCGTTGGCTCTTCTCTAACGTAAGTGCGCGTGTGCGTGCCGTGGGTGTATGTCTCCGTTACCTCGCCGTACTCGTAGTTGTAGCCTGTGTAGGATTGACAGCCCCATGTGAGCTTGTAGTCTGAGACGATGGAGTAGCAGCCGCCGAGGAGGTCGGGGATGAATGAGCTGTATCGAGTTAGTTAGAATGATTGTACCAGAGTGTTTGTACTCGGCTGTCTATCTTACCTAGGACAGCAAACAGCCATAGTCTGCTGCGGCTCAAGATTATCCCTCAACAGCGTAGCAGGATCGTCCCACGTTGCTGTCGCATAATAATAAGACATGGGGTCCGAGGTACTAATCGTCACAGTCGGCGTCGCACTCAGTATCCCCGACGAAGTGAGGGAACTGCTAGCATCGCGCGCCGCAACGCCAATAGTCTCCCACCCCGAGGGACAGTACAGGCCCGGTGAGTAGTAGCCTCCCATGCCCGCCCAGCCAGCTTCAGTGGGCGGATCGGGGAAGGAAGTCGCCGTTGCCGTTGCGGTGGGCATGCAGTCTTCAAATTTCACTTCGCTGGTGCATTGCACACCGTATTCGAGGTTGACATAGCCGTGATTGACATATCCAAGACCGAGTCGTTCCGATGCAGTGCAGCCTGGGGCTGGGGTGTATGTTGTGGTGAGGGGGGCGTAGTTGGTGAATGTCCACCAGCCGTCGGAGACGGAGATGGGGGTTGTCATGGCTGTGGGAAATATGTTTTTGCTCTGGCAGTAGTGGTGATGTGTGTTTTGGGGATCAACGAAGGATAAGAAGGCTTGATTGATATTGGACCTGAATCATGTTTGCCCTGGGCCCACGAGTCTTATTATACAGTATATCAGGGTCCATTCCATATTCCCACAATTTCGCTTGCACCTCACCCTGGCGGACCTCGCTGCTGTACCCACTAACCACTCAATCCACAACCAAGTTACCAACAGATTCGGAGCCTTGATTCTGTAGCCAAGAAATGAGGCTTAAAGTGCAATCTCCGCCGCGCTCGCCAGACCAAAACTGCCGCCCAGCCCGGCTTGGCAGGGACCAACTTCTAACCAAACCAGTTCAACCGATGGCTGCTAGTGCCTATTCTGGTTAGTAATGTCTCTCAGGGTCGCACGGTGGAAGGGGAAACCCTGGAAAAAGTACACTATGCACTACTACTGTGATCAATTAGTGATTAGTCGACGGGAGGGTCAGGAGCTTCGTCCTTTTATCGTGCTTTAGGGCCAGGGCTAGCGCTGTGTGAGTGGATAGGCTCCAGGCACTATTGGATTTAGGAGGTTGCGTTACATGGAGACGAGGGTTTAGTTAACTAAGGGTTTCATTGAGTCATACAAGACTCAAAGATTGGACTTTGGTTAGTTTAGGTTGTTGCTCTCGTCTAGACTGCTCCGGAGAAGAAAGGGTAGCACACTCCTGAGCTACGGAAGTGACTAACCGCAAAATGTTCAAATTGAGAACGGCTAGCTTCAAGACCGTTGGAGGATATCTCTGACTGTACTTCTCGAGGGATTTCTGACCATAGCGGACATATTGACCGAGGTTTCCTAGTGTCGGTTGGAGGAAAGGTCAATTTTACTAGATAGTTCCTTGATAGTAATTATGAAAGTTGATCATTCTGCATCTTCAGCCAAGACACATGAATATTTGTATGAGATATCATCCACATCATCCATTGATGTATGTAAAATAAAAGAAAGCTTCGATCGACCGATCAACCAGCCATATGGGCCCATATCATACAACACCAAAACCAAAGGAAAGATTTTGAAATCCGACAAGATGAAAAAAGAAAGTAATGCGAACGAACCACCCCCAATCTAGGTATCAACACCGACAATGAAAGAAATGAGTTTTTGTCAAAGAAAGAAAAAGAAAACCGATATCACGGCAAAAATTTCACTGTCGCTTTCATGCTTCGTGCTCACCATACGGCGAGTGCTTCCGGCCATTCTTGAGCGTCGGCGCAGGCGCCTGCGGCTGCGGCGGCGAGTAGATGGATGGCGGGGAGACGGGGTCATACCGGTCCGGCATATCGTACTGGCTGGAAGAGGCGGTGGCACGATCGGGCGTGATACCGTTTAGCGCGACGGAGTCATATGTGCCCTCGTGGCCGTAGTAGGACTGAGCGAAGGAGCCGATGGGGTGGGCGCCGGGTTGGGAAGTAGGTGCGTGAGTAGTGGGTGGCTCATAACGAGTGCTACCGCGGGAGCCCGGGGGCGCGGGGGTGTTGAGAATGGGCACGCCGCTGTGGGAGGGGGTCATGCCGGCTGCCACGGGGGAGAGGGGTGGTGGCATTTGTGCGTCGTCGTCGTGGTATGAGGCGCGCAAGCCGGCCTTGCGGTGGCCGGTTGACAGACCGCGCGAGACGCCGGTGTTGCCATCATACACGCTCAGTTGGTTGCCCTGGTTGGAGGTGTTGGTGGCAGTACGGTAGAGACCATCGTTGCCATCACGGCCGGGGTCGACGGCCGGGACAACGGGTGAGCGGGCATTCAAACGATCTGCGATGGCAGCTTCACGCTGGCTGGCAGCCATGGAACCACGGTGAGTGACGGAGCCGGAATAACGGTTCTGCTCGAAGCCAGTAGTTTGCGCGTCGTAGGTCATCATGCCGCTAGCAGCGGCCGCAGCAGCAGGGGTGAGACCGCCAGCCTGTCCAGAACCATCACGCTTGCCATCCGCACCAGCGGCAGCACCAGCCTGAGCAGACTTGTTATCACCAGTACCGGTAGCACCCTCGGGCTTGTCGTCACCATCATCCTTGGACTCCTCCTCGGGAGCAGCAGCACCGGGAGCCCGAATGGGAACCTTGCGGATAGCCAGAACGAGAGCACACATGAACTTGGAGCGACGGGCAGCACGGACAGTCTCGTTAGACCAGTTAGACTTGTGGCGGATATCAACACGAAGCTCGAGCTTGTCCATGTCGCCGACGCCGACAACCTCGATATTAAAGTCAGGCTGGAAGTCACGGCTGTTGGCCGGGTCGCGAACAAAGACCTCCATCTCCTCGCGCAGTGCCTGGATCTCAGCGAAGCTGGTATCAAAGCTCACGGGCACGGTAAGCTGCTCGTGCATGGCATTGGCGCGGGTGAAGTTATCAATCCACAAACTGTTCAGGATATTGTTGGGCACTTGGGTCATGCGGTGATCACCAACGGTGCGGAAGACACTGAACAGCAGGGAGATACGCTCGACAACGTAGGACTTGTCACCGATGTCGACACGATCACCGATATCGAAGGGATGCTTGACGAATAGGAAAATGCAGGAACCCAAAACTTCCTGGGCGGTAGTGGAGAAGACGAAACTCAGGGAGAGCAGGGAAGTAGCACCGGCAGCAATGACAGTACCGAAACCAGTAGTAACGAACGAAACGAAGACCAAGACACCAACCACGAAGGCGACGGAGAGCAGAAGGTTATCCAGAACGTGAATGGCCTGGTCGACATCGTGCATGCTGTGGTTCAGCGACTTGCGCATACGGCCGAACTCGCTGATTGTGAGGATCATCTCATCCAGACTGACGTCGCCGTTACCATCCTTGTCCAATGCAGCAAAGCACTCCTCGGCTTCCGCCTCGTGGTCAGGTCCCAGAACTTCAACAATGTCTTCCAGGAAGAGCGCATCACGGCCCTCGACGACAAACGACATCCAGATACGGCGAGCCAGCGCCGCGGCACATCGCTTGCGCTCGAGGGCTTCAATAACGATCGAGTGAGTTGCTTGCGGGTTGAACACTTGCTTTCCAGTAAGCTCCGAGGCAACGTTACCAAAGGCAGCAGTCACCTTGTCACCGATGCGGCCGACATTGTGACCGACCTGACGACCAACCTGTTGCATCATACGCAGAGGCATGATGGAGCTGCGCTTGCTGGTCTTACCGGTAGACTGAGCCAGGAGCGAGTCGAAGATGATGGCATCCTCGTCCTTGAACTCGGGACAGTACATGGGGAACATGTTGCGGGAGGCCTCGAAGAGAAGACCAACCAGGTAGACATTGTGCTTGGATTGCTTGATCTTGGTGTCGAATTGCTTGCGGTGGTAGCTGATGGAGATTAGCTGAACGAGGGCCTTTTCGCCTAGGAAAATAAGACTGCAAACAAGCAGGGCGAAAAGAATATTCTTGAGGCTCTTCTCCCAGGACTTGACACTGGTATCATCGCTGGATTGCTTGTTGGGGTTCATGGTCATGATCTATATGATAGCTTGGTCAGTCCTGAAACTGCACATCCCATGATATTGGCGAAAAACATACCGGAAGGAAAGTAACCAGCGAGATAACCGACCACAGCACAATCGTAATAGGGGTCTCCAGAGCCCGCAGAATAAGCGCATACTTGCGCGTTCCGGAACTGACAATACCACACAAGAACTGGAACACGTAGGGAATAAACTTGGCAAAGATCTTGCACACCCACAAGCTCACCCAAACGACCTCAATCCAAGTAAAGAACCAATAGATATGAACACCACCGATCTTCGCATTAGGTGCCACCGTGGCGCCGACGATAATCGGAATCGCAAACATAATGCCAATAGGAACGACATAAATCATGTAACGAGTGACAATAGAAAAGTTGTAGATAGCCTGGTAGATACGGCCCATGCGATTAATCGTTCCATCCTCCGGCGACTCAGAAGGTTTCCCCGTTGCCTCATTGATATCCGTATCCTGACGACGGCGACGACCAGGGCCACTCGTAGCTTCCTTCTCATTATCGTCCTGGAAGCCATTGATAGGCACGGTTGATCCGGCGTGTGAGCCCCATTTCCGGGCACCGTTCTGACCACGGCTGATCGTTTCCGTGAGGGGGATATCAATCGTCACGTCGTTTGGATTCGACATGGCGTCGTGTGGTAAGTCTGGAATTTGTTGAAACCGGTGAGTCGACAATCGCTTCGGTGCGATCCCCAAAGACCCCTTCATCGCAGGAGAGAAAGGGAGCGAGCGGGGGGGGCCGAGTGCCTTTTATGGGATGGAGCTGTAGATCGATGCTACAGCTGGTTGGCCCCGATTGGGTGTCAAGTGGAGGAGAGGTGGCGCTCCTGGGTGGAGAAACACTGGGCGAAGAGAGAAAAAATAATCTCGGCCGTTTGGGGCGGTTGGATTTGAAGGTTTGTGGTTCGTTCGTTTGCTGAGACTCGGACTGGACCAGACCAGGTTACGGGTCTTTTTGTCAAGGCTGAGATCACAGTCTTGCTCTGCCTCTAGGGCCAGCACAATTCAGAACCAGAATTTCGCTGAGACCGTCTTACGTAGCTGCTGGGCCTTTCGGTAGGATGTGGGTGCCGACCAGTGGTTGTTGGCCAGTGGGTAGACGATGATCCTCCACTTGTGTGCGCGAGCGCAGGATTTCGTAGGCTCGACGCGGTGGAGAAAGTGAGATCGGCGACGGCCGAGGCAAGGTAGTGAGAAAAAGCGAGTGTGTGGTACGGGATTGTAGTGACAGAAAACGACCGGCTGAAAGAAGAACTGAAACCCTGGCAAATGAGTCGAGGGGTGTGCACTCGGGGAAAAACGCGAAGTGTGGAGAGAGAAAAAGAGAGAGAGTTGCCCATAAACTCAGCCCTTTGGGCCCTGGAGCAAGCCATTTTCAAGCCACACGGTTTCACCAGCGTTACCACTTACCAGCATGTTCCCCCGAAAAAATGTGAGACGGCCATTCCTTTCGAAGGTCCAGTCCACTAGTTACAGTTAGTACTGGTTAGTTTGTAATGACAGCCGCATTCTTAATGAACTCATGAACTGGTGGTAATGGTCAAACTCGAACTCCATACTCTATTCCTTGATCTATTTAGTGTCTCCTACTATATTAATCTCCGCCCCCCTAATATCCATGCTATTTTTATTTCTACATTCCCTGGCTACACAGTCCGTTCCTGATCCTTTCCCAATTCCTAAAATTCGCCCCTCGTTTTGAATTTCCGTCGTGGCACCCATGGAAACGCAGGTCCACCCGTCTCCACCGGGTGGCTTGAGATCATCATCCAATAATATCACTAGATCTAGGGCTTCCGATTCCAGGGGTCCAATGCCAGGGGGAGGACGAATGAACACAAAAGGTCCGTGTTAAGCACACCATACAGTATGTAGTATCAGTAGAGAGTTCAAGAGAATTGTACTCGACAGGTCTAGACGTGCATCTATCCAAGACGACTGGACAAGTATCCGAGTAGCAATAACAACAATGTCGACTTGACACGTCCACTCGAAATCGGATTCATTTAATAATTCTATGCACTAAGAAAACTCCACTTAAATGATAAAACACCAGATCCATAATCCATCACTCCAGCCCTATGTACATTACCTCGACACTAGTCACCGGTGAACATATCTATTCCAATAGAGTTTCAAACAGTAATAGACATTCATAAGATGTCAAATCAACCTTTCCACATGACAGGTAGGCAATGCACACACGAAATCGTTGAAATTTCACAGGCTTACCGGTATTATCAATTCCGAACTCGTTTGAGCTTTTGAATCTTTTTATTTCACGCCTTGAAATTTTCAAGGTTATATACATCGGCATTCAATGTATGAACTTGGCATGGAGATAATTACAACGGATATAATAGGTGCATAACCAAAGATTCGAAATGAGCCTATAGTACATCACGTCCATATATTCCGAACTGCCCCCCTCACCTTTTAACACGAAGCATGCAAGATTCTTGTCAACTCCTCCGACAACGGATAAGCCTTCTCCTCGGGTAAACAAGCTCTAGCAGAGTCCAAGTCTCCCGCCTCCAGATATTCCCGTATTTTACACATAGTATCCGTCACATCGACAATAGAAACAATCCACTCATCGACATAGCTTTCGACAGCCCCGAGCCCTAGCCCAATTTGAATAGACCGATATTCCAAAGGCTGGTGCTTAAGATCACGCTCGGGGTCCCATTGAATCCGGACGGGACTGTCGCGTAATTGCTGCTGCCACTGGTCTTTGTCCTTTGCAATTTCCTTCCGCTGGTCACCCCAATGACTCAAGCATGAATGCTGCAGAGCCCATTCGAATCCTTTGCGCGTCATCTCGATGGCTAGGACGCGCTCCTGCCGTGGTTTTGTCGCCCATCCGCAGCGGTATGCCATCCACAGGAATGAGGGCTTGATCCAGGTCATGCGGGTGCGAGAGAAGGGTGGCTGAAATGTTTGGGCTTTAAGCGCTGGGTTGGCGATTTCGGGTGAATAGGCTTGGTAGACAGTTATAGTAGTCGGGGTGTAGGTAGCGCGGATAGCTCTGTAGCTATTAGACTGAATGGTTGGGTTTGTCGACATTGTGGTTTGTGTTGTGGTTGTAGTCTTGTAGAAGTTGTAGGTATTGTTTGTTGGGTTGAAAGATATTTAGTCCGATAAGAATAGGTAGTTCGAATTCGTGAAGTTGATGAAGACGGGGCTCATGGATGTATCATCATCTTTAAATGACCTCTGTCCCGTCATCTTAGTTCTGACTCATACGCTACAATAAAATAGTGGCTATGAGTTTAACGAGACGTACTCACAGCCTACTCACAGCCTCAATCGTATCTTCAAGGCCACTTTCAAGCCGATCACCTTCCTTTAAGTAAAATCTCTGATCGAGCGGGTCACAGCGCTAAACCCGATCAAAGCACGCTATACTGTATAGCATAATTCATAGGCAGTCCGGATACGATGTACAATTCTCTGTACTCAACAAGTCTAGACGTACCTCCAAGACGACTGGCTAAATATCCGAGGAGCAACAACAACGATGTTGACAGTTTGACACCTCCACTCGAAAATCCTAACAAGACTCCGCTCAAAAGATGAAACACCAGATCCATAATCCATCATTCCAGCCCTATATACATTACCTCGACACACTAGTCACCATTGTCACCACTACAAGGTCACGCCCTCGACTCCATCCTCATCTTCTCCAACGCACCAACAACCTCCACCCTCGACCAACCCCCCTCTAACCCCCTCACCAAAACATCCTGCTCCGTTTCCGGCGCCATCCTCCCCGGCGCAGGCGGTCTCCGATCCAAATTCGTAGGAAACGGGTACCCCTCTGCCAACGCCTGCACCAAAGCCCTAACCTCCCTCGCCTCTTGCCCCCAACACGCAGGATCCAAATCACGACCCGCAATCTTCTTGCCCGCGCCTTTATACCGCGCAGAAAGGATATCCCAACACCCCTCCACAAGCGGAATCGCATCCACACTCTCCATAGGTTTCCCAAAGGCACTACTAATCTGCAACAAATTCGCAACGCGTCGGAATCCACCCGCAGACGCATCCATCACATTCGCGCCCGCGGCATGGAAAAGTGCCGGATTGAAGAATACCCCGTCGCCCAGGGAGAGCGGTAAAGAGATGTAATTCTCTTGGAAGAAGGCCCGGAACTCGGGTCGTCGCCAGGCCATGTACCCCGGTGGATAGGTCTGACTGAACGGTAAGAAGCGGGTCGGACCCGAGGCGAGGGGCATATCGCTGTGCGCGACGGCGCCTTGCAATGTGAGGAATTGCGAGGTTAACTGCGTTGCGGCGGGGAACCCCGCGCAGGCATCGGCGTCCATGAAACCGAGGTGGTAATCGCGGTGCGCTTCTTGTGCGGCGCCGCCGGGGTGGACGGCATTGACTTGGGCGGTTACCCGGTAGCCTGGGCCTAGCCAGGCGGAGCAGACACTTGCTAGCCAGGGATTGGCGTAGTAATCGGCGAAAGAGGCTGGGTCTTCGAGGCCGTGCTTAGAGAAGGCGTTCCAGATACGATCGTTGGAGCCGCTGGCTGCGAAGTGGTCGCCCTTGGAAGTATTTGAGGCGCGTTCGCGGGCGATGATGCGGTCGAAGGCGTCGTTTGTAGCGGATAGGATGGAGGCGTATTTGGTAGGTGTGTACATGCCTCGTAGAACGAAGACTCCCGGTCCAGTGTGGAGCACGTGGTGCCATTCATCTTGGAGGCGGGAGATTGTATCGGCTGTTAGTTGCTGTGCATCGAGTGCGGGAATATCGTATACAGGGACATTGTGGTTGACAGCACAGGCAAGTGGGTAAGTCGAGGTATCGATGGAGCGAGAGCAGATCTGCTTAAACTCGTCCAGCTGGATAGTAGACTCTTGAGTGAGTCGTGCGGGGATGGCCGTGTGCCCGTTTACTGCCATCTCGTTCAAAATTGATCTTTTATCAATCAGTGATCAGTGCGCGGGCGCAGTGGCTTCTCAAGGGCACGTTTAAGTAAATGGCGGGCGGAATTCAATCTCCAGAGGCTCCATCACCAGGCGCCCCCGCATCGGCACCCAAGGCCGAGTATCAGACCCGCAATTTTCACCCAGCACAGTCCACATTCAGCTCAAACCGCCTGGATATGTACTCCTTGACTCGGAAATCGATTTCCGCGAGACTTACTAAAAACACGGATGATGATAGAATCAAGCAAGGCAGATTACTTCTAGACATGGGTATCACAGCGAGCAAGCAGTATAAATACACGGTCTACCACAAGTCACTGAAAAAGAAAAAAAAAAAGCAAAAAAGGAGCCAAAATGCACAAGTCCGCAGACTGAATGGCCGAAATGTATAGGACGGCCATGGCATGATAATCCCCCATATCCATATTCCCAGGGGAGCTTCCAGACGCCAGTAGCCAAAGTGCCAGAAAAAAAAGAAAAGTCAAGCACGGATCAAATCGCAGCAAGGGACGCCAACAAAAGAGGAGACCAGAAAATAATTAACAGAGTGAAGACCACACTCTCTCGAGAGAGAGCCAAAAGGTATCTCCGATCAAAATTGCTCATGCAAGTAGCGAGAAGAAAGTATTGCTCAGAAGTCGCCGTTCGTGCCTCATGCGTCATAAGAAAGTCTCGTGGCCAAGGAAGTCAAATCCTAATGGCGCGGAGATCGGATCTATGTGATCCAGAGGGGATCTTTTTCAGATGGTCTCAACTAGACCAGGGGGAGGATTGGATGAGAAGAAAAAAGGGAATTCGTGAAGTGAGACGCAGCCGAGTTCAGCCATGCTCAATTAGGTAGAGTGACTCAAGCATTCATCATGACGACTCCCAGATCCGAGGTGAGGACAGCGTCGGATGGGGTGGGCTCGGCAGAGTGCGTTGGCTCGGTCAGGATGAGCTGATTCTCCGACATGGTCTCCACCAGCGCGCTAGGCCGACCGGTAACGGTGAAGAGAACCTTGAACAAGAAGGTTGGGCTCGCACACTCGCTATTGGCGGGCTGGGGCTGGTGACGCGTGTGGGTGAGAAGGACGCGTATCAACTCTCGCAGGGCGGCATCGGTCGAGGCATCGTGAATCGTGTCGATACCGTCGATCACACAGACAAGTAAGGGCGGTACAAAATGTAGCAGTGTATCGACCAAGGCTAGAGCTGCCTTCCAGCTAGAGATTGTGCCGTCCAACTGGCGGAATCGCTCGGCGCTCAGGTCAAGTAGCGAGTCGCTGTCCACAACGGTAGGGAGGCAATCGATCAATTGCCGAATCAGGCTATAGGTAAGGGCAATGAGACCCTGTTGGTGCCGGGTAAGGCCCTTCACGTCCTTTTCGGGTAGAGTGCAAAAATGGGCAATAATCGGTAGTCGTGCTCGACGGGAAAAAGAGGCATAACAAGCCGATATCAAGGCCACGGGACTGGGGTAGACATTTGATGGGGATCCACCGACAGCGAGAGCCTGAGACTGCGGGCTGGTGACCCACGTCTGAAGAGTCGTGGCCACGCTGCTATCAATAGCTATTTGAGCATTAGGGTCCAGGTCGGCAATCTGATCGTCGTTTTCAAAGAAGCCTTCCAAATGTTTGGAAGCATTCTGAAGCTCTAGACGTGCGAGGCGACGTTTGGATACTCGAGACCATTCAAACGCAGAGGTCACTAAAAAATCATGTCCAAATTAGTATAGTTGAACGGCAGAGTACGAAGGGTCGCACCTACCCAGGTCTGGCGCGGCAGTGGTCATGCAGACAATCCCATTGGTCTGCGAATTGACCGGACGCAGCTGGTTATTGACAGCCCTCAGCATGTCCGTAAGCAGCTGGTCCCTTTGCCGTCGAATTCGAGCACGTTCCTCGGCATCCTGCTGAATCTCCCAGATCAGGCGGCGTGTAATTGTGTTCTGGGCCGCTATCCGACGATCCGTCCCCTGGCGGCCGACCTTGCTAAGTTGAGATTCTTCCCAGAGGGCACGTGGGCTATACGCTGCATCAGATTTCTCGTCCATGTCCACATCCATGGCGTCGGAGGAATCCGTGAGAGCCCGGGCCTGGCGTTGGATACAGCTGACGAGGTGATGGAATTCCGAGTATGCATCCTGGCTGTGACTTTTCAGCAATTCGCACGTGGATCGCCGGATGAACCAATCCATAAACTCGGCCAGGAAAAAGAAGCACAAGGCGTATATCTTGGCGACGGGCATGAGATGAGTAGAGGAGGAGATGGGTTGGGAGGGTAAGATGAGGGCACTATGGATATTTAGCAGGGCGGTAATTAGTCCCTCAATGACATGAGGGTAGTGTGCCGATGCCTATGGATAGAATTGACAACGGTTAGCACCACATTACTACTTTTCTCGCCTCGTATCGCCAGGAGGCGGGGAGGGGAACCCGTCCAACCCACCTTGATCAATGTCTGTAGCACGCTATAGAAGAGAGGTGCATGGAAGAGGTCGGCATCCGGCAGGACGGCCAATAAGGTTGCATGCGTTTCCAATGTCGGCACGAATCTGTCGCAAAGAGCCCCTGCCTGTTCAAAGACCCGTTGTCGAGGCTGAGACCTCCAGAGAGACTGCGTATTCCGTACGAGGGCGACGACATCGCTCACCGACGGGGGTCGGTCGCCCCGTTCGACTCGAGTGCCGGGCGGAAGATGGCGAACAAAGGTTTTCCAGGTCTGCGCAAGTTCATTGTGTTCGACGTCGAGGTCGGAAATGACCGGATTTCTGTTTAAGCCATGGGCAAACGGACGTTAGACGAGGAGGGGGGAAAAAGAAGAGATTAAGGACGCAATCCCACGTCGGGATGGTTGGGAGCCGGGTTATGTGAAGGGGGGGGGGCTCCGAATTTATCGAAGCCCCGGGGGTAAAATCCCAACGTACGAGGAGATTGGCTTCCTGTCAAAGCATCGTTCCCAGTCCCTGGAAAAGGACTCGATGAAAGATTCGGAGGGCATGGTGCGACGCCTATCGCGCCCGAACAGGCACCCCCAGATCAAAGAGCGAGACCTAGGATGGGGGGGTGGACGACAGGGAGGAGAAAGGGTGGTCGAACGGGCTGGGGTAGGAGGAAGAAAGTTTGGAGTGCAAGTGTCCTGGTGGTCGTGGTGGTTCTTAGACTGTCATGGGTGAAAGCGGGAGTGGATCGACTTTGGAAGTGGAGTGCCGATCGAAGGGGGAAAGGTTCAACTTTTTTTTTCGAGGTTCGGGGGATGGGGGGGGTGGTTCGTTTGGTATCGTCGAGCAACCATTCAGCGGAGGTTTAGCTAGGAGAGAGGGGAAAAGAGGAAAGATGAAGAGGAGACGGATGTAGCCGCTGGGGCAGATCAACCGAAAGGCTGTCCAAAGTACGGGGGAGTCAGGAAGAGGAGGGGAGTATCAGTAGGAAGAGAAGAGTAGGAAGAACTACTGTAGAGTAGTAGTATACCAAGAAATCATGGGAACTGGAACTGCATGCTATTAATGGAAGAGACTGGACTGGACCCAAACTGGAGACTGGAGAACTCTCGGACTACTACTAGTCTACTACTACAGTAGAACAAGAACACCCAGATTCCTCTTTTTTTTTCTTCCTGTCGGGTCGATGAGAGCCTCGACCTTCCCCCACTTGGGCCTCCACAAATCACAAGGCTCCGCCCAGAAGCCCCGGCTGGACCTTTTTTGACCCCCCTTTAGGTCCTACAAGAGAGATAGGATGTTAGTACTGTACAATCTACCTTGACTATGGATATCTACTTCTATCCGTAACTCTTTAGTAGTAGCTACTCATAGCTACTTGAAAGAGTTACTGCCGCATAATCATCGTAGCCAAGGAGAAGATATTCCCCCGCACGTTCTTACCTCTCGTCGGCTCGGTACTACCCTTCTCGTAATCAATCATCAATCTCAATCATCAAACCTGAATGGGTTGTCCGCGTTTAAGGTTTAGGATGCCGCCCGGTTCGGGATGTGCCCTTTGCGTCTGTCTTTTCTTTTGCCGCCGCGGCCCATGCTCGAGCTGAGATCTGTACGGGGAAGGAGTGTCAAGAAGTGCCGTCCTTGGGGGGAGATGGAAGTACTATATATTCTTTCTTTCCTTTTTTTTTCTTAGCTGGTCTCAAGAATGGAGAGCCGGAATTGTATATGCTCGTACATGCTACACTCGACATACTCAATGCCCCCCATTTTCCCGATCGAGATAAGAGGGGACTTCTCTACGCGGCGACATACCTCGTCCCCATAGCGGGTGGCTTCTCTCTCCCACCCCCAATCTGGCCCAGAGCATAACTCCTCATGGCCGTGCGCACAAACAACAGACCTGCATGGATCGCCATCCCGGTCGCTCTCATCCTTTTTAGCCTGCGGGGATGATCCGCAGAAGAATCAAAAAAACCAACCAAGATCCCAGATGAGCCTGAAGAGTTCGGGCTCGGGTTGGGAAAGCAGATAACGGACGAACTCCTAATCTGTCCATTGCTGAACTGCAAAAAGGAAGAAGAATGTCTTAGGTCTGACGGTCTTGTCGGAGAAACTCATCCCTGTCGTGGGTTAGTCCGTCGGATTAGTAGCGACCACTATTACCTATCGTGGTTCTTATTGGTTAGGAGAATGGCTTGACCGGGTCTCATGTCTCAGCCGGGTGGCCTGAGGCTGTCAGGCTCCCTCGGGGGACTCTCCACCGAAGAAGCTGGAAGGATGGAGGGGGGGGGGAAGAACGCCAGTTAAATAGTTGATCAGTTTCTAGTCATGTACAGGACACGTCGGGGCTGTGCGAAACAGAAACACAACCCTGAATCGGCATGTCCGTTGCTTACTCTGCTTATAGCCTATCTATTCGGGGCTCTGCATCCATGATCCTCGACCAATTTCCGTTTCCATGATAGCCAATATGCTCCGGTCATATAGCAGGGATCATGTCCACTACTATCTGGGGGTACGAAGAGTAATCCAAAGGGGCCAAGTGGACGGAGTCGCTCGCTACAATTAGTGAAACACTAATGCTCTGTCCATTGCCTATTAGTACCTACTGCTCAATACATCCGACTGGAAAGAAGCAAAGCTCCATCGTCCGTGTGTACGGAGTAGTAGTGCTTGATGTGCATTAATCCTTTCGGGCACTTCTCGGAGTAAACGAGTCAAAATCCCTCCTCATCTGGGCTAACCAGGTCAAAAACTACTGGCTGTCGGTCGCGGACAGCCCTCCGACACAGTGGATCCCCCCCCAGTCACAGACCCTTCTTCTAGACGATCGCAAGTGGTGCCATGATACCAACCCAGGGCTCTCCGATCGACATCCTGCAGGCGACTATTGGCGTGTAATATTTGTCAGAACTCGGCCCAGGGCGCAGCATCGTCTGGAGGATCGACCGTAGCCCAAATAGGATTATGAATGGGTGAGTGATGGCTGTGTATACGACGGATAAGATCGAACGGAGATGTCCATGTAAGCAATCTATACGATTCAAAAAGAATCCACTTCATCATGATTACGATTACGATTGCACTTTCCAATTTCATGGTCAATGCCAACGCAGACAGGAACAAAAAACAATTATGATTCGTCGTGTCGAGTTGACGGATGGTGAGATGGACAATAACATAATGTAAGGGTTCATGTGCCCCGTTCGGCCCATGGAACGAGTCGTCTGAAATGGCTTCAAGGTGGAAATCTTTCCCAGCATTGCCCCGTCAGCCTTGATATGGTACTCCGTGCGTACCCCGTTACACCTAATACATACTTACAATACCTATCATCTTCCATCGTATGGCGTATCCCCCGTTATCGTATCGCCCATGATCGGATCTACCCAACTTCTCCACGGGGATACTACGATCAGCCCTTAGCTCTCCCCTCTTTCCTTCCCTGTTTTCCCGTTTTCCTTCTTATGCAACTCCACTCCCCTCCTCCATTTTCCTCTTTTTTGTGTCTTCTCCCTTCGTCATTACTGGAGCACATCCAAAATCCACAATCCCACGCTGCATCAGCCCCTCCCCGACCTCGGGATCTCTCCAGCACTCTCAAACTAACTGGGTCCTACAACAAATGATCCCAGTCCACCCCCACACTCCGGACTTCCGCCGCCTCCCGTAAAGAAACTCTCACTCACACGCGGCAATGGGGCTGTGGCATTCTTATTCCTCTTTCTTATCCTTCTTCTTCCTCATCATCGTGCCTGTGCTGGCGGATCTTTCGGTGTTGCCCACCAACGACACGCACGATCTGGCCTGGTCCAGCTCCGCGCGCTTCCGCATCCAAGGTTCCAGTCCACTCAACGGCCAGATCCTCGCCCCATTGACGCATTACCTCGTCAATTTATCATCCAGCCAGGCCCAAGTAAGACCCCGTCTTAGACACTCTACTCCGTTGCTTCTCTCTCTCTCTCTCTTTCCCTCCTTCCTCTTACCTCGCTACCCATTGATCCCCGACAGGCATGCTAATTGCCCATCTTCCAGAGTTTCGACGTCGCAGGCACGATCACTGAGGTGACTGCCACTAACTCTCTGGCCGTCAATAGCACCAAGATTGCCTGTATCCCCTGTGACGACTCTGCCGCGAATTATCCAGGAGAGTTAGGTGTCGATCAGACTGTTCAAAGTGTGATTACCGCTGCCGACCCCGCTGCAGCCATCATCCTCTACAGTACTTCTTCTACCCATTGCAACCTGACCACGGATGATCAAACCGAGGCATATCGCTACATCTTCACCTTCAGGGATTTAACTGCCGTCGCCAACCTCACTCAGACCTTGAGCAGTGCTCCAAACAAGACCGTCTCCATCATCCCAATGTCTTATCAAACCACTACTACGGTTGACACCAGTGCTAATACCACTGGTGACAGCCCCAACACAGGTGGGTACTCTTCGATTCCCGTATTGCTTACGTCCAAATTGAAATATCACGTATTGATTACTCTTTGCAGCGATGATTATCCTGTACAGCATCACAGGTATCATCACAGCCCTCTTTTTGGGCATCATCATCACCGGCGCGGTCCGTGCTCACCGTCATCCCGAGCGGTACGGGCCTCGCCGAGTCGCTGGTCGGCCACGGCAAAGTAGAGCAAGAGGTATCGCGCAAGCCATGCTCGACACTATCCCAGTCGTCAAGTTTGGCGATACCAACGGCGTCGATGCCGCCAAACGGGATGTTGAAATGGCCAACGCGGAGGATCCCGCCCGCGAGCACTCCCCTCATCGGTCAGATAGCATTTCCGATGTCGGCCAGACGACTCCCCGCGAGACTGAATTGCCGAACACTGAAAACGACGTCACCGAACAACCCGCTGCGACTGCCACCGAGTCGAATCCCAACGCTGCTCCAGATGGTGGTAACTTCTCTTGTCCTATCTGTACCGATGACTTCATCAAGGGCCAAGACCTGCGGGTTCTGCCATGCAACCACCAGTTCCACCCTGAGTGCATCGATCCTTGGCTTGTCAATGTGTCAGGCACTTGTCCCCTTTGGTAAGTTTTGCTCTAGTGCAGGCATTCCCTAGCACAACCCTTTGTCTCGCCATATCCTACACGATATCAAACAAAGCAACTAACACTCCCCTCCCAGCCGTATCGACCTCAACCCACCCAAGACCGAGGACAATGCCGAGCAAGAAGGCGAGAACGCCGACCCGCAGAGCGCAGACGCTGCCGCCGACACCACTACAACCCCAACCACTGCCAGCACCCAAAGTAACCGACACTCCCACCGTCTAACAAACTACCTGCACGGGCCTCTCAACGCCCGCCGCATGCGCAATGCAACCGTGGAAGAACGTCTCGCCGCCCTCCGCCACGTCCGTGAAGCCAACCAAGGCGAAACCACCGGCGACGACGAGACAACTCGACCCAATCGCAACCGCCTGTCAACCAGACTACGCGATCGATTCCGCATCCGCACCCGCGCCCATGGAGTCGACACTACCACCCCCGTTGAGAGTGGCGCGGCGACACCCACCGTGCCACCCGCGGCGCATACCACGAACTAGTCAGGATCATCGGCTCACGAACTCTGACACCAACGCCAATGCATGAATAACGACACTCCTTTGAACATTCGCTTCTTCCATGCACCCAGGAACCACCCCCTTTTGACGATATGATGTTTTTCCACGTTTTGATATTGATGGCTCATACACTGCAACCCATTTTTTTTTTGCACCGGCGTTTAGGGGATATGAATTACACCGAGAATGTCTGGATCTGACACGGAAGTGATTGAACGATTTTGTGGAGATCTATGATGTGGATATTGGATTTGATATTGGATTTTTTTCTGTTCTTTTCTACATATTGGTTCAGAAGGGTCGGCGTTTCTACGAGACTGGAGGAGAAAAGATCTTTGCTTTTTGCTGTTTCGTTTTCAATTTCTTGTGGAATTTCTTTTTCCGCTTCTTTTCGTGGCACATTGTATATAGGATATGTATATTTGCGGTATAGGGTGATTGTAGATCCCATATTTTTGCTGTGCATATGAAGATATACACTTACGCTTGATCAGTGCTTGGTAGAATCTAGATGTGGCCAGGAGAGTTCGGATAAGCTTTTAGTGAAGGTTGAAGGGTCTGGAGGCACGTGGTAGGATAGTCTTCAAGGATTCCGGTATCTGGGGTTGACTATACATAGCCGGTAGACGTGTCTATGGATATATCTTGATCGAAGATGAACGTCAGCCATGAATGTCGTAGCTATCGATCAACAATCTGACATTCTCGGGAAGCATTAATTTCCTGCACATGAAACATCGGGCTCCCTTTTCTCTAGTATATATATACGTCCTAGCATCTACAGTTCAAATTTGAACGCAATCTTCCTTTCTGTATACATAATCAACGTTCATATTCTCCAGTGATGTAACAGGAAAGTTCAACCGGCGGAACGAATTACCCCATTGCCCCAATGCCGGGCAAAGATCGCCCAGACTGGGCCGACTTGGCGTCCGTGGGGGAGAGAGACCGCGCAGTGGAGCGCACTGGACGTTTGGAAAGTGTGGAGAATGGAGAATACAGTACATAGACGGGGAGACCAGAGGCGCGGTGCGCCAAACCTCCAAGGAATGGCCAACGTACGTGTTCTTCAGAACTAAGTTGACAAGGTTCAGTGGCATATGCCACTTACCTCGTCTCGGGGTCTCTAAATAATATTAATAATCTACAGGTCTTCATCTAAGATACTGGGGAACCTTTGTCCACCCCGTAATTTCAAACTACCTGACATCATCGCGAAAACTCGGGGACAAACCCGGAGGCGAGCGGCTGGAGTCGGAGAAAGTCCGCCGGGTGCCGCGAATTGTGAAATTTGTGAATTTGTTCAATCGCCGATTCATGCCGTGAGTCCGAGGGGTTTGAATCGGTAGGCATAAACATCGAGTAGTATAGTAGTAGATTAGCAGGGGAGGGGAGGGGAGGGTAGAGTAGAGTAGATTAGTACTACAGTAAGTAGTTAGTTACTTTGTATCTGGTTGATAAGTCTTCGCTGGCTAAATTCCCTAAATTGGCCACACTGGCTGAATGCACCGGGCGGGCGGGATTTACAGATTTACAGTACGGAGTGTTGAGTAGTGAATAATTAAGTCCTGCGGAGGCCCGTGATCGTCGGCATTTTACTTTTTGGGACCCCTGGAGATGATAATCTCTCCAATTTTTATTTCTCCTCATGTTTAGGGTGATGCCCTAGGTACTAGGTAGGTTGATCATGGGGGGAAGGGGAGAGGAGGAGATGTTACTAGACGGAGTATAGGGCTGGTTTCTCCTCACGGGGGGTAAATCAAATCGCCGATGGGATTTGGAGGAGGTCACACAGTAGAAATAGAATATTCCGAGTTCTATTTTAGTCTGACGGAGAAGAGAGAGAATTGCGATTTACATTAGGATGGTAGATGTTTGTGTTATTTTATGACTTGGTTCTAGTTGCTAATTAACTTCCTATCATATTAGGGGGAAGTATACCATGATTACCTAGGACATTTGATGGAGACTGAATATATCTCTCAAAGCACCATTTCATGCATGGCCCAAAGATATCCCGCTATCAGGCTGTCAGGCCGGACATTCCAGAAGGGCCAAGGGGGCTCCACTGCGCCTTTTTTCTGCTCGGCGCGATGACACACGAGCGGCGCAGCGAGCCTGTCGGGAGGTCCGCTGAGAAATCGTCTTCTCCAAACGGGGGCCCAGATCATAGAGGCTGGTCAGATGAGTTATCTTAGTAGGCCGGGTATTTTGCACGTTGTTGGACAGGGTAATCGCTTGGATTATTACCGAGCTGGAGTGCTACTAGTAGTAGTAGTAGCATATTCAATTGCTATATAGCTTATCAGTGTATACATCAGATTCTAGCAGGAATGTCCTGTCTTGTCCTACGGTAGAGATAGAAGATAAAACAAAAGATAAGCGAATCAATACTCGCACATGCGCCTCAAAGGAGCAAAATCATGCCCTATTCGAGTAAAACGAAGCATGTGAACTCCACAGGGTCTCGCAGTGCGTCATGCGACGAAGAAGTTACGGAAGTTCCTCGGCTTGTTGGAACTGCGCCCGAGGACGATGAGCTTCAGGGGAATGCCGAGGGATTTATTAAATAGGGGAGGTAATAAGAATCATGATTCTTTTGTCTTTCTCTTCTATTCTACTTCACGTATCACTATACAGTACTATTTCTGTCGCTGACAATCGCGGCGCCCTGATTTAACCGCTCGGAGTCTCCACCCCCTCATTCCTCCTCCTCATCTCTCGATCCGGTGAACGCAAGCAGCAAGGTTTTTCGTTGCTTTAGTCCTTTCGGTGGCCAGATTCCGGGGAAAACTACTGCAGTCGTACGGGAATTAACCTGAGCGATCCTGCATTGTTATTACCTGAGAAATTGGAGAAGGTTAAATTCGAATTTTCGAATTTTCCTATTATTATTTTATTTTATTTTTATTATTTGGTTCCCAGGGATCAGGCAACGCAACGTTTCCATCATGACGAGCTCCCGTCAACTTCAAAACCCCTCCATCTCCACCTCTTCTTCTTCTCCTTCTTCCTCCTCCTCCACTGCCCGCGATCGTCTTTCCTCCCTCTCCTCACACATCATGGGTTCCAACGGTAATCCTTCCGTCTTCACTCCGGCCGCCGTCGCCGCGGCCCCCGAAGATCCTCTCTTTGGCTTGATGAAGGCCTATCGCGAAGACCCCTCCGATAAGAAGGTCGATTTGGGTATCGGTGCTTACCGTGATAACAATGCGAAGCCTTGGATTTTGCCCGTTGTGAAGAAGGTATGTTTTTGACTATCTGCGCATCTATACAATTCTTATAGATTGATACACTCTGCGATTGGCGACAACCCGGGGGGTTTTTTTCTTTTTCCAGTTGACTGACTCAACTCTTCCCTTTCCAGGCTGATGACGCCATCCATAACGACCCCAGCGTGAACCACGAATACCTCTCCATCGGCGGGTTGGCCGACTTCACCTCGGCCGCACAGAAGCTCATCGTCGGCGCTGATAGCCCCGCGATTCGCGAGAAACGGGTATGTCGACCCGAACTCATCGGCCACCTCCACATCTTCTATACTTTCCCATCTACCACTACTGCTACACCCATGAAACAGCATAGCTTCTCCAAAATCTCACGCTAACGCACCTCTCCCATTATACAGATTTGCACCCTCCAGACCATCTCGGGAACCGGCGCCGTCCACCTGGGCGGCCTCTTCCTCTCCAAGTTCCACCCCGCACAGCCCAAGCCTACCATCTACCTCTCTAACCCAACCTGGGCCAATCACAACCAAATCTTCACAAATGTCGGCCTCACCCTCGCCAAATACCCCTACTTCTCCGCCAAGACCAAGGGCCTCGACTTCGACGGCATGATCGCCGCGCTGCGGGCAGCGCCGGCCGGCTCCATCATCCTCCTCCACGCCTGCGCACACAACCCCACCGGCGTCGACCCCTCGCAGGAGCAATGGAAGCAGATCGCCGCCCTCATGCGCGAGCGTCGCCAATTCCCCTTCTTCGACACCGCCTACCAGGGCTTCGCATCCGGTGATCTTGTCCGCGACGCATGGGCAATCCGCTACTTTGTCGAGCAGGGCTTCGAGCTGTGCGTTGCGCAGTCGTTCGCGAAGAACTTCGGTCTGTACGGCGAGCGCACGGGTGCGTTCCACTTTGTCTCTGCGCCTGGTGCGGACGCGTCTACTGCAATCCAGCACATTGCTAGTCAATTGGCTATCCTGCAGCGGTCGGAGATTTCTAATCCCCCCGCGTACGGTGCGCGCATTGCCAGCAAGGTCCTTAATGACCCCGTACTCTTTGCTGAGTGGGAGGAGGATCTGCGGACGATGAGTGGCCGCATTCAGGAGATGCGTCGTGGTCTGCGTGAGCGGTTGGAGAAGCGGGGGACCCCGGGTACTTGGGATCACATTACGACTCAGATTGGCATGTTCAGCTTTACTGGGTTGAATGAGAACCAGGTTAAGATTCTGCGGGATAAGTGGCACGTCTATATGGTGAGTCGACCTGGGCCGACTGATGGCCGTCCCTTTTTACCCGTTTCAGGTTCAAGAATGTTACTAACACATCCTCCGTCTAGACTAAGAACGGCCGTATCTCCATGGCTGGCCTGAACACACATAACCTGGATTACTTCGCCGAGGCCGTGGACAGCGTCGTCCGCGAGACCTCGTAAGCCCACTCCGCTAAAGCGAATATAATCCGGTTCGGCGTTCTTTCTTCCTTCTCATTTGATTCACCCTTTTTTCCATTACCACATTTTCTCCTTCATACTCGGAATGGTTTTGTGAAAACGGCTTGTGATGGACACTTCATTTTTCATTTCATTTTTCCTTGGTGGATTGTTGTATGCCCTCTTTATGCATCACAATCTCATGTAGATCTACGGCTCGGAATACCAGAAGACTTTTGGACTTTTATATTTCGCAATAAAAGCTCTCTTATCATAAATTAGACCTGAAATTTGAATAACCACTTGCTCGAGATCTCATGAGGAGCTTACAACTTGGTCTACTTGATGCGGCACTATCATGAATAGTCCAAATGGATAAATGGATGTTATAGTAGGAAATGGGTATGCAAATGCTATACACTCCAGGCTCGATGCTCAGCCAAAACAAACTCGCTAGCAGCAACAGAATCTGATATGAACATGCTATCTCCAGAGCTGGACTTCAACTCCAGGCCAAGCTCTCGCTCTTAAAACACTAGATCCCACACGACCAGCCAGGTACACAATCCAACGGTGCCCCAAAACACAGCTTGCGCCGTACTCCGGCGCTCCGTCGCGCGCTTAAGCTCTTTATTACCACGGCCCACATTGCTCTGCGTCGTGTCCACGTCGCTGACCAATTGTGAGATGTACTCTTCTTGTGTGGCGAGATGGGAGACGAGGGTTTCTTGGAGGGAGGATATTTCCAAGAGGGATTTTTCTGCATTTCTAAAGTGATTCGAGTGGTTAGTTGCGAGCGCGAATGGAGAGAGATAAAAAAAAGAGGCGAAGAGAGGAGGACAACGTACTGTACTTTCCCCAAAGTATCCTCATAATGCCTCAACATGGTATCATTCTCCTCAGCAAACAACTGCAATTGCTCCGGAGATAACTGCGCCTCGATCCGCGCCGTCTCGGCCTCACTCAACACCGTCGCATCAGGCGCCTGCATCGACGTCGAAACATCCACCGTCCTAGACACATCCCCACCCTTCCCCGCACCGCCAGCACCAGCAGCACCACCGGCACTCTTATACAAAACACTCTTCTCCCTCTCCCTCGCCCTCTCAATCCTCTTCTCCACCATCCCCCTCTGCACACCCGCAACCCCATCCAACCCCCTCCTCAAAAACCAAAGCACCCCCTCCCGCACACCAGCAATGCTCTTCGCCTTCTCCTCCGCCTCAATCTGCTCCGCGGATTTACCCTCCTGCGCCGCGTTCTCGTCGAGGGCGCTGCCGCCCCCGGCCCAGCGCCAGAGGAGTGCGCCTGCGGCGCTGTGGCCGTATTTCTTGCGCAGGATGGAGGCGGAGGTTTCTTGGCGGAGGGTTTCGGCGGAGGAGAGGTTTGTTATGGATGTTGCGAGGTCGCGGAGGAGGAGGGCTGTTGAGGTGTCGATTTCATCGCGTTCCGGGTCGGTGAGGTTTGTTTGGTGGTGGGAGGGGGTGGTGGAGATGGAGATTGAGGATGTGGATGTGGGTGTGTCTTTGGTTTGGCGGCGGGGGTTGGCAGTTGTTGTTAGGTAGGCGTGGCGGATTGAGTGGAGGTATTTTAGGAGGGAGGTTATGTGGGAGTTCTGTATGGGGGTTAATTAGTTTGCTGTCCAATGTTGTGAGGGGGAGTGGACGTACGATGCGATGGGCCTCCTTGAGGAACTCGTCTGCGACCTCGGTTGATGGAGTCCTGCTTGATGGGGGTGGAATGGGCCGTCCATTTTTGGCGGAGAGGAGGGTGTTTAGTGTTGGCGTTAGGTCGGTCATGTTGGTGGATTGGAGGGGTGTGGCATGGATGTTGGAGAGAGTTGGGAGAGGTGAAGGTGTCCAGCTGGAAACTCCGCGGTGGATCCCCGTCAATACTCGTCACGGGTCACTCCCATTGGCTAAACAGGACTAAATAATTCCAACCTTCCCATCTACAGTCTTCCTCTGGTCAAACCGGCCATTAGATACATTGCTGCTAATGTCTACTAATCAAAACTCATATTGCGTATTTCCATGCCAATCAAAAGGGTATAATCAAAACCAAAATGCTAATAATGCCCCCGTGCCAGACACCTTGACAAACGCACTCATAAACCGTGAACTCGACCAGATCAAATCATCGTCCGTTCTTCCACCCAAACCTAGAGAGAACAAAGTTAGTATATGCTAAATCATCAGTCTTATCCCTTTCGAAATGCTTACCTCCATCTTCCCCATCTCACTCCCCTCCCTCCTCGCAACCTCCCTCGCACTAGCCAACAACAAATCCAAATCCTCCTGATCAACCATCGTAATCATATCCCCATCATCCTGCACCTTCATTTTCAACGGACACTGAAACCCAAACTTCTCCCGAATCTTCCCCTCAAACTCTGCAAACTCCACTGTCGGGCCAATCATGATATACCGGATGTCATCCGGAGCATGCACCTTTGTCCGGAACCGCCGCACCTCGGGCCGGCGCGAGTTTGCTCGTCGAGAGAATCGTGTAGGTGAGCGGGTACGTCTTTGTTGGAGGCTTTGTGCGGGCGAGGAACCGGGACCATGAGCACCGGGTGCGGCGCTGAGTAGCTCGAAGGAGCCGTCTTTGATGGGTTCGCCGTCGCATACGTCGCTGCCGTATTCGTCTTCTTCGTCGATGAAGGCTGGTGGTTGGTGTCGACCACGGCCCCAGCCTGCGCTGGAGAGATTGGCAGGACTGGCATATGTGTGTGAGTCGGGATGGTTGTATTCAGGCTGCTCGGGGAAACTAAAAAAGTTGGGGTTGGGATTCGAGTTGGTGTCGCTTAGGTTTCTGCGATGACCGTGAGACCATGCACTGCGGCTAGGTTCGCCAAATCCACGCATATTCTGGTGTCGGGATGCTGGACCTCGGGGCTCGGATGCGGTGCGTGTCGTGCCAATGCGTGGCTTTTTCTGCAGCCGGGACGGTCTCTTGTCCCGGGGCTCTACGGTCGAGGCTGGCTCCAGTGCGTTCGAGATCGAGTCGAGGTGGCCGGCCCATTCGGAGGGAAGATGAGCGGTGGTGTGAGGAGCCTGCCACGGAGCCATTGCTTGTTGATCGTTCATCTGGTGGGGGTGTTGGAGGGAAAACATTGCGGTTAAGGGGTGGTTCGGATTGCTGACGAGTGCGGCTGGTTATGCCCTTGTGGACGAGGTTTGTGGCTGCCCAGGAGACGCCTTCACGGTCCTCGAGCGCGCCTTTGTCGATGACCATGGGCCGCCATTGGTGATCTGCGCCTTGGGATCGATCTGAAGCCGCAACCAGCCGGGCCTTGCCTAGGTAGTCCTTGGTTTTGAGGTTCTTGACCTTGGCTGCATTGGGGCGGTATAACACGCCCACGGGAATGGAGAAGACGGTATATCCCTATTCAGAGTTAGTTAGAAATCTGGCTATGAGGTAGGAAAAAGCAAAGAAAAAAGCTAGGCTGTGGAACGCCGTACATCTGCATTTTCACGAATAGCATCGTCAATCACGTCATGGTCAGACGTCACTTTCTCTTTTGCCGCGTATGAGAGATCTTGCATGCCGGGAATCATCTGCTGGAGGTAGACATAGCATAGTCCGCGGTTGAACAAGACTTCGCACGAGTACAATCGGAACTTGAGACCCAGCTGTTCATAGTCAATGGACGTATTTCCACGCAGATATAACAGCGTGTCGTTGAAATTGGCCAATGCCTCTTCAAAGTCACCTAGAAGGAAGTTTGATACTCCTTGCTGGAAGTAGGCAATCGCCAGGTACCGGTCGAGTCCGACGGCTCGTTGATAACACTCTACCTACATTTAACGTTAGTTATTGACCTGGCGTAGGGGTCTGATTCTGCTGGATAGGGCTTTCACATACTGCCTTGTCGTGCTCGCCAAGTGTCGCATAGATCACTCCACAGTTGAAGAGGATCTTGGAAGTATCCGCAATCTGATCAAAGTGTCGTAGAGACTCTTCAAACTCCTGATTGTCATAGGCGTCCAGGGCTTGCACCCATGTTTCTATCTCCTGTAAACCGTATTAGAGGCTATATCTACACGGTCTCTGATGCTTTCTCATCACATACCTGCTTTAGGGACATCTTGCCGACATAGAGACGTGCCTAGAAGTATATCGCCTGGGATTTGAGGTCGACGAAGAGGAACGGTATAAAGGAGCGCAAGTTCCCCTCTTCACCCACAGAGCCCAGAAGATCAGTCAAGTAGCGAGAGAAATCCGGAATGGAATCTCCGTACACCGCTGATCAGCCGTGGGCGGGACAAGAGCACGTCACGTCCGGGGGAAACTCGTGCCGGAAATCCCTGATACTTATTATAGCGCAGTTCCCTGTCGCCCGAGGATCCCGCCAATGTGATGGGGCTGCCCTGAGCACCCAGACTATCGGAGATGCCAAGACGAGGTATGAAAATAGGGAAATAGGAAATAGGATCAAGGGTCGGTTCCGTTGAAGGGCACAAGGTGCGGGGGGAGAGGAACCAACGGGTGGGGCTAGATCCTGATTAGGTTGGTCGCGCAGGAGGTTATTGAGAAAGTAAGATGAATATGCGATACGGTAGAGTTACGGAGGGTGAGAATTCTCGGAGGAATTGCTTGGAATAGGTTGTGATAGTCGTGATGCTTATGGTTGATAGGGAGGTCGGGGAGAGACCCAGCGAGTGTGACTGCGGGCTGGCGGGGGAAGACTGGATGAATGGAGGTGAATGGATGGATTGCGATGGGATGAGATGGGATTCGAGCACGAATCCCACGATCGCTTGTAGAATGTATTTATAGAATCGTGGTAATCTCGATGGAAATCCCAAATACTGGTGGCTGGCCTAGGATCCCCAATCTGACCCCGAATCACTCAAATCCTGCGATAGTCGATAGAAGAAAAAGAAAAGAACGTGGGCCAACTTCCGATCACGGTGCGCTAGGCGCGGGGTTAGTATGGGACCCAATGGTGTGGATCCATCAGACGGGGGGGCTGGTAAGATGGTTGAATGATGCAAGTGGTGGACAGGGTAATAGATGATGATGTCCCAGGAGGGGGGGAAGAGAGATCCAGGAGAGAAAAGAGGAGCAACGGACTAGGGAGGAGAGAGAGAAGAACTCGATCGAGAAAGACCAGAAGAAGCAATGAGAAGATGACGGCCGAACATCTGCAGAGGGATGCACAGCGGGGCAGGGATTGGACCGGGCATTCACAACCATCGATCAACATGCGTTTTTACGACTACGACTGCGACGACCCTGACTGGTAGCCCACTATCGTCGCGCTATCGTGCACTATTCTTCCCGCTAAGGCAAAGAACCTGGACGACGAACAACCAGCCCCGAGGATTGGGAAGCGCCGAGGGGAGAGTGATGGGCCAAAAATAACTTGCGTTGCACCTGCAGGAAATATGCACGCCAGGTGAGCAATGAGCATGCTGGATAGCCTTGACGATGGGATTTCTTGTGGTCACCGCAACTGTGACTGGGCGCTTATTGCGAAAGTCGAGCGAGCGAGCTTTCTGTATGGTCGATAGTCGTGCCTCCTCTCGAATGGACTGATGGGCCGAGAGTGGCATGGTGCTCTTGTTTAGAGTTCTGGCCTTGGCAACCAACCGGCGAGGAGAACTTGTACCTGGCAACAATCCTCCGAGAAGGGCATCGCTTGATAGGTAGTCTCATTTCCACCAAGTTCCAACTCCCCCCCCCCCTTTGCCACGTCGCCAATGATTCAGCAAGTGGCTGATGAGTCCGGATTGGCCGTGTTTAAGCGGATGTCGGTGCAGTCTTCATTTCCGAGCACGAGTTAAGAAGAAAAGAAGACGATCGGACCCATCACAAAAAGGGCACGACGTTGTAACGCGGGATTAGCTCGACGAACGGGCCGCGGGAGGTTCCATGGATAACCCCCCTGCTCGGCCGTGCGGGGACCGGATGGGCTCCATCTGGCATTTCTCGGTAGAATCATCAGGTCGAGATTAGGTAGAGGCCCAGTCAACGGCAGTTCGGCGAGTCATTGAACCACGAGCATGAGATCGGAAATGCTCCTTTGCTCCTCATTGGCGTGGCCGATGGAGATACCCCCGCCACGGCGCTTGCAGTGCTTTATTTAGAGTCGCGAGAACTAGGGTCGGTCAGCGAGAGAACATTGAACAGGGATGTTGGGAAAACCTGGCGACCGGCGATGGAGATGCTAGAATTGTGAAGTTATTCGGTGATTGATGGGGTTTGAAGGTGAAGCCAGGGAGAGGAACAACGGAGACCCCGTGACTTCTACATCATTCTATACACTCGATCACAACTACATTCCGGATTGCCAATTTCTAGATAACTAGTTATTACATGGGCCAATTAGATAATCTCCCGTTTGATTCATGGCTTCATAATGAGTCACGGGTGTCTGGTACCGAATACGAGAGAGCTATGGCCTGGAACCTTTCGCTTAGGTTTATAGAAGATAATCTAATTGACAAGAAGCACACACCCCTACTGAACCAAGATACCATGGCGAATCGCTTCATTCTGCCCGCTTCGCCTGTGGTTCGATGCCAAGATCGATTTGATCTTCTTGGCTCCGACGAGGACCAAGTGCCCTTTTGGGACCTTCTCACCGCGATCTTGACAAGTAAATCGGATCCCATCTATGATATTGCCTCATTTCTTGATGCGCTGGAGACCATCGCTATATCCCTGAGGGGGTCTCTACTAAATGGAAATTACGATGCACTTCACGAGTTTATGACCTCATATCTCCAAGATGAAATTCATCGTGACCGGTTCTTCACTAAAACTTGGCCATTTCTTGTAGATTTGGCCCTGGAAATGCCCACACTGTTTCCCGATGGAACATTACCATGTCTCTCAGCAGCACAGAATGATAATGGAATGACCACAGCTACTTTCTCGCGACGACAAATTGCATGTCTGGTAGTTCATCAATTTCTTTGCTCTCTACCCTCACGTCCTTGGGATACGGAGTCATTTGTTGATCTGCGGCCATGGTACACTCACTCAAACACGTCTCATCCAGGCGCTGTTCATGCATACTTGACAGCACTCTTCTCATACTTTGAGCACCTTCAGCAACCAATAGAAGGCTATAAAGCTCGAATTGAGATGTCAACGGATGAGTGGCAAATCACGTTTACAATCAGATCGGTTGGAGGTAATGAGGCAGATCAGCTGCTCGAGAACGAGGCTTCAAGCGCTGATCTTGCCTCGACATCCATTGAGATTTGCCATCTGGAAGAATCACAAACGACACCCGCCTATCTTGGGATCCCCCATGGAGCATGCGTGATCTCTGCCAACAAATGCTTTGGTTACGGCCCGACCGGTACACAAGAAGAGCTGCACGTCGGCATTTCCCCAGAATCATACCCTGCCGTCCTCCTCGCTCGTCCGCTGTCCGATGACCAGATTTTGATCTGTCAAGGCGCAGAGCCAATGGTCTCTATCAAAGGCCACGGCAGAGATGCAAGACTAGATCAAATACTGCCATCTTCTTTCTGTGGCCCTGGAGACATATACCGGTGGAAAGATCGAACAATGCTTTTCATGGATGCTTTGGAAATGGACGTCATTGGTGCAGAGAGCGATTCTCCCATTCCAGACATTTACCCTCCCACGCGACTATCCAGGGAGATGATTCTAAAGGCATACAATTCATTCCGCAGTGTCGGACAACCGTACAGTTATATCGTGACAGGCCTCTGGGGCTGCGGAACGTTTGGCGGAAACAAGTACGTCAAGTGCCTGCTACAGTGGTGTGCGGCGAGCTTAGCTCAAATTCCCGCTCTCAGGTTTGTCTTTGCTGGGCCTGAGCAACAGAAGTTTTCAGAAGAATTTGCGCGGTTCGCGCTAAGAGTGATACGTAAGGATGTCACAATCAGGCAGGTCTTTGAAGCCTTGGTAGCGATGAAAGATTGCGGCTATGAGGTCAGCACGGATGGGGTTTTCGATTATATGGCGGATCAGCTTGGTTTTAGGTAGTAGGAATAAGGATTAGTTGGGGGGAAAATAGGGAAAGCTTCGAAGTCAAAATGAAACTGCTATGCTCAAAGTGGTTGTCGGATCCGCATTGGGAGCGCTTGAGATGGGACTGGGGTCATCATGTCCTCACGACCTATGCATAGCGACCGTCGGGCGTAGTGTGATTTTCTACCTTCTCTTCGTACCTTTGATCGTGCCTTTCGGTAATTTGCCTTATCGATCACCATACATGAGAAACACGATCTCGAAACAAACAAGTTCACAAATTTCTATTTCGAAAGATGTGGAGGGTGAGCTGGTCCATAAATTCATACCGAGGAATCAGTACATATTCCCAATTCACTCGGGTGAGGACAAAGACAGAGAATGAGGAGTCATCTACTATGGCACCTCGTGCTGAACAAGAGCCCAAGCAGTCAGCGGAACTTGTCAGAAGGCCACAAATCCAAGGAGACTCCGGAACCTACGACACTCACACTCGACCCAAGCATTCTTTACTCACCATCCCGCCGGAAATCCTCGATGAGATTCTTAAATGGCTTCCTATCAACGATCAACAATCCGTTGCATGGACCAGCAAATTACTTCACCAAAATTATGTTCCGATTCTACAAGACTCGAGACAAGACTTCCCTCCGGAAGCCGAAGAACATTGCCTTCTACAACGCAAGCCACAAAAAAATAAATCATGTTGTCCTCCAGAAGAACGCATCCGAGGAACCGGCTTTGATTGGTGGAGAGTACACCATACCGAATCCTGTACTATGAAGTATGCGAACAGCGTGAGGCTTTGTCCGTGTTTGGCACTCTGCCCTTCGTGCTTTAGGTACATCATCTATGATTTAGGGGCGAATCGAGGTCTCCGTTTGGCACGTAACAACAAACCTCTTGCCATTGTACACACCAAGGATGGGCCCTTTATCGCACATGAGTGCACAATCACAAATATCCCAAATATGGAAGCCCAGGTCTTGGTGCATATTGTATGCCTCTCGGAAGAGCGATTGTTGGTCTCCGTCGAGTATCGAATTCACGTTTGGACTATGGCTCGGCTAGATAAAGCCGAACCTTTCCATATTTGCCCTCACGAACAGGATATCATGCCATGGCTCCGGGCATACTTTGAACATCGAGAGAAGGGGATTGTGGGGTGGCAATCTGAGTACGAGCTCTGCCCGTTTTGTCAAATAATGCTTTGTCGGGGCAAGGGACTTCGTGATATCGTGGTACGGGTTAGAAGTGGGATATATCAAGACAGGGCGGCCTGGCACTGCAGAGGTGAATATTTTCCCGTTCTACCATTCGCCGTCGCAACCAATTACCCAGATCAAGACCGCGATGCATTGTCTCAACCGGCGGAGGAACAGCTAGACAACTGGGGAGGAACTGCTCTTTGCTAGTGAGGAAAGCTCTTAGCTTGCTTGTCTTTGGGGAAGGAAGATATATTTTCATGTTTACGAAGTTGAGTTCATTTTTGAGTAGGTAGAATTATGGAAAGTTCCGGGTGATAATCAATATCCATCTTCGGCCAAACAAATCCTTCAACGATAAGAGACTTGGTAATTCTTTATCCTCGGCAATTGTGGATCAAGATGACGAGAATAAGTCGTTGTTTCATGAATCAGAGGGTGCTGATATGGCATCGGTGTGGCAATGAAATCATTGAGTGTCCTGGTAATCCTCAATCTCCAGTTCGTCCTGCTTATCCTCATCATCTTCACGCCCGCCAAGCTGAGCCGGAGTACATTCCGATATAGCTTTAGCCTTGGTTGCCTTCTTGCATATTTTCAAGAACTTGCATCTTTTCGAGAACTTTTCGCATATCTCAGGCCAATCTAGGTACAATCGACCTACAAGAACGAGGAAGCTGAGTAGCGTGCATGCAGTCGTGACAATCTGCAGAATATGCAATCTATCCATCATGAAAGCAGGCGAAAATGTGAAATTGTGGTATGTGACTTGATGAGTAGAGAGGACTTTGGCTGGAAGAATGTAAGATTATTATGCAGAGAGGGAGTGATAGCAACAAATAAATACTCAAGAGTCCGTACCCTGGATACTATTATTGCGGTGAATTCCATCTTTATGCTGTTACTTAGTCAGAAAATATTAGCCTTAGACTACCTAAGCATATTTCTGGAGACAAGTTAATGTTACTGAAATACAACAAATGTTTACTATATTCGTTGTGAATGACATGGTTCAAAGACCACTTTTTCTCCTAGTCCGCAAATATGTTCCATGTAATGGGGTAAGTGGGTCCCTAAAATACGTATAGAGTAGATAAAGTTATCGCAAGAGGCAGCGTATATTCACTGGTAGAAATAATATAGTATCCGAATGCAATCAAGATATAAAGTCCTACTAGATGTCCCCATCCGAGTCACGTGCCATTTACTTCCCCGGACGTCAACTGAAGGTCCAAGCCAGCCATCAGCGGTCAGCGGCAGGGATCTGATCTCGGACGCCAAACCGGACCAGGGATTAGTTCGCCTCCCCCTCATTCTCCCAAGCACCACGCGATGGGCAACCCCTATATTCACACCGACGGGCGCGCACTATCAAACCTTCTTGTACTATCATAATAATACCCACCGGCTCGATCGCCTGCAATGGCGGAAATCTACGATACCGACCGCTTCGCGCAACTCTATTATCCATCAAATACAGCGGACCTCCTACAGCTTGGCCTTGCGGCTAGATTCATAGCCAGTTTATTCGAGGCCCACCAGATCACGTATGCCTTTATTGGAGGATGGGCGGTATATCTAAGAGGGGGTCGACGAAGGACTCAAGATATTGATATCACTGTCGCTACGACAATGGACCATTTAAAACAGATCCTAACCGCGCAATCCCGGTACTTGCTTAACACTTTTCCCTGTTCCTCTTTCGCATAGTCTATTAATCCCTCGGATGATGGCTGTTTTTTCCCCCTTATCTTCTTGCTTTGTTTAACCGGTTCTTCTCAGAATACATTTCCCTCTTACACACGGCCGAACTTCTGTCCAAGTATTCATCGACACGGGGCGCAGCGTGGATGGCGAATTCCCTCACGTCCCGGACTTGGCGGTCAGCATGGACATAGTAATTAGTGGTAAGCCCGACACTTCCTTTCGTCGGCAAGAAGCCAATAACACGTTGTTAATATCTAGGGCCATCCTTAGGACACTTGGGGACGCCGGAAGATCTACAATCATCGCGCGAACCCATTAATCCACATAGGCCCACGCCGTTGGGTTCACCGGTGTTGGTTTTGGGGCTGGTCTTTCAAATATATGCCAAGTTAGACGCATTTTTCCGACGAGGCGAGCAGGGTAGTAAGGACTTTTTGGATCTGGAATTCTTGTTCACACAGTATGCTGCGCAGATCCCCACGTTTCGGGATTATTATGATTTGGAACAGCGGAGATATTTTTGGACTCAATATGCGGAGGCGTATGTGGCGTTTCCCGATCAGGTTGAGAATATGCGATTACTGTTAGGCGTCTGACAGCCTATCCTCTGCATTATAACCATATCTTTAATTCAATCTGAAAAAAGCAGTCTCGAAAAATATGATTACTTCAATTAGTTCATTTACTTCATTATATAAAAAGTTTCTAACATGACATGCGTTTCTGGGTCCATGGGTCTGGCGAGCCTTTGAGGCGAAAGCGGGTGTCGAAGAGATTGTCTGGAGTCGTCCAGCCCAGTCTGCCTTTCTTACTGCGGACCCTGGACTCCCATTTTTCTCGTTTGTTGATAGTTTGCGTGGGGAAGTAATGGACAAAGAGCCATCCTTTCCCCCGAGCCGCCTCCTTGGCGACTTTATTCATACGGCTTGTCCATTCAAGGTCGTTGGTTCCGTCTAGGTCCAGGTGTCTCCGTCCCCATTCTTCGGAGACATCGGACCCGTCGATGCAGTCACATAGTGATACATCATCATTCATGTCCAGGTAGCTTTGCATTAGGATTGGTAGTGTTGGGTAAGGTAGGCCAGTGAGGCTGCGTTGTATTTGGAAGGGACCGGATGGAATATGAGCGTCGTGAGCGGGCATAAGGACAAAATAGAAATGAATGCCTCTCCCTTTGAATCGATGGTAGGTATGGCTTAGCGAGAAAGGATGCGAGGTTGAATGCGGAGGTACAGGGTGAATCTTGTCGGATATAAGCTCAGAAGAAAGAAGAGCAGCAGCTTCGGTGACTTTGTTGTCGGGGACGCAAAGATCCCATTCCTATGAAAAGTCGTTTGTCAGCTTTCGGGGGCCAAGACTGTTGAAGGACAAAGCAAAAGCATACATCTCGAACACGCCCAGCGCCATAGTAGATCAGCGCAGAAACGCCAACTATACAGCATTCGATGCCATGCTCCTCGAGAAATCGAATTATGGTCAGAATCTCGAGTGTCCCATGGCCTCCGCACGAGGGGACCTCGTCTGGAGAGTAGGTGGCGGTGTCGGCTACGGGCAAGGACGGTGGAACTGGAGGGTTGATATGGATGTTGGAAGCTAGCATTGCGAGTGCACTAGATTGGAGACAGAGGCCCGTCTAACGACTGGAAAAGAGGTTCGTCTTGAAGTCGCGGGGAACCCAAATGCTGCGGCTCCACGTGATCCCCTTAGTCACTGAATCTAGACCCGAGGCTATCCTGCACGTTTTTTTTTTCTTCACGCCCACAAACGACTGGGGGATAACCTTAACTTAAGATCGACTGATCCCGTCTGAGACCTCACATTAGTAGGCCTAGAATGATAAAATTATAGTAGTCGATAAGGCCCTCAGTGTGATACAAACCGGCGAGACAAGTACCACTTTTTTCGATCTTGGAGGAGGCACGTTCGAAGAGGCCCCACTGGGATTGCTTGATTCGCCCCCCGGTTACTAACGGTTCTGATGATTCACTTCAGCTCGAGTACAGTAGCGTCGAGATATGGATGCTCAATCAGGTTTCCTGCATGTGACATGGCCCACTAACGGGTCTAGTTAAATGACATGTCCACTCTGATTTTTGGATGTCTCGATTTCCTGACCCTAGAATGTGTCGTACTGTCTCGTGGAAAAGATAGCCAGCAAGTCGGCCAAGCCGGCCAAGTCGTAGTTAGTCGATATGCATTTGGGCAGTTTGAAGCGACAAGCCCCCGCTCAGCCAGCATGTATGCGTATCCCATGTGTGCTCTGTAGGACACGAGTATATTCACCTAGGTCGACTATCTTTCCCTTATTTGTATAATGGGTATTCAAAGCATGCATCACATCTATCGTAAATCATCAGCCCCAGCCCTAGGCCACCCACTCCCCACATATTCCCCCGCAAGTTGACAGCCAACCTAAAAAGTCCACCCCCTTACTGTACTTTGGATTTGGTCAAAGCTTAAGCCATGCCCTGGCTGACTTGCTCTTGTCGCTCCTGCCAGACATTCTTTCCAGAGCACGAGCAGACCATCTTATCATTATCCCACACGCCAGCACTGCGCGCAATAACACCGACCAAGGTGTTTTCGTCCTCGCGCTTGAACGGTCCCTCCTTGCTCTTAGAAACGACCATACTCCGCCCAATCAACTCCCAAATAGCAACGGGTCGGTCGAGGAAAACATTGCCGCGACCCTGGTTATCAACATCGACCGTGCCGAAGATCCCCCGGGACTCCTTCTCGGCCGCGGCCGTGGTGTCGGAGCCCAGGACCTTATTCTTCAGAGACTCCCAGATACCGCCCGTCGATTCGGCACCCCGGGAGATGTCACCAGCCTCGCGGATAGTGGCGTAGTATTGACCTGGTGAGAGACCGTTGATCGTTAAGTCGACTAGAGTCATGGTCGGGGCGACCTGGACCATACGGGCCAGGCCACGGATCTTATTGGCGACGGTGGTAGAGTGCGTTTCAAGGATACAGACTGCGGAGCCTGATGAGAGCAAATGGTTGTCAGTAAATGTAGCGTAGGTGCGAACAGGGAATGAACGCCGTGCATACTGTTTGAGGTGCCACTTCCGCGCAGAATGGCATCCCGGCCGGTGTTTTGAATCGCGGACACGATCGAACTCGGCGGAGCTGTGCCTTCAATGAAGACAAGCTGATCCTTCAGGTTGGCTTCGACTTTCTGGATACCTGCATGTATAGGGATAGAGTGTCAGGACGGAGCTTCAGAGGTGGAATTCGGTCGCATGGACAGGAGATCGAACCATCGAGTTTGGACAGGGAGGCGGAGACGTCTTTCACGCAACCCTCGCAGGTCATGGGGACCGAGAAGGTCGTCTAGAAGTTATCGATCAATCAGTACGCGTGTGAATCGATATTTGGATTGTATTGGGAGAGCCTGACCTGGAATGGCTCAATCATAGCGGGGAAGAAGTAGATCCAATGCCGGGAGTCCGTAGGCGATCAAAGCGGTACAGTCGTAAGTACTTCTGCGAAATTTGTACGACAGAGACTATGACCAGAGAAAAAAGAGAGATGTCCAAAATATCCCAAGAAGATATGTTCAGGGCATTGCGTGACTAGAAAATCCAAGAGCCGGCAGGCGGCGGCGGGGGGTCCGATTTGGATTTCAAATCGGAGCTGTTCTTCGGCCCGCCTCTTCCCCAGAGACACGAAACGTCATTCCGAACCCATCCTCGCCTTCCGCACACATCATCCCCTCGCCCGCGCCCAGCCCGACGCGACGAGGTAACCATGTCAGCCGCAAAATCGCGCTGGGCAGACGAGGACCCAGAGGCCGATGCGATCATTGCCCAGCGCAAGCGCGAGAAGGAGGAGAAACGCCGCGCCAAGGCGGAAAAACAGCGCCAACTCGAGGAGGCCAGCAAAACTTCAGCTCCTACACAGCCAGTGGATGCTGGCCAAGAGGCCAATGGGGAGTCAGGACCCCCGAAGAAGCGAAGGAGATTGTCGAATGACCCCGACGCGCCCTCCGTGGTAGATGAGGTTCCGACGAGCGAGGAGGTGAAGAAGCAGTCGAGCTTGTTGAGGTTCCCTGTTGGCGAATGGGGACCCTGCAGGCATGTTGACAACTTCGAGCGGTTGAACCATATCGAGGAAGGCTCTTATGGATGGGTCTCGAGGGCCAAGGATATTACAACGGGCGAAATTGTCGCGCTGAAGAAATTGAAGCTTGAGAACTCGCCGGACGGGTTCCCAGTGACGGGTCTGAGGGAGATACAAACGCTGCTAGAGGCGCGACACCAGAATGTGGTTTATCTCCGGGAAGTGGTTATGGGTAACAAGATGGATGAGTGAGTTTATTTCTCCCACAACTTTGAGAAGCTTATGCTAACCAACTCGTTCTCCTAGTGTCTTCTTGGTGATGGACTTCCTCGAACACGATCTCAAAACTCTCCTCGACGAGATGCGCGAACCCTTCCTCCCATCTGAGATCAAGACTCTACTCCTGCAGGTTGTCGGTGGTCTTGAATTCCTACACTCACAATGGATCATGCACCGCGACCTAAAAACATCCAATCTCCTCATGAATAACCGGGGCGAGATTAAGATTGCCGACTTTGGTATGGCACGCTACTATGGTGATCCGCCACCCAAGTTGACACAGCTCGTCGTGACTCTTTGGTATCGATCACCCGAACTGCTGCTGGGCGCGGACAAATACGGCACGGAGATCGACATGTGGAGCATTGGCTGCATCTTCGGCGAGCTTCTCACCAAGGAGCCCCTGCTTCAAGGCAAGAACGAAGTTGACCAGGTCTCCAAGATCTTCGCCTTGACCGGACCTCCCAATCAACAGATATGGCCAGGTTTCCGATCCCTGCCCAACGCCAAATCTCTACGTCTCCCCCAGACTTCGGGGGCGCCCGCGGGAAATCCCCCCTTACTACCTCGTTCCCGATTCCCCTATCTCACAAACGCGGGTTTGAACCTGCTGTCCACATTGTTAGCGCTGAACCCAGCTTCTCGTCCTACTGCACAGCAGTGCCTTGCACACCCATACTTCCGGGAAGACCCTCGTCCCAAACCGAAGGAGATGTTCCCGACCTTCCCCTCCAAGGCTGGCATGGAGAAGCGGAGGCGTCATCATACACCCGAGGCCCCCAAACGTGGTCAAGACGCACCGGAGCTGGACTTTGCGGGTGTGTTTGGCGGGGCGCCTGGAGGTGATACGGGCGAGACTGGCGCTGGCTTTTCACTTCGCCTGGGATGAAGAATACATAGATTCAAGGAACTGTGAATCTTGCCTCACAAATCTACTTCCTTCCGAACTTAAGCGAACATTGTTCTGATCGCCATTCAACACGGTATTATAGATGAACGGGGCGGGCATGCCTGCGAGAATTTATCTGCATCTGCCAGGATCTCATGGTTGACAAATGACCTGTACATGGCGAAAAACCACCTCCATTATTAAGAGAAGGCGGTTCTCTAAAGCAGGCAATGGGTTGACTCAATCTGTTCACACCTTTCAGACAAGTGAACAATCAGCTTGTGGACCCTCTTGAGAAGTGTTTATGCCATCTACCTCAAGCCACAAGATTCTAGAATCTAAATCATAGTTTGTTGATTTCAAATTAATCAACTTCGTGGTGCTCAATGCCATCTGCATTATCTTGTTTCAAGAAACCGTAGCTCAACAATCTCCTTGTGCAATTCTCAAATTCGACCAGCCATAAAAGTAGTCATGGCCTCCTGATCACCCATCCCATTTCTGCGGTTATTCAAAAACTTGAGTGCCCTCAAATGCCAATCAACCCCAACATTCGACCCGGGCTGTTGACCCTGGAGTATAAACGCCCTTACTTCATTTCCCTTGGTTGCATTCACATGGAAACCCTTATTTGGATCCCAGTCATATCGCATCTGGAAATCAACGTTGCCCGCAAACACGCCGTTGATGCCACAGACGCCGTCGAAGTTGTTGAATTTGACGCCCTATATAGAGAAAAATTAGACATTTCTATCTTTGATTGGGAGTTATAAGTAGTTTACGTACCATCCATGACCAAGATGTCACGCTCCGTCTGCCATCGCTTATCCACGAGGCGGCACTGCCGAGAGGGTCTCGCACGTAGACTTTGACTTCTGGGCCTTTCATAGTTATCGATAAATCAACCCTGAGGAAAGTGTGTGGAGTCTGAAGAGGGGCTTGCACCAGGGCTGTTTATATGTTCATAACCACTCATATAATTTCCCCGCCCCCAAACCTGAACAAATCCCGTCCATAGTCACCGGATAGGTATAGAGCCGCATACAGGAAGAAGAAAGTGGGGGCCATCAAGCTTGTACATATCTGGTAGTCTTGCCCAATGAGTTCTACGCACGTCAGATCAGCCACAAACTAACACGAGGACTGCCAAGATAACCTTTGGCGCTTTCGGGGTGACAGGATATGATAAGATGGTCTCCTCACACGTGTCAGCGCCTAATCGGGCGCCGATGAGATTACGGGCTGTACACTTGTTGTTTTTAATCATCATGGAAGTGAATATTCGAGCCGCAGATTCGAAGGAGGATTTGCGCCTGCATTTGATATTCGGAAGATAGGTATGATGCTGATATGTATTTGCTTCTTGAGCAGCTTAATCTGGCCATCCTTAGCTTACTGCGATGTCTGCCAAGGTGTTGGCTGAGACGTCTCAGACTTTATGGAGTACAATGTTGCATAACGCCAGTCAAAATAGATAGAAGTAGGCGAAATGAAAATTGCCACACTCGGTCGTGTCTGTCTTCTTTTTGAGCAGTACTCCAACATTGTACCAGAGGTACTGATTGCATGATGACCACTCTTGAGCCTCGTCATGAACTGAGGTTGATGCCAGCTAGTTGCTCGAGAAAGGCTAGTCCACATCAACAGCAAGCAAGTCTAGAAGGTTTATTTCCACCATTGTCTTATCTACTCCTTCTACGCATAGGCTAGAAAGAATTATAGAACCAACCGCTTAATAATACTGTGTTGTATTGGATATCACGAATAAAAGGTATGCTCCGAGCTCGTACTGACTGTTGCTTCCGGGAAACCCCTAAAGATACACCAATGAAAATGCAGGATGTCGATATGGAAAGAGCAACAACCAATCATTCGACACCGGACCAAAGGAGAAAGACATCAAGATCATGATAATTGTCGTGAAGCATTCGGAAATTCAAGCACCACGCCTAGGCTCGAGAGCTCGAAGTAGCATTTTCGGTGGGCTCATTTGCTTCGTGTTGCTCGTCTCTCTGGATGTCAGGTCGGAAGGACCGACGCATGGTGTTGGTTAGGCTCTCTCGAGTCAAGCGTAATCCGTTGCGTGTGCCACGATCATCACGAGTGGCATAGTAAGTAGATCCGTCACCACCTCGTCCCTTGACTTGGAGATCACCGCGGTCTGGATAGTAACTGCTATGCTTGCCGTCGGCCGTGTAGTACTCGTTTCTGTGGGTGGGCCTAAAGAGAACTTCCTCATCGATGGGAGAATCGAGCGGTGACCATGGAGCAGACGAGACAGAGGTCGGCGAGGTGTAGTTTGCAGAATTCACAGCGCTGCTGTCCTGGGTGTAATTGGTGGAGAACTCCGAGCCGTCATATTGAGAGTCGGCAGCGCCCCAAAAGCCTGGAGGAGAGAACAATCGGGGGTTATTAAAAGGGCTTTCTTGATCCTCGGATGAACGTCGCAGGATCTCGCGTCGGCTCAGTGGATTGGTAGAATCTCTCGAGGAAGATTCCTAGAGCTGTCAGTTCATGTTCGATATGTCCGAGTTCTTCACATATACATACATTTCTCTCGGAGATATGAATACCGAACGAGTGACGACGTCTATCAGACTGTCCCTCGCGAGAAAGAGTGGTTTGGATATCAGTGTGTCGAGTGTAGTCATCCATGGTGCAAGGCAAGGTGATGGAATCTCGGACAGAATGGACTGCCACAACTTGGGGACGAGCAAGTGAGGTGAAGGGGCGCGAGGTATTCTCTTTCTGGAAATTGTTGAAAATGTCAACCAGGCCGGAGGCAAAATGAGTATCGAGGCTCCAGGGTAATTCTGTTGGATGGTATGGGTGGTCGTCTGGGTTGTGAAGTGGAGAGGTGGGAGAAGGAAGTGAAGGCAGGTGCGCAGACTTCAAAGTGCTTTCACTCTCCAGTCCGGGGAATCCGGGGTAAATCACGGGGCTCACTTCAGTTTCTCTAACCCACTGCTCCAGTAGATCGTGGTACAATCCGGGGAAAGCAATCCTCACGTCGACAGAGCACTTCCTAGACTCCGAGACAGGAGATTCCCGGGATTGAGATTCCAGTGGATCATCCCCCAGAAGCAGTCTTTCTTGTTTGACTGAAGACTCTGGTCTGATGAAATTGGAGTCTCGTCGACGAGGTGTCACCGAGCCTGCAATACTCGGAGTACTGTAATCTGGCAATTCCAACGACTCCTTAGAGTCCATGTGAATTTGCTCCATCTCCAAAGATGGATTATTTCGCGTTTCACTGAGGTGTCTCAGCTCCTTTATCTTTTTGCATGTACCCTCTTCGTGATTCAAGTCACTCTTCAAAAGGTGCTTCCTCTGCTCTGGAATCCCATTTTGTTCGTCACACAACAAAATTGTTCCACCTAAATCCTCATCGTCTGAAGAGCTGCAAGACATTGACTCTGTTGTGTACCGATCTTCTGAGGTGACGGACGGAGTTACGCAATCAGCAATATCCTTCTGTATATCTTCGACGATCGATGAATGTTGTTCTTGTTCTGTACACTTCCCCTCCTCGGTTGAAGGATGAGACGTCCCGGCGATATGCTGGTATGGTTGGTATACGAAAGATGGATCGGCAGGCGTACTCACAGTTTGTTCAAGGGTGGGTTGCAAATCATCGACAAGGTCACAGGAGCTCGTCATGGGCTGTGGTGCAGACATGGTATTCTTCAGAGGATGGGAAGAAACCTGCGCGATGATATCTACATTGCCATCATCCAGGTTTCGCGGTTTGACTCGGCCATTCCGATAAAGAGCAGTACCAAAACTGGGATCTTCCTGGGTAGTACTCGAGATGTTGGAGAACCCATGGGAGTGTCGTTGGGCATGGCCCTTCTTGGGGAAGGATTGGGCCAAGCTTTCAAGAGGATCACTACCTGGTCGAGATGGTCGATTGAATAAGCCTGCTCTTAGAGCCAACAGCCCAGACCGTGCCTTGTACAGAGATCTTCTTGGAAAGCTTGGAGTCCCATGTGTCTGCCGCTCAGAGTCCGATGGGGAAGTTTGAGACTCGGAGCGAAAGAACAACTCCATTGGGTAATCTGGGTCGGTGTTATGCCGTAGATCTTGCGGATTAAAAACCGGATAATGCACGTTCTCCACGCAGGTCGGTTGCGGGACCGGAGGATCGATAAGACTGTGTTTCTTGCTTAGTGAACCATGCTTGGAGTGGACAGCTCGTTCCGATAGCTTACCTTCCTCTTTTTCCCGGTCCACGGAATCGAAATGAGAGCGAGAAGACGCTACTGCGACGGGACAGGTGCTCACCAGATGGCTCGGCATCGGTCTTAGCTTTCTTTGACTTCATTTGAACAGGTAATCCAAGCCCGAGATGTAAAATGGCTCGAGTATAATAAGTGGATGAACGGGGCCGTATCGTAAAACAGCACGGTCGAAGGTTGAGAATTTGTGGCATGAGCAGAAAAAGCAAAGCAGAAAGGTGTAAAGCGATCAAACATTACGTGAGGTAGTCCACTATATTGTATTCCCAAAATGGCAAGAACGCCTCTATTCCGAGACGCGCCGCTGATGTACACAGTGACAGTATAGAAAGTCTGAATTCAAAGACTGGAGAAACAGTCCAGCAAGGTATGCTTCCACTTTCTCAATATTAAATGATGTTTCAAAATATAATTTAATGATTTTTATAGATAGCCTAAGTATCATCTCTTGGTCTACGTTCAAATCGTGACTGAGAAGATGATTCTGAAGTTTTGACGGAGTTTCAAACTAATGGGATACCAGGCTACTCCAGGTAGTAAGCAGGGTCAAGACGCGTCATCAATTAGCAGTGGATCCTATATGGTAACATGCATCCAAGTATCCTGTAATCATGTAGTTATAGATGCAGATAACAAACGCGGGTAGTCGACTGGCAGGTGCTGATCACCGACCCACTTGTGGCCGAGCTTCTTTTCTCCGTTCTCATCCTCCCTTGTCTACTTCCAATTGTCCTTCCAGCCCCCACCATTGCCACCATGCTCTTCTAAGCCAGATCTCATTCCGTCTCATAGATCCTTCTTTTTTCACCTCTTTCATTTTCCTCCTTTTCTTCAATATGGTAAAGAAGCAGCAACCGCCGCAGAGTGCGGTCTCTTTCGACGCGATCATCCAATCCGGTAATCACTACTTCTCTCTCAATGTCTGACATCTCAGTGATCTAACCACTCCTACGCGCAATCCAGATCGCCGAAAGAAGCAACATGAACAGCTCGCCAGCCAGCTCCTCGGCAAGAACAGAAATGAGAAGGGCCGCCGAGCAAGCGCGCCAGGCCCGGGCGCGATCAGCAAGGTGCCAAACTCGAAGCCGGGAAGCTTGGCCAGTCGCATCGCAGTTCCAAAGGTAAGCATACTCTCGTCTCAAATACTACACCCTAGGCGATTCCTGACCTTTTGCCTTATCCTGTAGCGATCCGTATCGGTCTCTGGCAGACCCAGCCAGACCAACAAGGTTACGAAGGCCACCAAAGCCAAACCTGCCCCTGCCACAGCCCAACCCACGCGAAAATCCACGAAACCCACACCCCAGCGTCGCCCCAACACGGACCGACTTCAGGCTGCTCTCGAGTCGGGCAATAAACAAGCCACGGTTCGGCCAGCTGCCCCGGGGATGACTATCAAAGGTGCTTCCGGGCCCTTCGTGGTAATCGGGGGAAACTTTGCCCCTGGAACGACTGCTGCCGATATCCAGTCTGCAGTTGAGCCCATCTCCGGCCCAATGCTCTCCTGCCTCGTCACCTCACACCACCCGACTGTCACCGCAGAATTCGCATTCTCGGAGAGATGGTGCGCGGAGAACGCGGTTGCCAACTTCCATAACCAAAGGGTAAGCGCTCTCAGCACGCACGCTACTAGCAGTCTATGTATACGCTCTGACACGAATCATAGGCCGATGGAAGACTCTTGTCACTCAAACTACAGCCAGCCGGAACCCAAATAAGCACCCCAAGCACTTCTTTCAACGATCTTCGAGAGCAGGCAGATCGCGAACGACGGAATCGACGCGCAGAACCAGTCCTTCAAGATGGTCGCTACGGATTCGATGAAAAGGGTGGCAATCTCAACTCAGAGACGGGACTGTACAGTGATGAGATGATGGTGGATGCCCCGCAGCAAAAGAGCCAGAACCGGCGCAGACAGCGACGGTGATCACTTGCTGGCGCGAGGAACCCACCAAGCAGTAAAGATTGCTTAGCATGCGCCGTCTACGAACGGAAACACGGCGAATAGGGCCCTGGTGTACAATTCTTGTTTATTTTGCTTCTCGGATGTATTCAATTCTCATGACATGTATGAATATCAAGTAACTGATCAACTGATCAACACTCGGAGAAATCCATGCTTCTTCACTAAATTGGCCGCTGTTGATAAGGATAAGATCACGTGGAGCGGAGCTTTTGCGGAGATTGGCAGATTTAGAGACGGGGAAACACATTCCTGTAAAGCTTCTCAGCACCCAATTACAGACCATCAGAAGAGGGAGTTTGAGTTCTGCGAAAATTTGAGCGTTACGCTTCTTCCTCACTGAAATTCTAGAGGTTCTTGAGCACAAGCCTTTCCAAAGATGAACGCTGCCGCTCGGCGCGCGGCGTCGCATGGCCTCCGGAGGTCTCGCGCCTCGATTTTCTCGACATACTCACGGCGATGGAACTCTACATTTGCGGAGAGACAATGGTCTACACCACTAGCACGCACACTAGCGAGTGCTATGAAGGTATATCTTTTTATTATAACTTGAATTGGAGCTTTTCTGCTAACATGTTTGGGTTTCTGTAGGTCACCGGGCCCATTCCCATCGCCGCGTTTATGCGCCAAGTGTTGACCTCCCCAGAAGGTGGTTACTATACCTCCCGTGAAGACGTGATCGGAAAGCACGGTGACTTTGTTACCTCGCCGGAGATTTCTCAGGTGTTTGGAGAGCTGATTGGCATCTGGGCTATTGCGGAATGGATGGCACAGGGGCGGAAGCGGAGTGGTGTTCAGTTGATGGAGGTTGGACCGGGCAAGGGAACTCTCATGGACGATATGCTTCGGGTGAGTAGTTGGCAGTCGTGATAGAAACGGGGACATGGAATTGTGTGGACTAACGGGCTTTGATCCTCGGACAGACGTTTCGGAACTTCAAGACCTTCACTTCGAGCATTGAGGCGATCTACCTTGTTGAGGCTAGTGGGACATTGAGAGAGGTGCAAAAGCGTCTCCTGTGTGGTGATGAAGCTGTCATGGAGGAGACCGATATTGGACATCGGAGTACTTGCAAATACTTCGATGTACCCATTATCTGGGTGGAGGATATTCGTCTGTTGCCGCATGGTGAGTTGTGCGATAGCATCGATACATTCATGGCCACCACTAACAGGTTTCAATCATTACAGAGGAAGGCAAAACCCCCTTCATCTTTGCACACGAATTCTTCGACGCACTCCCTATCCACGCCTTCGAGTCCGTCCCTCCAGCCCCAGAGAACGAAGTGCCCCAGGAAGTTCAAGAGATCATGACCCCTACGGGCCCTCAAAAACTCCACAAGCCCCTCAAGGTGGCAAACACCCCACAATGGCGCGAGCTCCTTGTCACATTAAACCCGAAGGCCGTCGAAGAGAACATCGAAGGCGAGCCCGAGTTCCAACTAACCAAGGCCAAGGCCTCCACGCCTTCCTCCCTCGTCATCCCCGAGATCTCCGAGCGCTACCGCAAACTCAAGTCCCAACCTGGGTCTACCATTGAAGTCAGCCCCGAAAGCCGGATATACGCAGCTGACTTTGCGCGTCGCATTGGCGGTGATTCCGCCTCCGCGAAGCCCTCGAAGAAGAATCCCACTCCAGAGGAGCCCAAGAAAACGACACCTTCCGGTGCAGCTCTGATTATGGATTATGGTACTATGTCGACCATCCCCATCAACTCCCTGCGCGGAATTCAGCACCATAAGAAGGTTGCCCCTCTCTCGTCTCCCGGTCAGGTAGATGTCAGCGCAGACGTCGATTTCACTGCCCTGGCTGAGGCTGCCATTGAGGGAAGCGATGGTGTAGAGGTGCATGGACCAGTTGAGCAGGGAGATTTCCTCCAGGCACTTGGTATTGAGGAGCGCATGCGCCAATTGTTGAAGGGTGTTGGAGATGAGGAGCGCAAGAAGACTTTGGAGACTGGGTGGAAACGCCTGGTTGAGAAGTCGGGTGGGTCTATGGGACAGATCTATAAGGTGATGACTATCATTCCGGAGAATGGTGGACGGAGACGACCTGTTGGGTTTGGAGGTGGTGTACAGATGTAAGTATAGTCGGCTATCATGTATAGCTAGTTATCTATATTTACTATTATATAAGCCTATACATAACGTAATACTATCGTCTAGGGTTCAGGCTAGGTCCAGCTAATAAAAAAAAGAGCCGCCAAACCCCCGGTCAAGAAGACTCCGGCCAGCAATGTCATGGCCCAGAAGGACCAAGTTGGCCGCACTCCAGGCCACGGTCAGAAGCGGAAGATTGAGGATGCGGATGACGACGACGAGGAGGAGGAGGAGGAGCCTAAAGCAAAAGAAGAAGATGAGGACGAGGACGGCCAGGGCCGCAAGGTCGCTTTTGACCCTAAGGCGAAGCAGAAGCGTAATACTAACGCTAGTAAGTCTCCGGAAGTTCCCTTCTAGGAGCCAATCTCTCCTCTCGGAGGCAAGAGCTACTTTAAGACGCGTAAATTAACGAGATCCCTAGCATTGGCCGGCCTAGATAGCACCGTTACGGCGTCTAGACTTTCGCGGACGTCTAGAGGGATGACCCTTTCGTTCGAGTACACGGCCCTCGATGGCCGAACGGAAACGAAAGTGGTTAAATTTACGCTCCCGTGAGTGGTAACCCTCTTGTTATCTTATTTTTATATATCAACCTTGCTAAATTATTGAATTCTAGTTGAACTTTGTTAAGCATGTCATATTTTCCTCCTTTCGTGGGCGATTAAGCCTTTCCTGTGGGAATAACGACCGTAATTAGTATGCCGAGGCAGAGGAGCAAAGAGTACTCATCCAGCATAAGCCAAAAGCCGAGTCCGTTTACCTCATCATAGACTTGAATGGATCTAGCAAAGCGATATCGTTCAAACTAAGGGACGGGAGGATCGGTTTTCTTTTCTTCTAGTACATGTTAGACGAAAGACTGCAAGTATTTAACGGGAATTTCAAAGCTTAAGTCCATTTTTATTGAAGGCTATATCTATATGGTATCTATCAAGTCCATTCATATCTCATAAATGATGCAAGTATGCATAGCCAGGCACCTCTCTGCCCTGCTTTCATCAACATCAAATCATACCAACGATCCAAAGGTCAATATTCGCGCCAAATATCCGCAACATAGGCCTCAGTCAACCGCTCATCATTGCCGTACTTCTCCTGCCACTGCACGAAACCACCCTCCAAAACATAAACCTCTTGCTTCTTACTTTCCTCTTCGCCAAGAGTACGCTCACGCTCACGAGCATAGCGTAAAGCCGCGGATGGACCGCGCTGCTGGCTGAGGGCGCAGTGGAAGACTACCTTCTCCACGTCCTTGAGGGTGCGGAGAAGCTCTGGGAGGCGAACGTCTAGGCTGGAGGTGGGGACCCAAGTTGAGGACTTGATGTGTCCACCGATATGGTCTGTTTACACTTGTTAGTCTTTTTTGTGATTCATTTTTGTCGATTTCGGAGCATACCTGAGTCCCGGACATCGATGATGGCTAGCTTGTTGGACGGAGCGCCGGAGAGCAGGATTGTAGATAGAGCGTCGCGGCTCATGCGCGGTAGGGTTGCAATAGAGATAGACGACATTTTTCTGGATGTCGTAAATAATCACTCTGAATTATTGGATATCCCAACAGCTAATCAAAGGGAAACAGCGACGTTGTAAGGTCCCCACGGTATCAACCTTGAGAGCTGCGGAGGTGCACGTGATCTATAATTTCTCCCGATTTTCCAGCGTCTCGCCGCTCCGCTCTCTTGCACTTCCACGCCAGACTCAAACTCCCACAACTCCTCCAGCCAAAAAGTCCGTCCAGTCCCGCCAATTGACCTACTCAGGTTAATCTGACTGCCCAGACTACACAATGGACGCCCGCATCCTGGCCCGCGGCCTCCGCGCCCGGCCGACACCATGGCTCCTCAGCTCGCGCCAGCAGCAGTCCATCATCCTCAACACACTCCGCTACAATTCCACAACTACCTCGCCACAAACTCCTCCCTCCACTGCTCCCTCCTCAGAAAAAACCACACAAACAACACCAGCCGTCTCCGAGGACCAAACCACCCCGAAACCACAGCCCACCAAAACCGTCGCCTCAGACTTCGACGAAATCCTCAACAAGCTCGACCTCGGCAACCGCAGCACCCTCAACTCCAAGGGTGAGCCGCGTCGTGTCTTCGCTGACGCAGTCTCTCGCTCTGTCGGCGGCGTAGGCTCGCAGGCCTTCAAAGAGCGAGCCGCTCAGCAGCTTGCCTCGCGCAAGTTGGAGCTCAAGTTGGGGCCAACGCTGGGTCGTCAGATTCACGTTGAGCCGGAGCGGGGTGTGGATTTGCCGGCTGCTATTCGTCAGCTGGAGATTACTTGCAGTATGAATAAGATTAAGGCGAATGCGCATGAGCAGAAGTTCCATAAGCGGAAGGGTGCGGTGCGGAAGGAGTTGCGTCGGACGAGGTGGAGGAAGCTTTTCCGGTTCTCGTTCCAGGAGACTGTGAAGAAGATTCAGCGCATGCAGGCTCAGGGTTGGTAATCGCATTTTTTCTTGGGGGTTGGGTTGATCATCAAGATTGAGGGCAGGGGGGTTGCTTGGTTTGTATATATACCGAGACTGAATGTGGCCCTAATCTTTGGGGCTGTTGTTTTTTTATACATGTATCACTACCTACGGAAATTTTTCTCGTCTTGTTTTGTCTGCATTAGATATGGAATGCATTGGATCATATGTTGACTTGGCAGTGACTTTCATATACACACTACACTATACACGAGATCCTTTCTATACAAATGTACAACAACCAATCTATCCTGACTGCACACCAATCAATCCCTCTTTCCAGTGGCAAAGCCTCCATATCCAGTACCTCCACCACCACCGTTACTCGCGCCATTGGCAGTAGCAGCAGAGTATCCTCCATACCCATTGATACGTCCACCATTACCAAACGTCACACTGGTTCCCTTGCCCTTCACAGGCGGAGCTCCCAGAATCCCATCCCCACGCCAGCCCGAACGACCACGCAACCGATCTCCATTGCGCTCCCAGTACAGCGCAATCAAAGCACCAACGGAAGCAGCGAGGAAGAACAAAAACAGCCGCGAGAAGAACGAGCCAGCCCCAGAACTCTGTACCATCCCGGAGCCACCCATCTCCAAGAACGACTCCGAAGCAGGACGCTCCGGCCACCCAATGCCAGCACCACCCTCGATCCAGGCAACATGGAACGAGAAGGTCAATGGCTCGCCGCGCACAACCTTCGTCCCATGCCCCGCTGTCCACGGTTCCCGGGCAGCCTGGGCAACGGTCACAGCTTCCTCGTCCTCGTCGAGCGAGGCCTTTTTCGCGGCAGCTTCAAACTCCGGCGTCGAGTACGCCGTCCCGGCTACCGCGTATCCAGGCTGACCAGACTGAGCGTGTTTCCTGGCCTTAGGCGGTTGCGCCGCCGCGTCCGAGGCAATATTATGCATGAGCATGTTCATATCCGTCCAGATATGCAGGTGGCTGAGCTGCAGGGTACCCTGCAGCGCAATGGTGATCGGGGTAAAGGGCGGGCCGTTCTCGCTCAGCGCCGCGAGCGAGTCGACCTCGCCAGACGCAGCATCGGTATCGGTGCGGTCTTTCGGCGCGGTGTTACTGGATGTTAGAGGTGCTGTTGGTATGCGGCAGGTCATGGGGACGTCGGAGTGGACGTAGAATTCGAGGAGGTGGTAGAGCGAGTCGGAGAGGGAGGGAATTGTGCATGTTATCGTTTCGGAGGTTCCGTAGTGTAGGGATAGAGGGCGCGAGGTCTCGTTGCAGGTTACGAAGGGGATCCATTGGAGTTTGCCTAGGTCATCTGTGATCTGTATTTGATGTTAGTTGTGTTGGTCCCTGGGTGTTTGGCTTCAGGAGTTGTTTGGCGCATACATGTTCGCCTTCCCTGTATACGCAGATTGTTTATTAGCATTGAAATCTTCATAGATCATCCAAAATTCCCGAGGAACTCTTACATAGTCCGATTGAGACAAGACACTGGAATCTCCTCGCCCAGTCTGTATCCATCCCCGCCGGTGGCGCTGGTTCTCCCCGCTGTTGACCCCGTCGGCAACAGCGCGCTCGCAAGAAATAGCAGGGCCATTCGGGAGGGAATAGGACTCAATGAGTGCGGAGCAAACATGCTGGCAAGCATTCTGGCTCTTGCAATGCGAATTAGCTGCCCCGCGGTAGCGAGTTGACGAAGTGAAGGAGACGACGCGGAGAAGACACGGGGTTCTTTCTGCCCGCCGCGGCCTGTGGAGGGCGGAGGGCTTGGCTTGATCAACATCCCTTAGCTAACGATTATCCAATTTGATGTCTTACAATGTACAGAAATCGACCGAGAAACTGATCGCAATTTTCAAATGGATTACCTACTGACAGTGATCTTGGAAATTTGAAAAGTATTTAATTTTGTATCGCAAAGAGGATAATGAGATAAAAGGGGTTCAAAGAAATCGTTCGTTGCTCATCACAGCCGCCTTACATCGTCCACAAGGGCTCGACGCAAGCCTATTTATAAGACAAAAACACTTTAGGCCAGGTTAGCCTTGGCCTTGAATGCCAACAGCAGGCCGCTGGTAGAGCTGTCGTGGTCACCACCCTCGCCGGCGGTCTCCAGCTCCTTTTGAATCTTCTTGGCGAGGACCTTGCCCAGCTCGACACCCCACTGGTCGAAGGAGTTGATGTTCCAGATGGCACCCTCGGTGAAGGTGACGTGCTCGTAGTAGGTGATCAGAGCACCCAGGGTAGCGGGGGTGATCTTCTGGGCCAGGATAGAGGTGGTGGGACGGTTACCCAGGAAGGTCTTATGGGAGACAAGGTTGTCGGGGGCACCCTCGGCCTTGACCTCCTCCGGAGTCTTACCGACCATCAAGGCCTCGGACTGAGCAAGGAAGTTGGAGGCCAACATGCGCTGGTGCTTGCCACCCTCGACGGGGTTGTGAGACTCAGCGGCCATCAGGAAGTCGGCGGGGATAAGCTTGGTACCCTGGTGCAACAGCTGGAAGAAGCTGTGCTGGGCGTTGGTGGCGGGCTCACCGAACAGGATGGGACCGGTGGTGTACTTGACATACTCGCCGGAGCGGGTGATAGCCTTGCCGTTGCTCTCCATGGACAGCTGCTGCAGGTAGGCAGGGAAGCGGTGCAGGTACTGGTCGAAGGGAGCAACCAGGTGGGTCTGGGCACCGAAGAAGTCGCTGTACCAGACGCTCAGCAGACCACCAATGGCGGGGATGTTCTGCTCCAGAGGGGTTTCGCGGAAGTGCTTGTCCATGGCGTGGGCACCGGCGAGGAACTGGTGGAAGTTATCGTAGCCGATGTACAGAGCCACGGACAGACCGATAGCACTCCATACGGAGTAGCGGCCACCAACCCAGGACTCGAAGCCGAACATGTTCTTGCTGTCAATGCCGAACTTGGTGACCTCGGCCTCGTTGGTCGAGAGGGCGACGAAGTGCTTCGCAATGTACGACTCATCCTTGGCCGTCTTCAGGAACCAGCTCTTGGCGGTGTTGGCGTTGGTGGTGGTCTCAGCAGTGGTGAAGGTCTTGGAGGCAATGAGGAACAGGGTGGTCTCAGGGTCGGAGTCCTTGAGGGCCTCAGCGATGTGAGTGCCGTCGATGTTGGAGACGAAGTGAAGCTTCAGGTCCGGGTGACCGTAGGGCTTCAGAGCCTCGGTGACCATGACGGGGCCGCTAGAAGGAAATCTTGTTAGCTACGTCATTGGAGACTAAAAACAAGAGAAATACTTACAGATCGGAACCACCGATACCAATGTTGATAATGGTGTTGATCTTCTTGCCAGTGTAACCCTTCCACTCGCCACTGCGGACCTGCTCGGAGAACTCCTTCATGTGCTCCAGAACAGCGTTAACATCCTCAACGACGCTCTTGCCATCGACCTGCATGGGCTCGTTGGAGGTGTTGCGCAGAGCAGCGTGGTAAACAGCACGGTCCTCGGTGAAGTTAATGTGGTCACCACGGAACATGGCATCGCGGAGCTCCTCAACTCCGGCCTCCTTGGCCAGCTTCACCAGCAGAGACAGGGTCTCCTCGGTGAGGAAGTTCTTGGAGAAATCGAAGAGAATGTCGGCCTGGTCGACAGGGTTGGCAAAGGTACGGCTGAACTTCTCGAAACGCTTAGGGTCCTTCTGGAAGTACTCCTTCAGGACAATGTTGCGGCCCAGAGTGGTGTGATGCTCCTGGAGCTCCTTCCAGGCATTGAGATCGGAGGCCTGCGCGAAAGCAGGCATGATGACAGTGATGAATCTGTAACTTTTTTGGGCGCGTCGGGTTAGCGCGGGGCAGCAGGAGAAGGAGGAAGGCGGCTTTAAGGATGCGAGGAACGAGACATACGTAGCAGAAACGGGGGTATCACGGGGGGTTCAGGGGGGGGGTTATTTGACTGAAAGTCTGAGAGAAGAAGAAAAGAAAAGAAGATGGCGTCAATGTTTCCGGCGTGTTGGGGTCCGGCGGAGGAACGTGGGGCAGGAGCATCATCATTGCCGCATTTGGGCTGAGGGTCTGGAGCGGGTTCTGTTTTCTAAGCAACTGACCTTGCTGAGTCCTGCATTCCTAAGGTCTTATTCAATTGCCGACTCTGATTATGTCTATCATTATTATTTAGCCGTGCATATTCCAATTGTTAACCGAGGTCATTCATACTGAGAAGTATTAGACCTACAGTTCAGAGTACTTTCTATGAGGGGCAGAGCTTACCTGCTTACTTTACCCCTCCCTCGATCTAAAATACCTAATGCCAACGCTGTCTCTAGACAAATTAGGATATTTAGCCTATGCTCATACATCACCCTATACTCCGTAATCATTATCCATCCCATTGACCGGGTTCCAAATAAGAACAACGATTGAAACAATCTCCGACTATCCGAAAATAGGCTACCGACCAGTCCGCGGGCCAGGAACCCCCACTACACCGGACGGTGCTACTCCGAGGAGATGTCGGATGACCTGCAAAAAAACCCGGGGCTATTTTTCCAGTTTAATGGATAATTTTCCAGGAACAGTCCAGGTGACCCAATTGACAATGTTTTAGTCTATATAGATTAGAGTCGTCATTGGTCTCGCCCACCCGATACCAACCGACGCTGATTGTGCCGAACGGCGAACATGGCCATTACGAAAAAGAAAAAAAAGCAATGTTCAATTCAGTATATTCCGTGCCGAGGAGATCGTATTCGATCACAAGTGGAAATTAGTTATTGAGGGTCTATGGAACTATATAGGTGGTAGGATATCTTCATTGTCTGGAAACTTTCAGATCTAAATGCAATCTAGCCGTTGCATTTGAGAATATATAGTCAGCTGGAGAATCAGCTGGATTAAGGTTACCTATGACATGAGTCTTTCGTTAAAGTTTTATCAATTGCCGAACTCCTTCTAGTATGAATGATATTACAGTCAAGATGTATTCTATTAGGTCTAAAGACTAACATGACTTGGAATTCATTGGTCCAAGGATTAATTGCCTATACATCTGTCCTACGATGTACTTCGTCTCCATCCAGACCGCCTACCAACTGCCGCCAAGATTGACGCACGGACCCCAGCATCAAATCCGCGACTGACAACTTTCTGTCCTCCATATGCGCGCATCTGGACCAGCTTGAGCATCTCAACCCGGAAGCTTTTCAATTTCGACGGGTACCTTGACACAGCCTCTGCGGCCTATTCATTCCAATCACAGCAAAATCCTCGCCCTGCGCGGCCCAGAGCGCCTTCGTCATGTATAATCCTTACCAACGTGAGCTTCCACCTCTACAACCGTCACTTGCCACTCTGCGTGATCTACGTCGCGATGCGAATACAATGCTAACTCCAATCACTAGCGCCGGGTATGTACGGCAGAGCTCCCGACTATGGAGCCTACCCCGGTGCTCCCCCGGGTATGGGTAAGTTAAAAGTGAAAGCCCCCAATACATCGAGAATCATTAACTGACCAGCTTCAGCACCTCCTCCAGGAGTGGCCGCGCCCGGAACTGCTGCTCCACCAGGCATGCAACAAAACAATAACCAGCAACCTGGTCGCCCCGGCGGCCTCCCGGCCAATTTCCAACCGCCCCCGAACATGCCCAACATCAACTTCTCCGCACCCGTCATTCGCCTGGGCACCTCCGGCCCTGCGAAGCCCGCTGCCCCCGAGATGGGCCGTGAGCGAGGATCAGATGGACCGGGACGTCGTCCGGGTCTCGGATCATCTGGTATGGACGATCGACGCCACCATGGTCGCGATGCGATGATGCAGCTTCAGCCACCTACACGGGATGAAATCGTGCGCACACTGTTTGTTGGAGGAATCACCGAGGGTGTGGGTGGCGATGATGGCATTGAGCGTATCTTGCGGTCTGCGGGCAATCTACGACGGTGGATTCGAGCTACGGATGCCGACGAGAAGCCGTGCCGATTCGGATTTGCCGAGTTTGAGGACCCGGAGAGTCTCGAGGTGGCCGTGGAAGTGTTGAAGGAGGTTGAAGTTCCCGTAAAGCGCCAGATACCCCGTGCAGAGGGCGAGGAAGAACAAGAAGTGGAAAAGAGCACCCTCTTGGTACGTTGAATCTCTCCGTTGTCCCACCCACGGGTCGCCACTTACTAACTACGTTGCCAGGTTGTTGTGGATGAAAGCACTATGACCTATCTGGAACAATTTGAAGCCATCCGCGGCGAGAGAGATCCCAAGGAGCTTCAAGCGCGCTTCGATGCTGCTCGCGACAGTCTGAAGAATGTTCTGTCCGAGCTATTCCACCCTGCCAGCCCCACCCAAAAGGAAGATATTTCCGGTGTTGACCGAGAAGGCGACACGGAGATGAAGGATGGAGAGACCCAGAAGGACGGAGAGGTGGTTACGATCCCCATCACTGTCGAAGACGAACTGGCCGATATTCCCCCAGAGATGCGTGAGAATGTTGCGAAGGAGATTGCGGCGTTCCGTGATCGTAGTAACCGTCGTGATATCGAGCGGCTGAGACGTGAGGAGGAGATCGAGTCCATGGAGCGTGCTCGGAACTCTGGCTCGCGTATCAGCCGTCTTGGTTCGCCTCCAGCCTCAGCACCCAGTGGACCGGCGGGTGGGGCTAACGGAATTCCCTTAGGCCCCCGTGGTGACCGTAACGTGCACAATGCTCCATCTGGACCCAAAGGATTTGGTGTGCAGATCCCCAAGGACTATCAAAAGGGCGTCTCATTTGTAAATGGCGGGGCGATCAACGGATCTCAAGTCTACATTGACCGCGAGGACGAGGAAAGCGACGCAAGCGACGAGGAGCTCGAGCGCCGTCGTCAGGCCAAGCGTGATGCCGAGCAAGAAAAGCAATTCCTTGACCAGGAGCGCCGCTGGCTCAACCGCGAGCGCAGCAGAACGGCTGCCCTGGAACGTGAAAAGAAGCGAGACAAGGAGGAAGATGGGAAGTTCCAGGCCGCTCATGACGAAATGGAGAAGCGCCTTATGGACTGGGATGATAATGTGGAGGCTAGCCGTAAGGCAAGCGAGTACTATGCTGATCGTGGCGCTTGGCTTCGGAGCCGCGCCGTGCTCCGAGCTCGCGAGGTTAGCATGGACGAGGCTGACCGTGCTGCCGAGGAGCGTGAGCTTGCTCAGACCGCCAAGCAGGAGGAGCAGGCACGGGGTATGGCCGATGATTTCCTGGCCCGTCAAGCTCAGGAACTGGAGGCTCGTGCCCAAGCGCCGGCCCCCCGCGAGGAAGAGCCGCAGCGATTCAAGCTATCCCTTGGCGCTGCAGCACAGAAGGCCCAGGCCGCCACCGGCCGCCGCACCGTTGCCGAAGTCGAAGGTCTACTGGAGGACGAGGAGGAGCCAGCCGGAACGACCCGCCGCCAGCTTATCCCGATCAAGTTCGACTCCGCCGCCGAAGCTGCGGGACTCTCGGACGAGGAGCGTGCCCAGGCCGCGCGCCAATTGGCGGCCGAGATCCCGACCGAGAAGGACGGATTGTGGAAGTGGGAGATCAAATGGGAGTTTGTGGATGAGGCCGTTATCAGCGACCAGATCAAGCCTTTCGTGGAGAAGAAGATCGTCGAGTATCTTGGCGTGCAGGAGCAGATGCTGGTGGACGTTGTGGAGGAGCATGTGCGAAAGCATGGCTCTCCTCAAGAGCTGGTAGAGCAATTGGAGATGGTAAGTTATATCATTTTTGGTCTATTGTTGTTTATATGACATCGCTAACGTATGTTCCTACAGGCACTGGACGAGGAAGCCGAGGTGCTGGTTCGCAAGCTCTGGCGTATGCTCATCTTCTTCTCGGAGAGCGAGAAGCGTGGACTATCGGGATAAAAGCATGCTGCAGAATGCCGATCAGGAACCGGGTGATCTACTTTTTACGTTGGCCCGGATAAAGAGCCGCACCGGAAAATATTCCAAGGCGCATATCACATATCACTATACAGTGAAGATACTGATTTCATCCTCCAAAATGTCCATTAAAGCAGTAGATACTAAAGGCATTACTTTGAAGGGCAATGTCCACCTCATCAACACCTACTTGTTGATTAATTATCGTAGTTAATTATCTGTCAGTCACGAGCACCCCCAGAAACGCGGAGCTACTCCGATTTATGCGACGGGCCTGTGATTGGTGGAGAAACCCATTTCCCCGTTTCCGGTAAACATCCGCCAATCAGACTGCGCAGAGCCTCGAGTGGAGGAGGGGCGAGGGGAAAACTGCGGGCGGCGCGGGGGTCACAGGCTCTCAATGGGTGTCTATATACGGGCCCAGTGTCGCAGTTTTTCCTGTTCTTCCGTTATAATTCTCTCATTGCATTTCTTCTCCTTTCCTGCTCCTTATATACCCCTCGGTCCTGCAATTCATCTAAGTGCAAGACCATTTCGCGCATAGACTCTGTTCGGAAGTACTCCCCGCAATTTTCTACTCTGAACACCGTGTTTCCTGCCATTGAGTGTGCAAGAATCCGGTAAACAGTCTGCGATTGATTCAAGAAACCCCCTGAATATTGTCGCCATTGAAAATACCTCCACCATGGTCAAGATTACTGGCTTCACCACGCGGGATGTGCGGTTTCCCGTAAGTTATTTGCTACCCCGGATTTTGCTCTGTGTTTCTGCCAATGGGCCAATGCTAACCCCCTATAACCAGACCTCCCTCGATAAGACTGGCTCTGATGCCATGAACGCGGCTGGTGACTACTCCGCTGCCTACTGCATCATCTACACAGACTCTGACTACAAGGGTCATGGCATGGTACGTCGCGAATGCGTCATTCCCCGCCGTGAAATGAACTCGTAAAACATCCTCTAACGCGAATGAACCTTATAGACCTTCACTATCGGTCGTGGCAATGAAATCGTCTGCGCTGCCATCTCCCTCCTGGCCCCTCTCATCGTTGGCAAAGACCTCGACGAGCTCACCGCTGACTGGGGCAAGACCTGGCGCTACCTGGTCTCCGACAGCCAGCTGCGCTGGATCGGCCCCGAGAAGGGTGTCATCCACTTGGCTCTCGGTGCCGTCGTCAACGCCCTCTGGGATCTGTGGGCCAAGACCCTGGGTAAGCCTGTCTGGCGCATCGTCGCGGACATGACCCCCGAGGAGTTCGTCCGCTGCATTGACTTCCGCTACATCACCGATGCTATTACCCCCGAGGAGGCTCTGTCAATGCTCAAGGAGATTGAGGCTGGTAAGCAGGATCGTATCAAGGAGGCTGAGGCTAGCCAGGCTGTGCCTGCGTATACTACCAGTGCTGGCTGGTTGGGCTACAGTGAGGAGAAGCTGAAGAAGCTTCTTGACGAGAGTGTTGAGCAGGGATACAAGCACTTCAAGCTGAAGGTTGGTAGCAGCCTTGAGGATGACAAGAGGCGTCTGAAGATTGCCCGCGAGGCCATTGGTTATGATAAGGGCAACATCTTGATGGTGGATGCCAACCAGGTATGCATTACCCTTTCTTAAATCTTTGGCAAAGGTGGAAACTAACATACTCGTTCTCTCTAGGTCTGGTCCGTCCCAGAGGCCATCACCTGGATGCAAGAACTCGCCGAGTTCAAGCCCTGGTTCATCGAAGAGCCCACCTCCCCCGACGACATCCTTGGCCACGCCGCCATCCGCAAGGCCCTCGCCAACACCCCCCACGGCACTGTCGGCGTCGCCACCGGCGAGATGTGCCAAAACCGTGTCATCTTCAAGCAGCTCCTGCAAGCCGGTGCCCTGACCGTCCTCCAGCCCGACGCCTGCCGTGTCGGTGGTGTCAACGAGGTCCTCGCCATTCTCCTCTTGGCCCGCAAGTTCAACGTCCCCATTGTCCCCCACTCCGGCGGTGTTGGTCTCCCCGAGTACACCCAGCACCTGAGCACAATCGACTACGTCGTTGTCTCCGGTAAGAAGAGTGTGTTGGAGTATGTGGATCACCTGCACGAGCACTTTGTGCACCCGTCTAGCGTTAAGGATGGTTACTATGTTACCCCCATGGAGCCCGGTTACAGCGTGGAGATGAAGGCTGAGAGCATGGATGAGTTCTCATTCCCTGGTGAAGAGGGTAAGAGTTGGTGGCGCTCCGAGGAGGCCAAGGTTATCTTGGAGGGTCCTCGTATTGTTTAGAGGAGAGGGATGAGCATTATGTCTTTATGTGTATTCATGTCCATAGCTTTGTTTTGTAAAATTTGATTTCCCTTTCGTTCAACAAACTCCGTACATGGAACTTAGAGTGGTCAGTCATACAGTTGTTTTCAGCCAATCAGCTGCTCAGTTCTCGCTGCGGCTGGCCAGGGCACGTGAGCGTTCTCCGCTCCGCTGCTATCGGCGTTATCGACCCTGCGATAACTTCATGAAGCAAAGAACATCTTCAACCACAACCACACGATGAATCCTCAGTGCTTACGAGCTCTGCCACGAGCGTACCCCAGCGCATCGGCTGCGTTGCGCCATCCAACCCGCCCCGAGCTCACTCGACTCTACGCCACACAGACCGGCCCACGGCCGAAGCGGAGAAATATCACAGTCCTCTCAGACGATGGGCGATACGAGTGGGGTGAGCTAAGTGGGCGGGAGAAGGTTTCGCGGGCGACACAGCAATCGTTCAATTTCGTGGTTGTGTTGGCTGGCGCCGTCCTCACGGTATGAACTATGTCCTTGACCTGCCTTAGCCAAGTGTGATGGAGTCTAGCAAGGACCCGGAGAAATTTCGAGCAAGCGCTGACTCGTTGCGGTTTTGATTAGGGCGGTGTTTTCTACCTCCTTTACACAGACGTTATTTCGCCGAATAGCCGGACGTGGCAGTACGAGAAGGCCGTTGAGCGCGTCAAGGAAGATGCGCGGTGCATACAGCTTCTGGGTGATCGGAGGGAGATCAGGGCGTTTGGAGAGACTACGAATAGTCGCTGGGCTCGGAATCGACCTATCGCGTGAGTGGATCTGGCTGTGCGCAGATGAATATGGACGTTGAAGGCTAACGTGAGCAGATCCACTATTGAGAAAGACCGACTAGGTCGTGAGCATCTTCGGATGAATTTCCACGTATGGCATCCGAACCTATACCACTACATATCAAGTACGCAAACTAATAGGGTCTCCAGGTCGAGGGTCCACTCAACTCCGGCGTTGTCTTCTTGCACATGATCAAGCCTTTGGATAAGAATGAGTGGGAGTACCAGCTCCTTGCTCTGGATGTGAAGGGTCATTCCCGAATCATCCTGGAGAAGGCTGTTGAGAAACCTAGTGTGGCTAGCTCGCTGAAGCTCTTCGGTATTCAGTGGCGCTGAGTCGCGTCCGAGTAGGTTCATTCAATCCTTTTCAACTTTCTATTCGCATATGGCATCTTTAAAGCGCCTGGTGAGGCGCTTAAAAAGTTCGACTCGTCTGAGTTAGCTCCTGGGGATGTATATCGAGGAGGATGATCATCGAAAATCCCTAGGGTCCGATGCTTCTCTGTTCGGCTCGCGCGTATTTTTTGTACTTTTAGGGTAGGCCACTAGCCACCTAGTCATAAGCTTTGACATACCTGATGTATTATACATTCCGCTACAATTGGCTTAATGTCATTGTAAAATTGCGGCACAATCAAACAAATACCTAATCATCTTTCTCTGTATTTTGCAAGGTACATTTACTCGCAGCTAAAATTCAACCCTTCAAACCCTAATGCAAGCCGGGTTTGTCCCTTGCTCCTCTCGGTTATGACTTCGCCTTAATTAAAACCCGAAATCTCTCGTGCCTTTTAAACCAAGCTTGTGTAGAGAACACAACTGAGAATTTTCTTTACATTTCTTAAGAACCTCCATATGGAGATGTATCGTGAGAAAAGGCTTTCAGAGCTCACTGACAAAGTACAATCGCTTCAGGTAAAGCCATGTGGGAACAACATGAATTATTCTGGCTTACTGGTCAGCCCTAAAACTTAGAAGAGCCGCCCGAAGACATTGTGAAAAAAGTACTGCGCACAAAAGCCAATGGTAAATTGGGCATTGAGATTAGGCGGATAGCAAGTACTTGATCTGCGCTCAGACTCTTGAAATCGATCTTCCCCGCGATTTTATTTTTCCACTCCTCTTCTATGTCTAGACGTGTTCTATCGTATGCCAAGGTATCCTACTTATTGGTAGGCATATAATTCTACTTATTTTGAGTTGGCCAACGGTTTAGATTCCGTTGGACAGGCTAGACAGACAACACCGTCTTTTCTACATCCCTTGAACACAAACCCATGGCGCCAAACGACACGAATTCGATTGCAAATGCAATCAGAAAAAGCGAAATTCCTGTACCATGGTGTGAAGAGTTTGATAAGATGATTAATGGCAAGAAGTTAGTTCATTCAAACATCATCCGGCTACCGTATAGGGCTTTTTATCTGTGAGATCTAGATACGCTGACACAAAACCCTCAATTCCGATTCCAGCTTCACGACGTCAAATTCAGAAAAGCTCATGGAATACAAACTTTCAACACTTCGAAAACTGAACGAATTCAATGATACATCTATACCGGAGAACAGCACCCTCGCCTCATTGAAAAACAGACGTATGGCGGTAGCAAAGCGAATGCTCGGCCGGGTGGGTAAGAATACAAATATCGAGCAGTCATTCTTCGTGACATGGGGATGCAATACATTCATCGGGGATGATGTCTATATCAACCGCGAGTGAGTCTACCTCTCATAATCATAATCTATACCGCACCTACTAACGAACCGGCCTTCTAACAGGTAAGTACAGACCAATGATTCGTCGCCAGTGCGTATCCTAACTCGGCACAACCAAACTCTCTAGCGTATCAATCACCGACAACTCCCTCGTCGAAATAGGTGATCGTGTTTTGATTGGACCAGGTGTTTGCATCTGCACGGGCACACATGCAATCGATGCCAAGTCGCGACGGGAGAATGAGGGTACATCGTTCGCACAGCCAATCATCATCGAGTCAGATTGTTGGATAGGTGCTGGAGCTACGATTCTACCTAATGTACGCATTGGAAGAGGGACTACAGTTGCTGCTGGGACTGTGGTAACGAAGGATATTGAATCGGGGTGTTTGGCGGGAGGAGTGCCTGCCAAAGTTATTCGGAAACTTGAATAGGTCTACGAGAGCCTGAATCCAAGGGTACAGGTATAGATCTCTTTGGTGGTGTCCCAAATAGTGAGTGTTTGATATCGCATTAATGAATAGTGGTTCTTTGTTTCGAGTCTTGTACTGTACATATTTCCTTTCAAAGTGGTCAGAATAACTTCTAATGCAGAAGACGATGGAGCTACGCCGCAGGAAAGCCGGGAAGGTGTGTGGTGAAGGAGGGTGTTTCCTGTCTAGTTGTTTGTCGCCGGGAGAATTTGGGTTTCCGATGGTTATATTTGAATGACGCGTTAATGAAAACATTGTTATGCTTGAGACTCTGGCACGATGCTATTTGCTTGGAGGCAAATGATTGAACAGCAGGAGATTCAGTCAGCTATTTAACTTTAGCTTCTCTCTCACTGTAAAAGACTCTCAAACTGCCAACACTGGTCTTCAATGAGTGCTTGTAAATCAGAGTACACTCCTGTCCAGCATCGTTATATCACGAGTCCAGCTGCCAGTTCATCAACCGGCAAATACCTTTTGGAGGCAAACATATCGTCAACCTTAACGGACTTGAATGGGCCTAGAGATCTATAGGGCCAATACTAGACATTATCGTATAGTAGATAGACCCGAGGCTAAAAATATCCGTACTTTTCGTCGTCGATTCCGGCGGATTCAAGGATTAAAAAACCTAAGCGCCGGGGAGACTGGCACCGTCGATTTCTCCATGTTTCGACCCCCTAAAGTCACAGAGCAGAAGATCGAGCCCGTTACCGGCGACAGCATATAATAGGAAGTTCTTAGGTCGGAGATCAGAGTGTATTACACCTTTCTAATGAATGAATTAGATCGCCTCTGCGGCTTACGTGCGCCATTTAAATAGTATAGTAGAGGTATATCGATACTAGCATAACACTAATTGATGTATTTCGGTAGATTTCTATTGCTTACTTCGGCAAATAACAATCTAAATAGGTCTTCTAAGGTGCCCTTGAATCTAGGAAGAAGTCGTTAATGGCTGATTTACAAAATGTTAGAGGCTAACGGACTCTATTATTCTTAGATACAGTCCAAGAAATTACAGAAGTCGTTCTTCTACCTCGAAACTCTGCTTCATGTCTCGAATGAACCATTTATCTGCCGCTGACTTTAGAATGCCACTACGAGAATCGTGGGAATTTAATGACAACACTAGGTGCCACACGTGCAATACGAACATGAGGCTTCCATGATTGATGTTTGAGGATACAACAGCGGGGGCGCTAAGCTGTGAACAATAAAACTAACCGGATATAGTAATTAATGTACTTCATTGCCATGTGATCGGTAATCACGTGCCAGAGGCAAAAATTACGGTACGGTATCTTTACAATCCAGGCGGTGTGCTGCCGATCCACCGCCGACTCGGGGGGCGGCAGAAGTGCAAATTACAGGGACAGGGTCTCGACTTCGACCACGTTCGCCGTTCCCGATACTTCATCTCGGCTTCTCACTACACCTCGACACTTAAACCCCCTTTTCTTTTCTCTCAGAGTCTCTTCACTCGCCCACCATGAGTGCCTCCAAGGCGGAGTCTCAAAAAATCTTTGAGAAGCTGAAGCTCAAGCCCGCAAACAAGGTGCGCACCAACACCCCGCCTCCGTCTGGCCGTATTGCGGTTTATATGACCATTGTCCACTAACGGCCTTCTCACGAGTAGCTATGCTTTGACTGTGGCTCCAAGAACCCGACCTGGTCGTCGGTCCCCTTCGGCATCTACCTCTGCCTCGATTGCTCGGCCCATCACCGCAACCTGGGTGTCCATATCTCCTTTGTTCGATCCACAAACCTCGACCGTATGTATTCTCCGCCGTCGTTGTTTTATTCGCCGACATCGACAACCGAATTTTTGCTGATGGGTTTTATACAGAATGGCAATGGGAGCAGCTGCGAGTGATGAAAGTTGGTGGAAACGAGTCGGCGACTAAGTACTTCCAGTCTCATGGAGGATCCGCCGCGTTGGCGAGCAAGGACCCCAAGACCAAGTACACATCTACTGCAGCTGTCAAGTACAAGGATGAACTGAAGCGACGCGCTGCGGCGGATCAGCAACAGTTAGTACATCCAACCCCTATTTCGGTTCTTTGTTACGAGTCGGCGGGATGTTGACAGCGCATCATTTTTAGATACCCCGGTGAGGTTGTCATTACGGATATTCCTGCAGGCACTCCCTCAGACGGCTCCGGCACCCCTGCCGGTGACCAAGATGACGACTTTTTCTCGTCGTGGGACAAGCCCTCCATCAAGCGTCCGAGTAACCCTCCTTCCCGCACTGGAACCCCACCTGTCGTCAGCCGCACTGCCTCACCCTTCCTGAACGCCGGCGCCGGCGCCAATGGCTCTCGATCGAAGTCCCCTCTGTCTGCATCCGAGGAGAAGGCTGCTTCTCCTGCCCCGACTGCAATTCGCGCAAACGCCGCTGCCCGCAAGATCACCACAACCAGTGCCGCGAAGAAGGGCGGTATCCTGGGAGCTAAGAAGGCGCCCAAGCTGGGTGCCAAGAAGGTTGTTGCCAGTGATATCGATTTCGATGAGATGGAGCGCAAGGCCAAGGAGGAGGCAGAGCGCATTGAGAAACTGGGTTACGATCCCGAAGCCGAGCAGGCTGAAGCCAAGGCTGCCGCTTCCACCCCAGCGATCACCTCTCCTACCCCGATCAGCCCCAGCCGAGCTGGATTTGGCGCCACTGGTAAGACTCATGAGCGCAACTCGAGCGATGTCGAACGATTGGGTATGGGTATGAGCAAGCTTGGCTTCGGTCAAGTATCGAAGCCCGCAGCCCCCAAGAAGCTTGGCTTTGGAGCCGTGGGCCCTGCCAAGTCCAATGTGGATGGTATGTATCATGCATGAAATTGGTGTAATGAACCTGGACTAACACGCTTAATCAGAGGAGGAACTTGCCCAGGCGAAGACTCGCTTCGGTACCCAGAAGGGTATCTCTTCGGATGAGTTCTTTGGCCGTGACCGCTTCGACCCTAACGCCCAAGCGGAAGCCAAGCAAAGACTTACTGAGTTCGATGGTGCCACTTCGATCTCCAGCAATGCCTACTTCGGCCGGCCCGAGGATGACCTTCCTGCGATTGATGACGGTTACGGAGACTTGGAGAACGCGGCCAAGGACTTTGTCCGACGCTTCGGCATCACCGCCGGTGACGACATTGAGAACCTGTCGCATCTCGTTGGCGAGGGAGCTACGAAGCTTCAAGGTGCTATTCGAAACTACTTGAACAGCTAAATGCGAGGCGAGCACGTTTCCCAGATTACCCTATGTTCCGTCTCATCGCATACTTAGCAAGCTCATTGATCCCCCACTCCTAACCATTCTATTCTCCGTGATGCGTGATGATATCCCTCTATCTGCCTCAAACTCTTCGTCATCACTTCCCATAGTTTCTTTCTTGTTTCCCATCATGTGAAAAGACCCTTGGGTCAAATCGGAATTGCGGCCTTGCGTGATTAATGATTGACCTGACGATTATCTTTCCTTGTGTTCTCGCTTTGACCCAATTGCGCATTTTCGCAGCAACAAGATTCTTTTCTTTTTCCGTTCCATGTTCTTCCCCTTCTACGTTTCCCTTTTTTTGCGTGTGTTCTGGTAGGATTTTGAGTTAATTGAGAAAATACATGGCTCTTTGTTTCGAAGCCTTTTCCTTGTGATGTTATACGGCTATAGACAAAAGTGCATGGCAAATACATAAAGATCAATGCCAAGATATGACGGCTCGTATGTTCTGATAGGCTAAACATCTTAACCGACGATATGCCTCGGTCGTCTCACATTTCTCGATATTATAATCTTCGTATCTTCCATACTCAGCCACAACTCCGCATGTAAACCAGCACCTCCAGATTTTGGAAACCCCCCATCGAAAACTCCATGATGAATGAAGAAAACACCTCGCCCGATAATGCAATGTTGAAAGAAAAAGAAAAGAAACTCACAAAGGCTTGGAACCTACCAAGCCATGACAAGTATGTACCCCCACGATCAACTCAGACGCGATAAATCGCATCAGCGACCTTGGCCACCTGCCACATCTCATGTACATCATGCACACGCACAATATCCGCACCACCAGCAACACTAGCAGACACCGTCGCAGCGGTACCCCAAACCCGCTCCTTGGGCGTCTTAACACCAGTAATGTGACCAACAAACCTCTTCCGACTCGGCCCCATCAACCAAGGGAAACATTCCAACCCCTCAGCACCCCTCAACCGATCCAAATCCCGCAGAATCTCCAAATCATGCGGCTGATTCTTCGCAAAGCCCAACCCAGGATCGAGAATAATCCGCCAGCGCCGAATCCCCGCGTCCTCGGCCGCGGCAATGCGTCCGCGTAGTTCGGCGGCTACCTCGCTGATCACACCGCCAGGGTACTCGGTTAATTTGGTCATGGTCTGCGGCGTGCCGCGCATGTGCATCAGGATAATGGATTTCCCGATACGCGCGGCTGTAGGGAGCATGTCCGGGTCTAGCAGGCCGGCTGAGACGTCGTTGATGATATCTGCGCCGGCGGCGCAGGCTGCTTCTGCGACGCGCGCGCGGTAGGTATCGATGCTGATGGCGATGTTGGCTGCTTCTGGGATGGAGGTGCGGATGTGGGTGATTGCTGGGACGACGCGGGCGATTTCTTCGTCTGCGCCGACGGGGATGGAGCCGGGTCGGGTGCTTTCGCCGCCGATGTCGATGATTGTTGCGCCAGACGCGATGAAGTTGCGTACTGTTTCAGTCAGTTGGGTGAAGTCGGTTGGGGAGTGGGTGCCGCCGTCGGAGAAGGAGTCTGGGGTGAGGTTGAGGATGGCCATGACGTGGGTGTTGCGGGTGGGATCTGTGGCGTGTAGTGATGGGAAGGTCGTGGAGATTGGTGTTGTTGAGTGAGGTGTAGGCTCTGGTGGTGGGAGAGCTTTGAGATAGTCGTTGTATGTTTGTGTATTTTTGCCTTGCTGAGGAGGTCGTTCATGTGGGATTAATCTGGGTAAGTAAGGATGGATTGCTTCCTTGTTGCGAGGGAAATAGACTTGGGACGTACTGGCAGAGTGGCCGCAGGACAAAGTCTCGCTCTAACATGAGCTTGTGTGGAACATCGAGACGTTCATGCGAGAATATCTCTTGATCGTATAGTAGAATGTCCAGATCAATTGAGCGCGGGCCCTTGTCGATCAACTTCTTGCGGCCCAGGGCATTCTCGATAGACTGAAGAGTATCCAAAAGCTCCATCGGCCCAAGAGTAGTTTCAACCTGTCAATAGTCAGTCAATTTGTTGATATAATCAAATGCAAATACAAATAGATATCTTACTTCACAGACACCATTGATGAAAGTATCTTGTTCCAACACATACATCGGTGTCGTCTCAAAAAGCGAGCTGGTCCTCTTAACTTTGATATTGGCCTTGTCCAACTCAAGACAAGCCTTTTCAATCATTTCAACTCGATCACCCACGTTACTCCCCAACGCGATAAACGCGCGGTGAACTTGAGATCCACCCCGAACCGAGTTCATCGTGGACTCCATGCGCGGCTCTGTTCCGCTCGAAAATTTCCTAGCAAATGCTTTGAAGTGCGACAGCGGGGTTATACGCTTCGATTTGACATTTTCAGCGCGGGGAGATACATGCACTGGATTCCCCATGGAAATTGGCCCTGCTTGAGTCTTAGTATACGTGGTTTTGGCAAGTAATAGGCGCGATACAAGGAGGTCCAGAAAGAATGCGGGGACATGCTGGACTTTTTTTTCCTGACGCGATACAGATAAATGACAGATAAGGCCGGTATGGCCGGGGGGAGCACCTACTTGAGACCTCGATGGGAATTGTGCTATACCTATAGGTAACAAGTTAGAATCTGATCCCATATTATTGAATATGACTCGCAAGATATGTAGAGACTTACCTGTTTGTCCAAGACCCGTTCAATGGCCGAGCGTAGTACCTCGACGCGTCCGGAGACCCCGGCAATAACGGGAAGCTGCTAGCCGATCGCAATGCTCGCCATGGATGCGTAATGCCACGAGAACCAGTGTGTAAGGAAGCTCCTTGGAGACGCAGAGCCACGGAGCTCATGCTGTTGAGAAGAGAATGAGTCGAGAACAAACCCAAAAACCACTGGGAGCTTAAACTCTGGGAGTCGTCCACTGGTACTCGGTACTCTCGTCCGGTCTGGTCTCGTGCAAGTCATCCGTCATTTGTGGTGGCCTGCATGCCTGAATGCCTGAATGCCTTGCACACCTGAAACACCAGGCATCCAGGTGGTCTGATACCTGGTCTTACATAAGCCCAGCCCCACTGCCGCAGCAATCCGCACCGGAACCCCCGCCCGGCTAAGCCCAGCTGGAAGTGATGAAAGGGACCGAGGCATTTTGGGAGTGTCTGTGACAGGCCGAGGAGTCGCCTCCCTTTATTTAGGGCCCTTGCTTTTCCCCAGATTTTACTTTCCCCCCATCTCTCTATTCTTGCATCACATCGCATAGCATCATGGCTTCCCCTCGTGAGTTTCCAGCTGCTTTTACTCCTATTACTCGTTGTTTAACCTCATAACATCGTCACTAACTATGTCTCCGCCACAGAGGTCATCCGTACTCCCATCACCGATCTGCTGAAGATCAACCACCCCGTTCTGCTGGCTGGTATGAACGTGGCCGCCGGCCCTAAGCTGGCTGCTGCGGTCACCAATGCCGGTGGTCTGGGTGTCATCGGTGGTGTTGGCTATACTCCGGATATGCTCCGCGAGCAGGTCGCCGAGCTGAAGAGCTACCTGAACGATAAGAACGCCCCCTTCGGTGTCGACCTGCTCCTCCCCCAGGTCGGTGGCAGTGCCCGTAAGACCAAGTAAGCATGACCTTTATCTGTGGAGATGATCCAAAAGGACAGCGAAGCTAACGAGCTGCCCCTACCTACAGCTACGACTACACCAAGGGCAAGCTCAACGAGCTCGTCGATATCATCATCGAGAGCGGTGCCAAGCTCTTCGTCTCCGCCGTCGGTGTCCCCCCCAAGGCTGTCGTCGAGAGGCTCCACGGCGCCGGCATCCTCTGCATGAACATGATCGGCCACCCCAAGCACGTCCAGAAGGCCCTCGACGTCGGCGTTGATATCATCTGCGCCCAGGGTGGTGAGGGTGGCGGTCACACCGGTGACGTCCCCACCACCATCCTCATCCCCACCGTGGCCAAGCTGGTCCAGGGCCGCAAGAGCCCTCTGACCGGCCAACCCGTGCAGGTCATCGCCGCCGGTGGTCTGTTCAACGGTAACTCCGTCGCCGCAGCCCTCATGCTCGGTGCCTCCGCCGTCTGGATCGGTACCCGCTTCATTCTGGCCGAGGAGGCTGGTGCCCCCGTTGCCCACCAGGAGGCTGTCCGCACTGCCGGCTTCGAGGATAACATCCGTACTATTATCTTCACTGGTCGCCCCCTGCGCGTCCGCAAGAACCCTTACATTCTGAACTGGGAGGAGAACCGCGCCGAGGAGATTAAGCAGCTTACCGCCAAGGGTATCATCCCCGTCGAGCACGACTTTGAGAACCTGCCCGATGATGTTGATGATGACACCCTGGACAATGCCCGTCCTTTCCTGATGGGTAAGGTCGCTGCTGTTGTAAACGAGAAGAAGTCTGCCAAGGCTATTGTTGATGAGCTCGTTACGGATGCTGCTGCTCTCCTGAAGAAGGGTAACCAGATGGTTTCCAAGTTGTAAATAATGATCCCCCCCTTTTCGTTCTTGTTTCTACTTGCCATAAATTGGCTTAAAGAGGTGTACAATTGAAATTCAGCCTCCTCAATAAACTGATTTACTTCCATTACAATCACTATCATCATAAAGTAGTAAAGGGCTGAGGAAATATCTGTATTCGGTTGGTGCAGCCTAAGCTTTGGGAGTGCTAAGAATGGATGATACATGAAACAACGTCAAACTTTGAGCTTCTCCTTTCAACGTTCACCATAATCAATTCTTTCATGTTTCCCCCTCCAGCCAAGTAGAAGATTCAAAGACAGACCGGTGGCTCTCACATGCCAGAATCGATCCGGAGTGGATGATTGGTTGGTGTGGGGCTGATGGATGCCGGAAGTGGAGGGTGTGTGGAGGTCTTTCGTATGTGTGCATGGCCCGAGTAGTGTCGGGGTGTATGTTTTTGTGTGGGAGTCGACAAAATGAAAAGGAGTCAACTGATACATCATCTAAATATGCTGAGTTAGTCTGGGCAAAGGAGTCCAAAAATATCGGGGCCACTCACGTTTGACAGATAGAGAAGGAGTCAATATGAAAATCCGAATTGATGATGAGATGGATTCGCGGATAGCCGAGAGAATGAGTATCCGGACAGATGAGGCCACAAGTGATGATGCCGGCGGGTGATGACAGTGATTGAAGGTCAATGTGTCATGTCGTCGGCATGACTGAACTCCTTCTGAATTTGTCCTGACATGCAAACTGGTTGGCCAGCTACATGACGCCTGTTCAGAGAGAAGATGAGCCAAACCGTAGATGGGTTTGTGTCTGCCTTCCGTTGCTGGAAGGGTGAAGACGATGACGTTTGTTTGAAGATCAACCTGCTGGACTGTGAGTATCTAAAACAGCAGAGTGCAAATGAGGAGGCTGAGATGTGTGGCAGTGGTGAATTGTGAAATTGTATTCGACCACGCCCTACACAGGTTCGACAACAAGTTCATTGTCCATCGAGGCTCACTCAAGAGCGTTAGTGTAGGCTCCTGGGAAGATAAGAATGTCAGCTGGTTGTGGAAAGATTGTAGGCGGAACTGTGTTCGTACCTATGGCTTTGACTCTGCAGGCCACCAAAAGATGCTGGAAGGCAGCGATGTCATGAGATGATGTTGGTCAAGAAGGACAGTGATCGAAGATCGATGTGTCCAAAGATGAAGGAATTGTAAAATTGTAATGGACCTTTTTCTCGAAGCAAAGACTGCCAGCAGAATGCAAACTAGGAGGCTGAAATGTATGGCAGTGGGAACGCTCAGTCATCCTCAGCTTTCTCCCTTGGGGGTTACCGATGTGGGGACTGGCCAACCACCCCCTACACAGGCTCGACAACAAGTTCATTGTCAATCGAGGCTCACTCAAGAACGTTAGTGTAGGCTCCTGATCAGAACATTAGCTGCAGTCCAGGATGGCAAGAGTGTATATGAGTCATTACCTATTTGTTTGAATCTGCAAGCCCATGATGGACTTCCTTTGGAGGTGAAAGGCTCCAAGGCAAAGACGTCAGAAGAGGTGTGGGTTCAACAAGCCAGGCGGCGGAAGGTCTTGTTGACATGACACGAAGTCGACACGGTGTATGAAAAGACATGTCAGGTGGGGGACACAAGTCTTGATAGAAGGGACGTGTCGTGTTGTGAGAGACATGACATGGTGGATGAGACATGTCGTTGTTGAGATGTGTCATTGTTAAGACGTGCCTTCATAGAAGAGACATGTCATGTTGTGAGAGACATGTCATGTTGTGAGAGATGTGTCATGTTATGGTAGAGACGTGTTGTTGTTAAGACGTGTCATGGAGACGTGTCTTGATGGAAGGGTTCAGCAAGGATGGAGGCCCATGTCAAGGTGGAAGTCCAAATAAAGTTGAATGACAGAAGGGTGGGCCAAGAGGAGGTGGGCCAAAGTCTGAAGAAAGTGGAGAGGAGTTGGGGAGTTTACGAAGGAAAAAATCTTGGGAGACCCTGGGTGAAGAGGAGATATTTATACGTTCTAGGGTTTGGAGGTAATCAGCCCTAATGTTCTGATTCCCAAACGGGGTGTTTGCTTGTCGTTGATGGAAGGAGCGATTATCGTGCCTTCCTAAACGGGAAATGTGTTTGCCCTCATTCTTGGACAGAGCCAGTCATGTGATGGGCATGTGACTAGGGCAGAGCTGGCACAGGGCTGTCCCAGTTATCAGAACAGCTGTGTATTGCCCACAGCTTCGAGGGCAAAATTAATGGACTCTTAGACCAGGACTTGTAGCTTTACCAGAATGACATGTACAATTTGAAATATAAAGCCACTGCAAGAACGAATCACTCAGGAATTTTGAATGTTAGATCTGGCCAAGAAGATGTTATTCAAGGTACCGAACACGACATTCATGCCCGTCGAAATATAGATCATGTCTCCTCTGCATAGAACTATAAATTGGATCACGCGATTTCTTTTGAAAACTTAGAGATTCCCAAATGATTGACTAAATATTCTCCCAACCAATCTACTAACTAATGTGCCAACTAATGTGCCAACTAATGTGCCAACTAATGTGCCAACTAATGTACTAACCCTTCAATATGGACAACCGGTTGACCTACATCAAGAGATGCTACTATCTCCCATGAGAGGGGGCAAGAGAGACATGGATGAGAATATGAGGGAGGCCCGTCAACAAGATTGCCATCGGTCTAACCATGATCAGAAAGTCCTATGCGTGGAGTTCGACCAGCTCCGCGGAACCTCTTGTTGAAAGTCAGATACCTCAAAGGGGATTTGTGACTGTATACGTGGAGGGTCATTTTACTCGTGTCCCAGTAAAGCCTGTTCATGTTGATAGAAGCTTCTCGATATCAATGTGATGTTTGACGGCTATGGACCTGAGCGTGTTCGGGAGGCCTGGATGGCTGACAGAGGGGCTCTCACATACGAGACCAGGTTTTGGCTCTCAAAGTACTTGATCTGTCACAACTTCGGCCCAAGGAGGGACATGAATATGGAATATTAGAGAAGGACACGTTAATCAGTCATGTATTCTATGCTGAGACAGTATTGTTAGAGAATGAACGGCGATATGACTAGACGATATGAGCTTGTATTATAGCGCTGAAAGTGGAGTCCACTCATCATAGATTACGATGATCCTCAGATCGCTGCGGAGGAGATCATTAATACACCCGCACATAGTTACCAGCGCATAACAATCAATGCATATGCCCGGGTGCAGTCACCAAACCGAGCGCCGAGGCCGAACCCGAGAAGGCAGGCAGATCCAGCACCCGATAACAGGGTCCCGATCCTTCGGGGAGCTCCGACACCCTGGACAGTGGGAAAAAAGTCTCGGCATCATGACTGGCAGCATTAGCAGATGGCTTGCATACGCAAGAAGCAAAAACAAGCATGTTAAGGGTTGGTTCTGGATGGATCGGAAGGATCCCCTTGGCATCTCCGCACTGGGCCGCAGGGCGCATCGAGATATGTACAGATGGATATGTAGAGATGTTTAGATTGAGCAATGCTTTACGATATAGGATTGCTTGAAAATCCGGGGATGGGGGCTGATTGCACCAATGGTGTTGCGGACGGTGATCTCCGCTCTGGATGGTGGTATACCTTTAGAGTTGGCGGGAGGGGAAATATCCTAGTCCTACCTACAAACAAGGAAATCTGGGGCAGACAGATGCGGAGAATCAGCGTCTTGCATGAGAATGTTCTCGCGGGTGGCCGACCGGTTCAACCTGCTGGATCAGGGACCAGGGAGGCTACGGATGGCGTCTCGGAGGGGGTTTCCTTGACGAGTGAGGATGCGACATCAGCCTCGGATGAATAATGGTTGAGTAGGATGGCATGGGGTCAAATTGAGTTGCGGCATGGGCCTCCCCCGCACGAGGATGACCGAGTCATTATGGTTAGATACTGGGCATTCTGGTCCTGCCCAAAAAGGGAGGGTGATATGCGAAGGTCAAGCTTTCCAAGTCGGCGGTTCCCGTACGATGCAGCGTGTTCGAGGCTTGGTTGAGTTTGAGGTTCTTGGCCGGTCAGGGGGGTGTTGCCAAGGATAGCAGATAGAGAAGTCTCCGTATGGGCATTAGAGCATCGCATAATAGCACTAGTCAGAGCAAGTCAGCCAAGTTACAGCTATCAGAGCGTATCTCAGTAAGATCTCGCGCGCACGGCTCTTATCGGTGGTCCGACCGGCCAATGCGACCGGAAGCGAAGAGCGAAAGGGTAAAACCGCGGCTTGCTGATAAGCTGGACGAGCTCGGCTAAAGAGCTCATTGGATCTCGATGGAGTGTGGAGGGTCAACGTGGGATTCCGACCGTTTCACTGGACGAACTGCTCCTGACTCGCTGGATAGACCCACTGTGCCCATCCTTGCAAGGCTTGTCATTTGCTTCTTTTCTGGAATTTTTCTAATTTTCCCCTAGGGCCCACGCGACAGGTGCCGGCTATCTTTTTCTCCTTCGCCACTTTGTCGCGACTGGTGGGCCGTGGGGCGACGCGCACTCTGCACAAGAATTTTGAGCGGGCTGACACTTTCGGAGTTCGGGAAAGTCGACTATATAACTTGCCTCTCCCTTGCAGTGGAACCAAGAAAAAAAAAAGAAGAAAGATGTGAACGGCTTTCCTTTTTTCCCTTTCCCCCCTCCAATTCCAATTCCTTTCCCCTCGAGCCAGCTGTGCTCTTGATTCCTCAACCCTCTCCTTCTGTGGAATAACGTCGCGTGAACTTTTTTTTCACGGTTTTTTCTGGTTCCTCGAACGAAGATAAAAACCTCTTCCATCATGCGCTCCAAGTTCGGATTGGGCTCGCGTGCCGACGTCGAGAAGGGCCCCCAGGTCGATAATACCCTCGCCTACGACAGCAACAGCAACGAGAACTATGACAATGTCAGCGATGGCGCGGTTCCCGGCGAGAGCTTCGAGTATGGAAACTCGCTCTACGCTAAGCTCCAGCGCATTGCCGGCAAGTTCAACATTGAGCAGCGTGGAATTGAGCGCGTGCCTGAAAACGAGCGTACCGATACCTCCTACGTCAATATCGGCAGCATGGTGTGTTGACCTTTTGCGAGCTTACACGGGATATACTTTTGGATACCACGTGGGAGCCCCAAGTCTTGGGGAACTATGCGACTGACTAGAATCCTCCTCCAGTGGCTGGCGGCCAACATGGTCGTGAGTTCCTTCGCCATTGGCGTTCTCGGCAAATCGCTCTTCTACCTGGGCTTCGTCGACGCTATCCTCGTCTGCCTGTTCTTCAACCTCCTCGGTGTCTTGACCGTCTGCTTCTTCTCCTGCTTCGGTCCCGCATTCGGTCTGCGCCAGATGGTGCTGTCTCGCTTCTGGTTCGGCTGGTTCCCCGTGAAGTTCAGTAAGTGGCTCTTCCCCACAGAGCTTGTCAATCGGAATTGGTAGAACTAACATGGCTTCCTCCTCCCATAGTCGCCATCCTCAACGTCCTGGCCTGCGTCGGCTGGTCCGCTGCCAATGCCATCGTGGGTGCGCAGCTGCTGAACGCTATCAACGGTACCGTCCCTGGTTACGCCGGTATCCTGATCATCACCTTCTGCACCCTCTTCATCACCTTCGCCGGTTACAAGGTCGTCCACAAGTATGAGAAGTACAGCTGGATCCCCACCTTTATCGTCTTCCTCATCGTGCTGGGCACCTTCGCCCACTCTGGGGACTTTGTCAACATCCCCATGAGCGTCGGTACCTCCGAGCTTGGCGGGTGTCTCTCCTTCGGCTCGACCGTGTACGGCTTCGCTACCGGCTGGACCAGCTACGCTGCCGACTACACCGTCTACCAGCCCTCCGACCGCAGCCGTCGCAAGGTCTTCCTCTCGACCTGGCTCGGTCTGATCGTCCCCCTGCTCTTCACTGAGTTCCTGGGTATCGCCGTGATGACCGCAACCGCCCTCAACGACGGAAACAACAAGTACGCCACTGGCTACGCCGAGTCCGGTAACGGCGGTCTGATCGGTGCCGTCCTCGAGCCTCTGGGTGGTTTCGGCAAGTTCTGCCTGGTCATCCTGGCCCTGTCCATCATCGCCAACAACTGCCCCAACATCTACTCCGTCTCCCTGACCCTGCAAGTCCTGAGCCGCTACACGCAGCGCGTGCCCCGTTTCATCTGGACTTTCCTCGCCTCCTGCGTCTCCCTCGCCATCGCCATCCCCGGCTACTCCCACTTCGAGACCGTCCTCGACAACTTCATGAACTTCATCGCCTACTGGCTGGCTATCTACTCCGGTATCGCTGCGGCCGATCACTTCGTCTTCAAGCGCGGCTTCCGCGGTTACCGTCCGGAGAACTACGACAAGCCCGATAAGTTGCCTGTCGGTATTGCCGCGTCTGTTGCCTTCTGCTTCGGTATCGCCGGTATGATCACGGGTATGAGCCAGACCTGGTTTGTCGGACCGATTGCCAAGCATGCTGGTGAGCTGCCTTACGGTGGTGACGTCGGTTTCGAGCTGGGCTTCGCTTTCTCCTTCGTTATTTACTGTGCTTTGCGGCCGCTGGAGATTCACTTCTTCGGTCGGTAGTCTGGCACGGGAGTTTCATGTATATATTGGGATTTGAATGGGTTGGGAGGGTCAAAACCTTGTGATTGATGGGAAATCTTTGGGATTGTATTGGATATAATAGTTAGTTGCATTGCATTTATTGCATTGTTTTAGTGGAATAGCTCTTATAATCGAGCCTGCATTTGCATTATTTGCAATCTTATCACTTTTTCAATTCGTATCTTTCCCTCTTACAACGCCTTTATTTCCCCAGGGCACCCTTTCAACGACAGCAGGTCAAATCCAAACACAGACTCCCACAACCAGTCTTACACTGATTAATCGCCCTCTCAAGACTCTGCCTCCTCTTGGCACTACTCTCGCCTTCTCCAATCCCAGTATCCACCCCCGAGCTATGCGTTGATTGGCCCGCAGTCGAAACTTGTCGACTAGTATGAATCTCCGGTTGAAGCGTCACAGAATGAATACCGTATGCATGGAAACATTCCCGAATTGTCTTGGCAAGACTGTCAAAGTCGAGAATGATATCGCCGTCTAGAACGACATGCGCAGAAGCAAGGGACTTGGTCTGGTTCAGGCGCCAGATGTGTAGCTCGTGCACGGCCAGGACGCCGGGGACTTGTTCGAGGTCATGCTTGACGTCGTCGTGGTCGACGCCCCGGGGTGCGCTTTGGAGGAGGATGAGTCCGGAGTGTTTGACTGTTCGTAGGTTAGTTTTCTGCTTTTCAGAGTATTTGGGAAGTGTATTCTCGGGGAGGACATACTAAGTGGGATGGAGGAGAGGAAGATCATAATCGCGATACCCATGCTTACGGCTGGATCGGCGTAGAATCGACCACCGTAGTTGGCGAACCAGATCACTGCTGCGGCGATGATGACACCAAGGTTATTCGCGCAGTCGCCGATGACGTGGAGGAGCACGCCCATCATGGCGAGATCTCGGTGCGGCTTAAGGGAGGTGTTCTGTTTATTGACATGGTGTTTATGGTGGATGTGCTAGTTGAGTTAGTTACTGGAATGACTGACGGCCTGGAAAGAGAGGGGTTTACCTTTCCATCCATCAGACCGACTGCGTCTGGATCTGTGTCTGTAGAGGCTTCAGGGGCGGAGCCTTCGCCACTATCTGTGCCATGACTATGGCTATGGTCGTTTCCGTGGCTGTGGCCGTGGCTATGACCATCGCCGTGATCATGGCCGTGGTCTGCAAGCTCGTCAGAATAGGTTCAACCTAAGTACTATCGATGGGACAACGTGTCGATCATACCGTGTAAGAAGAGGATGCTGATGAGATTGAGGCCGAAGCCTATACACCCCATTATCAAAACGAACTTGGGATTCTCAACCTCTGTACATTGTTAACATCATCCATGGCTATTATAATCGTAAAGGAACCCACTCTGTAAGGAAATGAACCGCTCGATGGATTGCAAGAAGACACTTATGCCTAGACCAAACAGAAGGACTCCATTGAAAAAGGCGCCCAGAAGCTGGATTCGTTGCCAGCCAAAGGTCAGTGCCTTGGGAGCCTCCGTTCTTTCGGCAACCTGTAGAAATAAGTATATTGCCGTTCGACTTCTTTGAAGGGTACTCACGATGGCGGCCACAAGGGCGATGATGAAACCGACCAGATCATTCAGCTTGATGGTGTCAGTACAGTTTCTCCTAACGACTTGTCCTGTAGATATTCAGCTCAAACATACATAGTGAAAAGCATCTGCCACCAAGGCCAGAGAATGTGTGTAGAACCCGACTATGCAGGATGTGATTAGCTTCAAAGTTTATCGCCTAAGCCTTTTTAAGGTCCAGCCCAGTCTCGACTGCAAATGGAGTGATGAATGAAAGAAAATACGTACTCGAAATCTCGGCAAGGAAGAAACAGAATGAAATGCCGATGACGACACTCAGCCGCTGGATGCGAGAGATTTTCAACATCATGGCTGGACGTTGTTGGTGATTGCGAAGTTGTGGAGTGGAGAGAGCGTGGGAATATCAAGAGGGTAGAATTAAGGTTTCTTCAAGAAGCTGGTTTTTCCTCGGCTCGTGTGACTCGAGCTAACTAGCCTCAAAGGGGGCAATAGGGCAGTTACGCATCAAGGATAAGAGCAAAATGATGTTTATTGGTCTTCGCTTTTTTCATACAAAACAGAGAAGAGAGTTTGGGAAAGTAGAAATTACTGGAGGACTGTCCAGGGCTGCCAAGAACCCTCAGTCTACTGTACGCTTTGTTGACTGTGCTGTGGGTACCCGCGACGATCAAAAAAGCAAATCCAATAAAAGACTCGTCAGGTCCAATTATGTCGATGGATTAAAGTCTCTCAAGAAAATACCAGGGCCAACCAAATGTCTACGAGCTTCGCCGAGGCGAGGTATTTGTGCCAGCACTTGTCCGTATTTGATCGGAATTTACTCAGAGCCTGGTGGGTACAACCCCGCCAAGACGCCAGTCGCCCTGAGCGATTTACGCGTTTTTTCCAATTCGAACCAACTAAATATCGATGCCGATCACGCTCAGCCAGCCTATTTGCTTGCATATATCACATCTCCTTCATCAGACATCTTGATCATGAACCAAATAGCCCAAGCAACCTGCCTTAGGCAAGCAAAATTTGCCACTCTTCGCGGCCCCCTTGGACATCGATCCTTTGCCAGCTCCTTTACAGCACGAGCCTGCCAATCAAAACAATCCAACAAATCTAACTGCCAGAACACAAAATCCTCTACTCCGGAAAGCTCTCTATCAACATTTTCTAGAGCATTTTGGGCATGCCGTTCAACATGGAGGAGGGCTGGTATCAACACCCTACGTTGTCTGATTGGCTGCACAGTCGGTGATTTCTCCGCCCTATGGACACTACAGTCTTATTATCCAGAACTCGGAATGAATACTATCATGCTAGCATCAAGTGCGTCCTCGCCTCACCTCTGCCAATCTAAAGAGCAATCATGCTAATCCTCAACTCTAGTGGCTTCGGGTATCACAACATCTATCATTCTCGAGACAGTCCTACTCCGCCGTGGCGCTGATCAGCTCTCCTGGACTATGGCTGCCCGGACTGCGATGGGCATGAGCATGGTATCTATGCTAGCCATGGAAGTCGCAGAGAACGCCGTTGACTACCATTTGACTGGTGGAGTTGTTGCATTCGAGGACCCGAAGTTCTGGATAGCGGCCGTGTTGTCGATAGGGGCTGGGTATTTGGCTCCGTTGCCATATAATTACCTGCGTCTGCGGAAATATGGCAAGGCTTGTCATTGAAATGCGGATATAATCGTCATGGCTTTACCTTTGACTGTGCCAATTCAAAAACTATTGACTGTTCCTTAATTCCCTACTTCGATCGGCTTAAAGAAGCAAGACATGTGAATTCAGGCTAAGCGTGATTGAATTATCATAACGAGAAGTTCATTAAAAAGAGTACTTGCTGTATGCTGGATGGAATGGTGAGGGTGATTGAGTGAGTGGAGGGCCTTGGAAGGTTAGGACTTTGTGTGGAGGTAGCAGCCTAAGGAAAGGAAGGAGCGGTGATGAGGAAGGAGCGAATATGGGCAGTTCATGACTCTCATGAGAGTTACGCATAACTCTCACGAGAGTCATGAACTTTGAGGCAGGCTGGAACCACGTGACTCGCCCAAGAGTCGTGCGATTTCCTGATCAACCCATCGAAGCTGTGCCATGATATTTTCGCGGGTCTGGCGTAACTTTTGAAGCCTTCGTTCCACATCACTCTGTCTTAGAGGAACAAATTCCGTAGGTGCTTGATCACGGAAACTGCATCGATCTCCATGTCCACCCCAGTGACAATTTGCACAGTCAGGAAGCCTCCCTGGGACAATGACTCACGAGGCAAATATCCCCCGGCCTCTCTGGCAGTGATTGCAGGCTTGATCTGGTACTACCCGGGCACCAGTTGTCTGTGCCAGGAGCGCCTCCACGTTCTCGTTCCTCCATCCAACTAATCGGTAGAACCCTGGACCATCGTAGGACCGGGACTCGCGCAAAACAGGTTCCCGGTAGAGCGCATTTTCGCGTAGTGCGTATAGTCGGCTCGACGCGTGGTGCCTATTACGGCTTCCTCTGCTCCAAGGGTTTGCGAGTGCGGCATTAGCCCAGTAACCTGGCTCATCTTCATCGGTAGGCCCCTCCCCATCTCTTCTGGTAAGAGGACGAGGTATATCGGAAGTGTCGGACGGGGGGGGGGGGTGGGCGATATTGGTGGGAAGGGTCGAGATTCATGACCGACTGATCGTGAGCTTCTTCCCTAGTGTTTGATGCGCGTTGCATACCGTTTTTGGATAAGGAGAAGTGTTGGAAGTAAGTGTTGGAAGTTTAGTCTACGCAGGCAGATCAATGTGGAAACTTCCTACTTTGTTTTCCACCAGCGTCTCTCACTGTGGCCCTCAAGGTAACACTCTCCAACCTCCCTTGCCTGACCTCACATCTCCCCTCTCTCTTCCATCTCCGACCTCCAACCTCACATCTCCCGTCTGCATCTCCGTCAACCATCCACTTCTCACTTCTCACACCTCATACCCACATCCACATCATCCTCCAATACAACGAAATGGACACCACCCAGGGACAGGGTGAGGATCAGGGTCAGAATCTGACCCCTGATCCAACCCAGGACCCCCCCCCCCCCCCCCCCCAGGACGCCCGTCAAGGCGCCTCTGAAGACTCCCCTCAGGCTGCCGAGTGGGCACTCACGAGATATGCAACATCTCGCGGGTATGGAGCCCAACTGCCGGAGTAGTAAGTCTCCCATATTGGATGAAAGTGAGGCATGAAACTCATATGATCAATAGTTTGCCCGGTGGGCCTGCCAACGCTGTTCAAATCGGTGCGCCCTTCAGAGTCCCGGTGGCCGAGGGAGGGGGTGAAGATAAGCCTCCCGGGGATTGGGCCAGATATATCTGGAAGGCCCCGTTCAGTGTTGCTCGACAGGGAGACCTCCTGAAGGGCCACCTCGCCGAGTTGTTGAAGAGCGAGCCGGTCCGGGAGCTCATCCCGCGCGAGCGCTACTTCACGAGTGCCCGGCGCATGGATGAGCTTCTCCGAAACAACGTGGCAAACGTGGAATCCGCGGCAGTATACTGCCAGGGCGAGATACAGACAGACGAGGATCGATGCAGAGACTGTGTGGAGAGATATGGCCCTTGGGTATGCTACTCCTTTCTAGTACTTTAAGACTCAGTTGGAATGGAAGTGGCTGATAAATTAAATCCAAACTGTGTACGACTCGCCAATGGAGAAGGGAGTCTACAAGCCTGCGCGAACTGCATGTGGAATGGAATGCATGAGCGATGCAGTTTCTGGAAGCCTTCCCCAACGACCCCTTCGACCGGAAACTGGGGCCACCAGCGAAACAAGCCTTCGGTCAGCAAGAAGGCCGCTGATGCCGCGTGGAAAGAGTTGAATCACGGGCTGGACACGATCCAACAGCTTCCCACCCGAGGTGCCCAAGCTTGTGCCGATGAAGACTGGTCTGTGGTAGATGCTCTGGTGGATAAGCAAGGAAACCACTGGAAGACCATTCAGCACGCACTGAGCATTGTCAGCCAATTCCACTCCCCCAAGCCGAGCTTGCCGCAGCAGCCCGAGGGAAACTGAATCAGCATAGTTCATAGCGGCATCTGCGACATTTTTTTTCTCACATTGTTTTTCGCACATGGTTTTGATTTCGATACTGGATACAAGCTGTCTGCGCGCCCAAGGACCCGTTGTGGGTAGTTTTAGCAGAGTAATTGCGTTAGCGGCTTAATCTTATTCATTAAACGACCCCCCCTAAAAACCCCCGATCACGCTGGTCGCTTTGCTTTCGCTTAGTAGTAGAAGTAGTTAAAGTAGGAGGGGTAGTAATAGTAGGTAACTAATTTATTAACTAATATGCCAACTAATATGCCAACTAATATGCCAACTAATATGCCAACTAATATGCCAACTAATATGCCAACTAATATGCCAACTAATATGCCAACTAATATGCCAACTAATGGGCCAACTAAACTACTAATCAATCTGCTCACTAATCTTGAGGAGGGTTCTGCGGGGTGCCCTGGGGCGAATCCTGGGTTGGATTCGGTGTCGGATTCATCTTGATGAGGATTGACGAGAGGTGGGAGATGGCGGTGTTGATGGAATAGAGGTTGGAGATAGGATGTTGAAGATGGGAGGCTGGAGAGGATAGATTAGGAGAAGAAAGAAACCTTGCGTGTTTTCTCAGTGATCCTAGTACGAGCGCGAGTCCTGTGCTTTACGTGGAAGGTATTGGCGCGTTTTGTTCAAGTTTATGGACTACCCGCTGGCTCCTGTTACTAACGTGGTCAAAACTACATTTGTCATCTCCATCAAACCCATAAATTCAGGAAAGAAAGGAAAAGTCTCTTTCTTGTGTTCTCTGGCTCCTCGCCAAGGCCCATCAACTGTCTCACTGCTAACTGGGCTCCTCGCACACCATAATCCATACTCACGGTGGTCTCATCTGGTATTTCCACAAATTGGCCGATCACAGCAAGATTGGTTATCCCTTCTGGTATCACGTTTGGACGATCTCCGTAAGCCCGAGGTAATAGTGATGCTGTCATCCGTGGCATCACACATGGGATTGTGATGGAGTTTTTGAGGATTGATTGTGAGAGGAAGCCGAGGTGCCACAACAGTTCAGTCATTATTTCCTCCCCGGAACAATTGAGCATCGGCTTTTTCACAAAGCTACCCTCACGTTCTGGACAAAGGCCATAACCCCAGAAAGTCTGTATATTGCCGGGTTGAAGGGGGAAAAATGGTTGATGTGGGATACACACGCTGATCTTCCAACTGGAGTCTTTTAAATAGACTAAGCTCCCTATGCCAGGCTCGTCACATGTCAATTTGACGAAACGGTTAAAGAAATCAGCATCCTTGAGCGTAACCGTGAAAGTCTCCAACCTAGACTCAGTGACCCGAGTGCAGAAATTATATGGATCTCCGAGTGTAGGATGCTGCGTTCGTATATTTAGCCACAGTGACCAGTTTTCATCCAACTCGTTTTCAGCTATCATCGTCTTTGGAAATGGCGGGCTTTTGTTGGTACCGCTCGACGAGCCTGACGTGTTAGATCCGAGAGAGACGATAACTATGTCATCGGCACTGACAGTGATTGTTTCCCGGGAGCTATCGCGCAATACATGAATGGCTGAAACTGTTTCTGTACCGTAGTCTGAATGTGTCGCAATGTCTGTAACCTTGGTGCATAGTCTGAAATCGGCTCCTTGCCTTTGAAGAAATCGAATGATCGGCATAATAATTGATTCAAATTGATTGAACTGAGTGCAATCTAGGGGTTTCTTAGTGTTCAAGTTCCGAAACTCGTAGAAGTATCTTTGAAGGCATCGCCTGAATTCGGCTGCACTGTGCCACGGCTGGAAGGTAAATCTGTTATTTCATCTTAGCATTGTGCAATGACCCAATTTTTGTGGATCGAGTGGCCCACATAGTAGAGAAAGCAATCCAGAATGTGCTGTCGAAAAAAGGTTTGTTGAAAATCTGATTGATTTGCTTTCTGGAAAGGCTTTCCTCGGATCTCAATAGGAGCATCGTCAACTTCATTCGGTCTATTAGGGCTAGGCCGAGGTTCCTAGCGTCCATTCTCCTTGGTCTTTGATCTCCTTGGGCCAAGACGTGTGTAACAGGAACATTTTGGCAAGCTTTATCCTCATAATACTTTTCGATGTCCTTCAAGACTGTCCCTCCAGAACCGCTTGTGGAAGGCACCAAGGCAAGCAGCTTTTTCATGCAAACGTCACTGAAGCTTGGCAGACATCCAGGTCGATGATCGTATCCGATTAGCGAATCGCCAGTACTGGTAATTCCATCTCCAGGGGTATCTTGAGACTCAAGGATATGGATCTGAGAGGCAGGCACATTGGCATCCAAAATCAAATGGACAGCCGATGCCAATGACGCAATACTGCTTCCTAGTATCCAAGCGTTGACCTTGCCAGGCGTCCGACGGGCTTGGGCTGGGACAGCATTCTGTTGACGAATCATCTTAGACGAGATTCCCGATCGAATGAATATCCACAGATTTAGTTTCTGCGCTCTGATATTTCTTTTGGGGTGGATTTCTGTCGCCTGTTCTACACCCGGAATTGCCAGAGGGATAGATTCAAGAGAGTGATGACGTGGTGCCCCAACGAGTGCAAACAAGCGTTCAGATTCCCTCTTCCTTTTTGGGTTTAGCGTCTGGACTCAGGCAGCAGATCCCCACCACGAACCAGTTCCCCAGACTGGTTACGGAATATTGATGTTCCAGCATCGTCACCTATACGGATTTTTAGTTACTTGTTCCCATGCCCGCCAGGATGACTAACGCAAATGGATCACGCGACACAAATGGATCACGCGACACAAAAAAGCGTCATAGAGAACTGGTTCGGGAATCAAAGAGTATCCCTGTTCAGATGCATTCTCAATGCATGCTTGGAAAGATCCTCGGAAAACACAAGGATAATCTCGCATTATGGAGTCAGCAGGCAACGGACCACATCTAGAAGTAGGACCTTCCCCTACTCTTCCTGGTAGCAAAGGTGCTGACACTATTTCCTAAGCTGTTGTCTGAAAGTGAGAAACGTCACTTCAGCAAGTACGGAAAGCTGCCGCATGGAGGCTTACTCGGTCAAAAATGCAAGGTACTTTGAATATAGTCTATTACGACACGTGGTAACTAACAACTGGGAGGAACGGACCTATTTTGACTCCGGCGATTACGCTCTTTCCGCCGCTGATCGCGTGACCGATAACGGCGCTATTCGAACAGGAAAAGCACATCCTCATCGGGACAGCATTTCGCATCCTTATGCCCCTATCCCAGCCGCTAGTAACGTTAACAAGGATGCCACCGAAGATCTGTATAGGAAGAGTGCGAGTCCCGAAGAGAGTCCTCTCCTCCAGCAAACCAATATTGAAGATGCAGAATCCTCAAATAAGGATGGACAGGATAATCTTGTCTCTCAAGAAGGTTGAAATCAAATTATCGCATTGAAATTAAAATGAATCAATGTGCCATTCAGCAGAACAGCATGAACTGCACAACATCCCATAGGTATTATTATATGCCCTCTATTGTGAGGTGATAGCTGGTTATGGAATCGTGCTTGATTTACAAATAAGGCCCTTGAGACTGTTGGGCTTATGTACTTTATCTCCGGAAATTGGCGTCCCTTTGCATTAGTGTTTGAGAATCTATCAGAGTGTAGGTGGTGACACCGATTTTCGGAAGCAGTGTACAGATTTTTAACTCGTGTGTGGATGATATAACTGCTTAACTAGGTCCGAATGATGGAAATGCGTATTGTTCATTGCAAGCACGGGTTTTTGATTCCGGCTATCTCCCACACTGCTGGAGAAGTCGGCCCCGGGGCCTTTGTTGCTCCTAGAACCTCCAGTACGGTTACAGCACCCACACCGGACTTCCGAGGGCCATTGGGATTTGGATGCCGTTGATCGCTGGATTGACGACTTGCTTGGAAACCATGAATCAGTGAATACACTACTTCGGTTTCACCAGAAAACGTAGAAGACATTTATCGGACTCTAGGCGGTGACCATAAAGTCGTGGTTATACACACAAGACGATAGTGTGTATAAGGATTGGTAAATACTCAATGTAGTGTCTGAATACACGGTTATGAGTCTATCGGTCGTGCGCACTTCTAAGAAGGAGAAGTACCACGATTGTGGAAGAGTACCACCGATCTAGAAGAGAGATCAAAAGGGATGATAAACTTGATTCAATTTAACTAGGTAACATAGCAGTTTTTATATCACAAGAAACATAGCAAAAGATCACATGATAAATCAACAGAATCAGAGTGTTGAGAGTCTCTTGCTTAGGTAGGCAATCATATGCGAGATCGTTGAGGATCAATCTGTTAGATCTTTATAGAAGAAGATCTATATGTAGAGAGGGGTTATATGAGTGGGTCCTTCGTCATGTGACCCCACAACATCCACATGTTGACAACATTGTACTTGTAAGCTATCTATCCTCCTGAAATGATTTTTAACTTATGCCTACTCTCTCCTGCTCAAAATAGAACCAATAAATTGAAGACCCTTTGGAACTCCTCAACCGTCGTTGTATGGATCTAAATGAATGTTATTCATAAAAATCTCGATCGCAAACGGCCAAAAGACTGCTCGAAGCCACCACTCTCAGCCCTCTGGAAGTTCGACTTGCCGAAGGAAAAGGATCATAGAAATTTAGCCGCGTGAAGCCATAGCCGCAGCTGCAGGACATATAACTCTTCCGCTCCGGCTTCGCCTAGGACTTCCAGTTCCTCGGTCATTAAGCTTCGTACTATATGTTACGCGTTGCCGACCGGTCACTGTGAGTTAGAATGTTCACGGGTTATGCTTGCCTAATTCCAACTGCGGATTCCAAGAGTATCTCTCAATCGTACCGTTGCCTCGCGAGGCCTTACTGCGGGATGGATCCTGTTGAGTATCTTGCAGAACGTGCCAGAAGTGCGCGCCAAGTAAGTCAATCACTAAGTGTTACCACTGAGTGAATCCCCTACTTGTAGGTTGGGTTGTCTTGAAGGTGAACTGTGAAGTGCAAAGTACTAAAGGTAGTAACCGAGTAACAATGTAGGAAAGGTGCTGTCCTAGTAACTTGAATGATTGATCGCGAAGAACTAAATACATGATGCGAAATGAGTGTCCTTATATATCTAGCCCTTCCTACTCCCGACCTACTCCCTGGGAGTAGATCTGGAGTCACCGTATACCCCATCGCCTACTCCTTGGAGTCACGCTGGGAGTATATCCTTGGCGTCACGTGTGGTTTTACCGGGTCCTTGCACTTGTGGTGTAATCTGGGTGTTGGTAAAATGGTGGCCGTTTCCTGCGTCGCGCTAACCGTCTCATGGAGTAAGCGGGTATTGGTTGTGACGGTTAGCCGTAGGCCGTTTCTGGCTTCCGCCCAGAGTGTCTGCCTTGGGGCCCTGCCGGGGCTCGCCCAAGTATACCGAAACGCACGTGACAACGCTAATCCTTAGCGTCCGTGGGATGATTGGCCCTCCGTTGTCCTCAAATAACTGCGGCCCCCGCGCCTCTTGAGGTCCGTAACATCATCCCCTCCTTCCTTGTCCTTTGTCCTCAAAGGATTTAAACGTTGGCCTCTCCCCCTCAGGTAAGTGCATGTTTTTCTTCTTTTTCTGATTTCCCCATCGGCCATGTCCCCCTTGCAACATGCCTGTTGATAACAAGACTCGCAAACAAAATAGGCTCATCCAATACCAGTCCATTCTGACCAACGGGTCCGTTTCCGAGTCGCCTTGCGAACATTGTCTTTCCCGTGGTGTTGATTGTGTGATGGACTCGAAGCACCGTAATTGTGCCGAATGCACCCGTCGCGGTCGCAAATGTGCGAAGAAGTTCCACAGCGAGTCCGAATGGCAGAAGGTGCTTCGTGAACAGAAGAAAGTTGATGATGAGCTCGCTCAAGCCGAGCAACAACAGATGGAAATAATGATGAAAATTATTCGTCTCCGCAAGCAACGACAATTCTTGCGAACTCGTAATGATCGGATGTTGAGTCACGATGCCGAGATAATGGAGCAGTTGGATGCTGAGGATCCTCTCAGTGCTGAGGATCTTGCGGAGCTGGATCGTCTCGCCGATGCCGAGGATGCTCGCGCTCTTGCCGCCACGTCAGAGAATCCTACTCTGACCCAGATGCTGGAGATGAATCCGATGTCGCCGTCTTTCTGGGGCGACCTGGGCCTCTCCGTGGGTGGCGTTGGTGGAACTGCCGAACCAGCCGGTGGCAGCCCATCAGGTTCTCGATAGGTTCCCAAGTGTTCTCCGTTGTATCGTATCCTTTCCATTTCACCAGGTAGTGAGGCTTTCCGCTGACCTTGTTCATGTTCAGGATTTGTTCGACCTCATATTCGTTTTCTGTTTCTTCTTCTACTTCCACATTGGTAGCGATTTCGGCGTTTTTGGGTGCTTTTTCCAATAATGAGACATGAAAGGTTGCATGGATGCGTCGCATGCCGTTAGGTAGCTTTAGACGATAATTGAGCGGTCCTATTTTTTCCGCGATTTCAAATGGTCCCAATTTGAGGTGGTCGAGTTTCGCGCTGGGTCGTCTGGTGCGAATGTTGCGTCGCAAGAGGTAAACTTTCTCCCCCTTTGAAAGTCCGGCGCCTCCTGGCGCGATTGGTCGTAGTAGAATTTCATGCGCATGTTGAGAAACTCGATGTCCCTTGACAGTTGTAGATGAAGCTGTTTCAAGCCAGTCGCCAATAGTCGAGATGACTCCGCGAGTGGTTGTTTTCCGATTGGTTCTCCGATAATAGTGGGATTAAGCCCATAATTTGCGAAGAAAGGCGTTTCTTTCGTGGTTGCATGCATTGCATTGTTGTATGCGAACTGCGCCATTGGTAGTAATCCTGCCCAGTCGTCTTGCTGGAAGTTCACGTAGTGTCGAAGGTATTGTTCTAAGGTCTGGTTGACCCGTTCCGTTTGTCCATTGGTTTGCGGATGGTACGCGGTAGAGAGTCTATGCTCGATGCCAAGTTGATCCGCCAGTGACTGCCACATGTTGGATGTGAACAGCTTGTCCCTATCCGAGGTAATCTTGCTCGGTGTTCCATGATTGGTGAATACATATCTGAGTAGTAGGTTGGCCATCTGTCGTGCATCGATGGTTTCCGTTGTCGGTATCATGTATGCATATTTGGTTAGTCGGTCGACGACTACCATAATCATGTCGTTACCCTCCGAAATGGGTAGCTTCGTGATGAAGTCCATGGTAATCCATTCCCATGGTTGTTTCGGTGTTTCCGCCAATTTCAGTTCTCCGTATGGTGCGTGTCGCGATGATTTGTTCCGTTGACATGAATCGCATTGTTGAATGTACTTTTTGACTTTTCTGTGTAACGCTGGGATGTAATAATTTCGTGTAATTTTCTCGATGGTCTTCTCAATTCCGTGGTGTCCTTGTGTTGTTTCGTCGTGGTGCAATTTGATGATTTCGTTTTGAAGGTTCCCAGGAACGTACACTAGACTGTGGATGTAGACTAAGCCGTCCCTGGTTAGTGCAGTGCTGTTGCCTAGGATCTTCTGTATGGATTCGTCATTGGTGGTTGCTTCTCGAATCCTGTCGATCCATTCGTCGTTTTGCAATTCGCTGGTTGCTGCGAGTGTTTGATGGTTGTAAACGATGTTTCCTTCCTGATCCGTGGTTAGGATCGCGGGTACTGCCTCCTTGGTTCCAAGTTCGTAGTCCGGTCGTCGACTTAGCGCGTCCGCTACTGCGTTCTCAGTCCCCTTGCAGTGTACGATCTTGAAATCGTATTCGGCCAGTGTTTCTGCGTATCTGGCTTGTCGTCGAGTGAGTTTCTTTGTTGTGGTGAAGTATGTCAAGTTGTGGTGGTCCGTCCTGACCGTCACAGTATGTTTTGCTCCTTCCAAGTATGCCCTCCATGTTTGGAATGCCGACACTATAGCCAGTAGTTCCTTGTCGTGGACATCGTAGTTGAGCTCTGCTGGGATCATCTTGCGGGACCAGAAAGCGACAGGTCTGAGCTTGCCGTCCTTTCCTGGTTGCATGAGTTGTGCTCCGAGCGCGAAGTCTGATGCGTCGGTTTCGATGATGATCGGTGAGTCGTAGTTGAATGTCGCAACAATTGCCTGTCCGGCTGGTTTGTTGTACATTCCTTTGAGTGCGGTGAACGACTTTTCCGCCTCGTCGTCCCATTTGAACGGTATTCCCTTTTTGGTGAATCGGTAGAGTCCGGCCGCATACTTCGAGTACTGCGGTATCAATTTCCGATAGTAGTTGGCAAGTCCAAGAAAGCTCTGTACGTCTTTGACGCACGTTGGTGTTGGCCATTCGAGGATGCTTCTGACCTTGTCTTCTTCCATCCCTAATCCGTCGGGACTAATGGTGTATCCGAGAAAACTGGTGTTCCGGACGTGGAATTCACATTTCTTGAGCTTGAGCGTGACCTTTG